CGATTATGCCAGAAATAGTTAAGGGTATGGAATAGCCATCAATATCGAATGACTTCTTGCTGCCCTCAGCATTATTTTGAGAGGCACTATGAGACGCAGTTGCACCTTTGACCGCCTCAAAAAGGGATTTTATGTTTGGATGGTTGGATAATATAAGGGCGTTCCCAGCAAAAAGCAACATAAGCCTCCAAGGCAAGAGATGTGACACCAAAAAGATGGCACCCGCCAGGCCGGTACAGGCAATAAACAGGGAAGACGACAATTTTTCGTCAGAAAAGTTTGTAGCGGGAGCAATGAGTGACACAGCTGCATCATGAAGGGCGGCAAAATCCGCCATGGAGTTTTGCAAATTTCGCATGTTATGGAAGAAGTCCTTTGACGTCTCAGCTGCGGGTTTGATGGTTTTAGCTGGAGCAAGAGCTGGGCCCTCGTAGGAGTAGTATGGGGTTGTACTAGATGTTGAAGTTGAAGGAGGTGGCGGAGGGTGCCTTGTCAAGAAGGCGGGTATCATGATTAACAGAAGGACTAGAACAAATGGAAGCACTGCCAGCAAGTATGGATCGAGGCAGATAAAGGAGTAGACGCATATCAGGGACCATGTCTGGGTCCTGTGCCTCCAAGACAGTAGCTTGATCACGTTATACTGAAACCGAAAAACTATCCCTATTCTATTGAGACTTAGCAATGGAGGTTTATCAAATGTTGGCACGCAATATTTACTATACCTTGCATTAAAACGCCTGAAGTTGTTGGTCATCGTGGGAAGGCTGAATGGGGGCCTTTCTGAGGATGCATCAGCCTCCTCTCCTCCGTCCTTATCACTACCAGCATCTTCTGATGGAACCAGCTGTTGGAGGAACCTAATGTCGGTTAGTGGGTGGGCAATATTCCTCCTTTCTCATGGAACGAGAAAGATACAAGACTTGCCTGGCAAGCAACCGGTCCTGTAGCGATAGGCCGGGAGAATTCTCCTCCTTTGCAGTGTCTAGATTCACGGGAGGTTTCGCTTCCTCCACACTTCTCAAGGGCCGGGAGTCGCCGTCATTACCGCCGTCCTGGCCAGAGAAGAGTTCCGCAGTGTATTCATCCATCTTCTCCGTCACTCTCTGACATAGGTGCTCCTCTTTTTAACTTGTTCCGTCTCTCTCTAGATATAGAGTATGCATCTTCTATATCATGAAGTTGTTTGGTATCGTTGCTTGCGCGGTGACGTCGCTGCTTGTCTTCAATGGATGCCCGACTACTTCCTAAAGTGGAAAGGCTAAGCATGTGATCTCGGCCGGAGGCGCTAACCTTATACAGACTAGCCTTCATTATCTAATCTTCATTACCTCAGCGAAGGGTCCCAAAAAAGGCAAAAAGCGACTTCGTTCCTGTTTTTCGCTTTTTAATTTAATGAACTTGCGGCTGCGACAAACACGCAATTGAAACATCGCCTTATAAAAATATCGTGACCAAGGCTGTTTGTTTGGATGCAGGCCGGGATATTCATTGTTTCCTGCCCTTGTGAGGGTCTGCCGGTGGCAAGTGGCTTTCCTATAGCGGATTAACTAACGACCCAACGCCCGCTTGATCTTGTCAAGGTAGAGCTCCACCAACCACTCAGAGTTGAGAGTTTCCTGTACCTACATGGGGATTCTGTACCTCACTGACCAGGTTGCTTTTTGATGCTTGATCCACAAGAGACTCGAACGATACAAAATCCCTTTCGACAAACAAGAAATCTCACTTTTGGTCTGCTCGCGTTCAGCCCACCGATTTCGCAGGTCGGTGGATGTCCAAACGTGGATGGGACAAGTGTCAGAAGAGCAACAGCAATAATAACAGCTCCTGGGCCAGTTGTGATTCAAAGTCTTCGAGCATCATGACGCGGTAGCAGCATAACAGGAATGAGCAAGTCGCTTCTGCTGCCGTCCATCTCTTTACAGTCCTTGACCGAGAGTTATCCGGCGGCGGGTCCCCCTGAGAGTGCGGGCTAGACAACCTCTTCACTATTATCAGGTGTGTCAGGTCACCTGCGTTATACGTTGGATGCCACCGCGCAAGAACAGCAATCCTGACTTACCAGTCAAACGTTCCGGTCATCCCTCGACAGCATGCCGGCGGACATGACGTCCCAGAGATTGCCGGCCGTGACGCAGCAGCCAGTACAGCACTCGAACCCTTCTGAGCCTTCTAGACCCAACGAAACTCGATTTTATGGTGATAAAACACCCCCCAGTCTTGCTAACCTTGAGTGTTTTTTTTTTTTTTTCTCTGTCTTCAAGCAGATGTGTGCTAATCCTATATTCATACGTTATAGCTCAAACAAATCGCCAGCCGCTGCAAAGGAACTCACCGATCGTCCCGGTTACCAACCAGGCATCGTTTTCTTCTTTGCATTCTCGTGAAAGCGCCGACCAGCAAATCGAGGAAACAACTTCAAAGCGGAGGAAGTCGATTCGGGATTGCGGTCCAACAATCGGCGGGCCGGTATCATTGCGACGGTATATATTCTCCTTCCATTGACCACAAATGATATAAGCAAATTGTCTAATGTCTATTTTCGTTCTTTCCATAGCACAACGATACACTCCCATTCGAACTCCCAGAATAAATCTGAAACGCCGTTCCCGAATGTGGTTCGTCTTCTGCTGCCAAGACAACATACTGATATGTTTACAAAATACTAATTTTGATAAAGATTGGTAGCCATACGCCCCCAGAGAGCAGTGAATTCCTTCCAGCAATCAATTTCGATGATTTCCATAACAGTATCTCCTCAAAAGAACCGAGTCTTAGCCACTTCCCTATGCCAGGTCAACTTGTAGCTGGCATTGGATCTGCTCCATCTCCCCCCAAATCAACAACGCGTTGGTCGACTACAACCTCCTCCGTCTCTGGCCCTAAACCTGCTCGGACAAATACCCTCAACAGAAGACAAAGCAATGCTCAGAAGCCCGATCTCGAAGGTGTTGGAACGGGTATAAGTGTAGGTGGGGTACATAATTCAACGGGGCCAACGCCTGGTCCTGTAACTACGCGTACAAGGCGACAAAGTCATGCTACACCTCCAGTCTCCTCCACTGCTGGCCCTAGGCAACCCCGGAAATCTATTGGACCCGGTGCTTCGGTTACGTCTCAAGCAAACGGTGATGATGGCCCTCCTCGAAGGCGTCAGAGCTTTGCGAAGAGAAATGCAACGGGGGAAATACGGGTGAATACCAATGTAACTCGTGGTAGTCATCAACCTACGGAACAATCCAGCGGCCCTTCTTTTCTAAACACAACTAGGAGCCAGAAAGCAAAGTCCCTGCAGCCTGTTAGCCGTGGGAACAGAGAGAACCAAATCACCCCTGGCGGCTCCGATCATTCTCGGTCCTCGTCAAATACTGCCATCCAGACTCCTGGAAAAGGAACTATGACATTAAACACGACTCCCTCGTCGAAACGGTCTTCAATGATGCCACATCACCCGACTGGCCTAGGTGCAAGAACGATTTCTCCCACAGATGCTCGAAGGATGAAGCGAATGTCTCTCGTTCCTAATCCGCCTCCAATCCCACAGCGCTCGCCTACTCAACTAGAGTTAAACTCTCCTCGCCCACGTTCCTCAGCACCATCACCTTCTATGATACCTCGAAAAAGCGTAACGCCCTCATCGGCACGCACTACACCAGACCCTCACCGAAAATCTTATAGCTCAGGAGTGTCCCTCTCGTCAAATACAACTTATAACTCTGCTAGGAATTCCAGTGGCTCTCTGCAGGGTCGGCTTTCACAGACTATATCAACTTCTAGACTTCCAACTCCTAAACCACGGACAGAGCATTCAAATCAGGAAGAGGAGGAGGTTCCACCCGTTCCTGCAATCCCAAAGGCGTACGAATCACCCAAAAACGAAGCTCACCTACCCCAAACTTTTACCCCTAGACAGATCAGCATGCCCTTTGAACTCGAAGCGAGGAGACAAGCACCAAAAGACGCAGCTTCTGCTACAGAAGTCGAAGCACCATCTACACCTGCTCATCAAACTTTCCTAGGGGATGCCATGATGCAACATGACAACCGTGCCTTTAGTTCTGAATTTAAACCACGAGCCACTGTCACTCATGGGAAGAGAAGTCTCCAACCACTGAAACTACCGCCACTCAACTTGATGCCTTTGAGCGCTCCTGTTGCGAGTAAAATTAATGCCCTACGAGATAAGGAGCCAAAGGACTTTACTCCTAACCGGTCTACTACACCTCCTCCTCCTCGCCAAACGGTGGCAAAGACCCCAAGCACTCCTATGACGGCCTCTAAAACCAGCTTTTCTCATGCCCCCCAGGAACATACGCCAATGCCCGCGCATACGTCTAGAAGCAACAGTTCACAGTTTATTCTACCTTACCAAACCGGCTACCGTTCTCAAAACAGCTCAAGCGCTCTAGATTTTATGGGATTATCTTCTAACCGAACTATTTCGCCATATATATCTTCATCATTGCCTCGAGGTACTGATGAAATGAACTCTATGCGTGATAAAGTGGCCTCCAAGCCTTCTACCAACAAATTGACTGGCCCACGCCCACAAACCCAATTCTCTACAATTTCTGCCTCCGAGTCATTAAACTTCAAATATGAACCAGATACCATAGAACCTAATCCTAGCCCTACCGTTGTACCGCCCTCACCGCAAAGAAAGATAAGCCTCGATCAAACTAGACAAACAGGATGCAACGATACAGGAACAGCAGATAATGTCAAATTTGAGAATATGCCCCCTCCCAAACTTCCCGCCTCAGCCTCCGTTAATAATCTATCACGAACCAGTCCTGCATCAAATACGAATTTTGCGCCAGCCAAGCGAAAACAATCTATTTCAAATGTGGTTGCTAGCATCTCTTCACGAAGGAACAAGAGCATAACAGGCGAGCCAGGGCCGACAGTTGTAACTCAGTCATCTACGGAAATAATTGATGAGGCGCAGCCGAACAAGAGTTCATCATCCTCAATCTTGAACCCTGTACAACGGTTACTTGGAGGCCCGCGCCCGCCCCCCGCCCCTGTATCTACAAAGCCTCGAGTTGAGGAAGGAGAACTTGACCGTGATGACCTCATAGCTGAAGAGGAAATGCGGAAGCTTGGAAGCAAGCGCAAGGATTTTGAGTCGGCAGCAAGGGAATTGGACGAGCTTCGGCGAAGAGCTGGTCCTAAGGAACGGGCTTCTCCAGCTCAAGCTTTAAAGATTGCAAGTCTGAATATCTTTGAACGAGGAGAAATCATTGACTATAAGGACATCTACTTCTGCGGTACTCACAAAGCCAAGAAGCATGTCGGCGATCTTAATGCTCAGACCGCCAATTTTGGCTACGATGATGAACGTGGAGACTATAACATAGTTATCGGCGATCATATTGCTTATCGATATGAGGTTGTTGATGTCCTTGGGAAAGGCAGCTTCGGTCAAGTCGTACGTTGCGTTGATCACAAGACTGGCACCCTTGTTGCCGTCAAGATTATTCGTAACAAAAAACGTTTCCATCAACAGGCACTGGTTGAGGTGAATATACTTCAAAAGCTGAAAGAATGGGTATGTCATCCCCTTTTTTCTAAATACAATGGCCAATCTAACATGATTTAGGATCCACAAAACCGCCACAGCGTAGTCAACTTCACCCAAAGTTTTTATTTCCGTGGACACCTCTGCATATCTACGGAGCTACTGGGTATCAATCTTTATGAATTTATTAAGGCTCATGATTTCCGAGGATTCTCCCTCAAAATTATTCGTCGTTTCACTAAACAGATGTTAATGTCTCTGGTGCTCCTCCAGAATCACAAAGTTGTGCATTGTGACATGAAACCCGAAAACGTACTTCTCGTACATCCGCTCCGTGGAGATATCAAGGTCATTGACTTTGGATCAAGTTGCTTTGAAAATGAAAAGGTGTATACATATATCCAGAGCCGTTTCTACCGCTCCCCAGAAGTTATTCTAGGCATGTCGTACGGAATGCCAATCGACATGTGGTCTCTTGGCTGCATTCTCGCGGAGCTATATACTGGGTATCCACTGTTTCCCGGCGAGAACGAACAAGAGCAGTTGGCCTGTATCATGGAAATATTTGGACCCCCTGAGAAGCACCTTATCGAGAAGAGTACCAGGAAGAAACTGTTCTTTGACTCCTCTGGAAAGCCTCGTTTGACTGTCTCGTCCAAGGGGCGCCGGCGCAAACCCAGCTCAACTGATCTCCGACAGGCTCTCAAATGTGATAATCCTGCGTTCCTAGATTTCATTGCTCGCTGCTTGAGATGGGACCCTGCTCGCAGAATGACACCGCGTGATGCTATGCAACATGAGTTCATCACTGGTATTAGAGCTCCCCCACGCTCCACCCGCTCTCTGCACCATTCGCATTCTCAGTCACCCGTCAAGCGATTTGCATCTACCAGTGCTACATTAAACGGTCGGCCCCTTCCAAATCCTCCTTCCACAGCTTCAAGCAGCGACGGAACACGCCTTCGAGACTCCTCAACCAATTCTCCTGTCAAACATGGTTTACCCAAGCGCCACTCTACCTTCCACCACACATCCACAACGACGACGGCCAATCCGGGGGCGACCCCAAAGCGTGCGTCCAACATCCCTCCATCAGGTGGTTCCGCTTTGCCTCGTGTGACGCCGAGGAATGCTAGTGGGAAGCCAGATCTTGCAGCCGCGGCAGCAACAACCAGCTTGGTAAGCTGATGCAAACAGCGTTCCCTCCCTTGCTTAATGGGCAACCTTCCTGTCTTCTTCTTTTTTAACCCTTCTTTTCATTCTATGGTGGTCATATTGGATATCTAACGTCATGTAATGGTGCAGAAGACAAAGGTATAGGGATGATGTATGATGTTCCAAGGTTGCGGCAAACGCAACCGCTTTTTTTGCCCGCGCTGGTCTCCGTAGCAAGGTTTGAACGAGTTAACCAATACGAGTTCATTTATTTGGCTTTACTATGATCAAAGGATCGATGTGTTGAGTGATGTTTATGTTATTTATGTTTACTTGCCACTCTACTGGCACTTTCTCTCCAGCCATTTCTTCCTTACCCCATACCCCTATATTCTTTTTTTAACATTATTTACTTTGCCTTTTACTTCTCTTTCTCTTCAACATTTTTTCATTTCTTGTTTCTAGTTTACATACCGGCATTGCATGCGTGCATCTGTTTTGAGTCACTGCAATGTGTTACAAACCTGCGTTGCGTGTTATGCTTTTATAATAACGCCTTATTCCTGGACTTCTCGCATTTTATAGCTTTTGCCCTATGCTATTCTTTGAAGACTTGGATAAAGATATACGGCCATACGTCATTTGCATCGCATCAGTTCTTTATTTCTGCTTCTTCTGCTCCTTTGGTCATAAATCGAACACAGGATGTTACCCTCGTCACCAGTTCGAAAGATGAAATCTTGACCACAATACTTATACAGTATTCAGCCCTCGATACCGAGTACACATAGACACACATATGTATACATATAACGTGGATTTGCTCTTAGCACTTTCTCAATCCTTCCTTCACTTTGTTTACTCGCATTCCATGCTTCCAAAACCTTGGGCTGCTCGGCACAAGCGATATCACGTGAGATATGGTGCCCGAGTACGGTTAGTACACAAGCGGGTAGTCTAGCCTCATTAAATTTAGATCAGCGCCCTTTGGATACCTGGCCTTTTCGGCTGCTGATTAAGCGAATGAAGCTAGCACGAAAAGAGAGAACAGCAACCTGAGGGTTGAAGCTGGGGTTATCCAGATATCAAGAATGCTGGCGATGGCCTGATATTCGACGTTGAGGAAGTAGTCTATTCCATTACTAACGCTACACTTAGAGCAGTTGATGCCTGTGCCGGACGAGCTGATATCTATGCGATCTCATTGGATAGCGGCCAATGAACGGATTTGCGCATGATGGCCTCGACGAGGCCAATTTTGGAGCGCCTGATGGCATTGCAACCAAACTAAAGACGTTCGATGCCTTTCGTAAGTTTTAACAAGATCATTATACTCGTCAATATTTCGATTACATACTAATCGACTGCTTACAGCAAAGACGAAGCCGTCATATACCTCCACCAGCCGTGGTGGCGGGCTGTGGACAATTTTTGTAGCTATCATCTGCACCATCCTCTCCTGCTCCGAGCTCATAACGTGGTATCGCGGTCATGAAAACCATCACTTCAGTGTTGAAAGAGGGGTATCACAGGAGATGCAACTCAACATTGACACTGTTGTCGCTATGCCCTGCGATGATGTCCGAATAAACATCCAAGATGCAGCTGGTGACCATATTTTGGCTGGGGATTTATTGACGCAGGAGCCCACTAGCTGGACCGCTTGGAACAGGGAAATGAATCAACGGCGTAGTGGAGGCAGCCCTGAGTATCAGACGCTAAACAAGGAGGATACCTTCCGGTTGGAAGAACAGGAAGAGGATCTCCATGTCGAACACGTCTTGGGCGAAGTAAGGAGAAGCCGGAAAAAGAAGTTCCCAAAGGCCCCCAAGCTGAAAAGGTCCGATGCGGTGGACTCATGCAGGGTGTTTGGAAGTTTAGAGGGCAATAAAGTGCAAGGAAACCTGCATATCACGGCTCGAGGCTTTGGATATTTTGAATGGGGAAGGACTACTAACCCTCACAGTATGTCACTCTCACAAACTATTCTAATCTGCATTTACAGAAGTTCCAGAAAAAAAAAAACTTAACCGATCAGCTAACTAAATTGTTTCCAGGCCTGAACTTTACTCACCTTATCACCGAGCTCTCATTCGGCCCTCATTATGGCCGTCTTCTCAATCCACTTGACAAGACGGTTTCCTCAACATCCATAAATTTTTATAAATACCAATATCACCTCTCGGTTGTTCCAACAATATATACAAAGTCTGGCCATATTGATCCTAATCGTCGATCTCTTCCAGACGCGAGCACTATAACGGCAAAGGATTCCAAAACGACTGTCTCAACAAATCAGTATGCGGTAACCTCATACTCCCAGCCGATACAACCGCGCATCGACGCTACCCCAGGTATATTTTTCAAATATAATATCGAGCCAATTCTTCTAATTGTTAGCCAAGAGTGGGACAGCCTATTAGCCCTAATGGTCAGACTAGTCAATGTCGTATCTGGTGTGCTTGTTACCGGTGGCTGGCTATTTCAAATCGGGTCCTGGGCCTCGGAAACCATGAGGAAAAGAAGAAGACTCGCATCAGATGGCTTATTAACGGGGAAACACGCAACAGATTAGTGGGTTGTCTCTGGCCCATGTGGCTGGACCGTGACGCATAAGAAACTGTCTTAATCTTCAGTCTCCCACTCATGCTATTTCCCCCCATTTTCCTTTCTCTTTTCATTGTTTCCTATTTTCTCGTTTTTCCCCCTTTTGCCTTTCATTTCTTTTGGAAATATGAATCGTATATCTCGGAGTTGGGGCGCTAGATTGCATTTCGAGAATATGATGTTACATCTATACTTTTCTTGGTCTCGGTTCTCAACAGATCAAATATTCAGGGGTTGTGGGACATCCATGAATTAGCGCAAGAACAGCTCACTACCAAGCTATTTATCCCGAGAACCCTGCCTCTAGTTCAGTCATTCAATGTGAGTCCATGGAGGATCTGCCCTTCCGCACTCAGGGAAAAAAAAAAAAAAAAAACTCCCGAGAACTCCGGGTAGTCTGGACCGCTCCCTTTGACTAGCAGCAGCGTACGAAGCTCAGAGATATGCCACGCATTGCGCCGCAAAGTTCTCCATCCCCCAGCCCGGACGGGTCAGAGGCCCCTGTTCCGCGAGAGGTCTTGCCCACGCGAACTAAATTTATTTGCCAATTGCATGTGATGATACGCCCAAGTTCTCGCGGAGCACAACTGCTTCCTTTAACATCAATGCAGGTGCTGCACCACACAGTCACTAGTTGTCAATGTACTAGTCCTGCAATAATATCTTGCGGATGCAAGGGCAGGCTAGCGAGCAAACCTTCCGAGCTAAATGACGCATAATATCTTCCGCGTCGCATTTACACGGGTGTGCAACCAATAATGAACCCCCGGCTCGTGGTTGCATTTGAAATGGTTTCTGGAGAACGTGGAGTCTTTGACAGCATACATGCAAGATATTTCCCCCCGGTTGTCAGTATCTGTTACGCCGGTCTTACTGTTTTCTTCTGCTCTTCCATCTGCACAGCATGGTTTAGCTATCCGTGCTGTTTACGCAGTACTTCTTGTTGTAAATGTGTTGCTCTGCCTCTTGATAACTCAAGTGAGCGGGTGATCCTTGTTGGTTGCAAGTACATATTCTTCATCGATTGACTAGCCTGGTAACAAGTCTCTTCCCTGTCATGAATGCCTATATCGTGAGATGTTTAGGCCGTGACCTTCCTTCTTCCGCCCTCCTTGGCTGTTGAATTGAGAACCCCTGCCTCCAGCCGGTAGAACATGGGTCTGATCCCACTGCTTTCTTGGTTTTTTTTTTTGTCTTCTTCTGGAAGCTGGAATCTCATATTAGCGTTTACACACATAACCTAGTCTCTTGCCCATCCAACTATCCATTGATCATTCCTCCTCCCCTCCTTCCCAACTAGTTACCGGTCGCAATGCTTTCATATCTAGGAAAGAAGATAACCAGGTGGCTTGGGTGCGGTGTAAAGCCGAAATCCATTTCAACAGGAACAGATACCCCCGAAGCAACAGCCGTAGACTCAAACAGCCACCTAGGGAAGACTAAACCGGTGATCCTCATCATTCATGGCGCATGGCAACATCCAGCGTACTATCAGGCCTTTGTCCAAGTGTTACAGTCAAGAGGTTATGAGACCCATTGCCCACGTTTACCGAGTTGCAATGGCCAGGTTCCGCCTACAAAGTCACTTGAAGATGATGTCCACTTCATACGCCAATTCACAGCTCAGCTTACAGACGCTGGCAAGTTAGTTGATGTCATTATGCATTCATATGGCGGGATAGTGGGAACCGACGCGCTTTGTAAATTTGGTATTGCAGAGAGATCCAGAAGAGGATTTGCCGGTGGAGTAAGGAATCTAATATACCTGACAAGCTTTGTGCCTCATAAAGGACAGAGTTTGGTAGGAATCTTCGAGGGCCAATCGTTACCAACTGTTAAAATCAACGTAAGCCCAAGTCGACCTGAGTTTCAACTGCTTTTTCTTTGTCGTTCTCGCGCATGTTTTCGTACTCCCTCCTGATATTCCATGAAATTTAATATACTGATATCCACGATCAATTGTTAGGAAGAAACGAACCTCATATCAGCAACCGATCCAATTCCGATGTTTTACAGCGACTTACCGAGTGAAGAAGCAGAGTACTGGGTGAAACAAATGGTTGCTCACCCATATTCGGCGCAGTCCACTCCAGTCAGCAATGAAGCGTTTCGAGAACTTCCGACCTCATACATTATTTGCGAGAACGATAAGGGTATCTTGCCCGAAGTGCAGCAAATGATGATTGATAGACTCAAGGTTGCTGGTGTTGATATACAGGTCCAACGATGCAGCGGAAGCCACAGCCCCTTTCTAAGCATGCCCAATGTCACTGCAGATATCATCGAAAATATTTCAAATGTTTGACATTATGCTCCTAGCATTCTCTTACCTTCCAAGGAATGGCGGAAATTTGAGATATGGGTACAGCAGCGTCCAATGCCCATAACAGTCGCACTATGATATACGCATTATGGAAGCCCCTTTATCCCTCTTCTTATTTCCCACTCATCTGCTGTTTCATGCAGCCCCATGTATTTATTGACCAACATCGATCTCTAGTCGATGTGAAAAGATCGTTTGTCCAACAGTGAAAATTGACTACGAGCGGGATAAACCTTAAAACAACGGTCTATTAATTATGTAACTAAGTTTAATGTCACGTGAAGCTGTCAAGCAGGAACTTGTTGCCAACGACATGAAACAAAATTGATAATGAAACAAGAGAAGATATAAGATCTCATCAGCCAGACATTCATTGAATCGTTTTCCGTCGCATTCTCTCGGCGAGACTGTAATCCTCGTGCCAAGAGACGTCCAATTATACCATTGATGTGCCGCTTAGACATAGACAACAACTGCGGCCATTGCGACCACTGCACCCACAGCCTGGGGGAGAGGAACACGAACATACCCAGCAGCACCCGTGTACTGTGCTGGAGGTGCAGTACCCGATGTCTGTGGTCCATCACAGTGCCAGTGATCGCCGTGGGGCTCGCAGCCGACGGACTCTGTTGGGCTAGGCTTCAGAGACTTGGTGCTTGATCCGGTAGGATTAGGTGCGGCAGATGAGGTGACGCGAGGTCCATCGCAATGCCAGTGATCGCCGTGGGGCTCGCAGCCGACGGACTCTGTTGGGCTAGGCTTCAGAGACTTGGTGCTTGATCCGGTAGGATTAGGTGCGGCAGATGAAGTGACGCGAGGTCCATCGCAATGCCAGTGGTCTCCGTGGGGTTCGCAACCAACAGACTCAGTTGGGCTAGGCTTGGTTGGAGTTGCCATTCCCTCATGGCCTTCAGCGTGCGAAGTGGTTGCAGTAGCAGCTGCTGAGGTCGCAGGGGCTGGGCCCGTACAGTGCCTGACGGATATGTTAATACTTGACTCTCCTCCAATTAAACATGGTCGAGCAGAGTTCTTACCAATGGTCACCATGCGGCTCACATCCCACTGACGCTGTAGGAGAGGGTGGAAGTGTGCCTTCAGCAAAGACTACACTGAGTGCAGAGAAGGCAACAAGGAAATATCCAATGGTCTTCATTGTGACAGAGCTATCGTGTGTAGTCCGTGTTCGAAGAAGTGCACAAGAGACTATAGAGCATGCTTCAACAACGATGGTCCTGGAGGCCTTTTTATATTTGGACTTCCAGTGCCAGAATGCCTATGTTGAGCGCTCTATACGAACTTATTGCTCCCCGGGTCCTTCTTTACTGGCCTCTCGCTCGGAGAATACCTTTCGATCCCGCGACATGGGACCTTTAGGCCCGATCTCTCTGCCTCCAACCAGCACCTCCGCAGTCCAAGCTTTGCACAAGCAAGTTTTCTTGTTTTCCCACCTCATGATGATGGGTTCGACTTGATTCGATGTCACTTCGTACTTAAGCCCGACGAGCAGGGAGAATAAGCTCGAAGCGAAAAAAAAAAAAAAAAAAAAAATTAAAAATAAAATAAAATAAATAAAATAAAGGAAATGTTCCCTTGGCATACTACAAGGTACTCAGGGCCACTTCTAAACACTGGTCAGCAGAAAAATACACTCAAGTTTTCAGCATTTCTTTATCTCTACGGCTTGAAAGCTCATTAATGAATTTTTAAGCTATTCATATCCTGGACTAATATTAATAAAGGAGTCGCGAATAAAAAGTCTCGGAAGCTCCTCCCAGCAATGCCTCCTACCAGCAAAGCCAGTGCAGAATTTTTATTCGATTCTACACCGTTGCCAGCTCTGTATTTTCCATCTACTCCTATACTGATATGTTATCACAAGGTACTCATTTTGTATCTGGAGCTACATTCAAGATGGGTCAAAGAGGCGCCTGAGGTCTCTCCGACTGTGGAGATGCAGGCCAGCACCGACGCAATTTTTATTTTTTATCTTTTATCGATATCTTCAACAGCAACCTCGGTCACTTATGCGATAGCCTTGAATAGAAACATTTGCTCGCAGGGTTCACAACAACCTTCGTAGCTACCCCAAACTCATTTGGATCCTTCCGCCATTGAAAATTCAAACATGAGTCCATGGAAATTTCAGAGGCTATTCGGGTTCTTGCAGTCATTAATCGTCCTTTTCGCTCTCGACATTATACCCAAACATATTTAGTGAACCCATTATCGAAATGACTCGGCCATACGCTCTCATCTCTCTCGCCCTATCGATAGTAATCGGCTTGGCTCTAGTCTCGATCCTTGATGACATCACTAACCCAACTCTTCGAAGCAATGTTAAGCCGTCAATTTACAAGCTGGCAGGTATCAATGCCCTGACTTCCTTCCTTGAGAAATACATTCCAACAAGCTATCTACGCCTTCCTCCCCTGCGAGCTGGGCTCCCGGCATACTACCAGCACTCAAGTGGTCACAATGCTACCAATGTGAATAGAGAAAAACTAAAGGGGAGAACGATTAGTACTCGACAATGGGAAGAGAAGTCTCGTCTGAGAGATCGAATGAAGAGGGATGACAACAAAAAATGGGACTCATCGCATCCGCGATATAGACTATTAACAGCCATGCATGGCTTTGCTCGGTACAAAGATAGAAATTTAGCCGAAGCTGATCGATGGAATACCTTATATTTGAACTCCCCCATGCGCCACCGCAAAGTAAGTCTCGTCCTACCGCTTTTTACGCTAACTGTCTAATGATATATTTCCAATAGTTCCTTGAATCTACCATAGGGTACACCTCAAAGCTGAACAAGGTTAAAGACTTGTTTGCCGAGAACGATGCCCTCGCCCAGGCAATTTTAGCTCATGCACTGGATTTTTATGAAGTCGAACGAGCTGAACTAGACCAGTTCATTCAAGAGGCTGAGTCCAATGGCATTGTGGCCGACAAGACTAGCACATCTCAAGCCATGAAACATTTCGTGAGGGATTGGTCTACAGAAGGGCTGTTCGAAAGGGACGCGGCCTTCCCCTGTGTGTTGGAAGCCCTGCAAAATTATACTGTCCGTTCAAATGATAGACCTCTTCGCGTCCTAATTCCTGGCTCTGGACTAGGCAGGTTAGCACACGATGTCTCGAAACTAGAAGGTATTTGCGACCAACCAATTAACTGGTTGCTTTCTGTTCTAACAGTTAATTCCTCTAGGATTTGAGGTTACTTCCAACGAATGGTCTTCATATATGAACATAGCGTACCGTTATGTCGAGGCCTTGCAGCTTTTAAATTCAGAAACATTTTTCCCCTTTATTGACTGGTGGTCACACCAGGCTTCCACTACAGACCTCCTTCGACCCGTTCAATTCCCCGACACCATTCCTTACCATGCGAACAGTTCGCTAGATCGTTCTCTCATCCACATTGAAGGGGACTTCAACTCCATGCATCATGGCCTCCCGGCAGCCGAGACCAAATACGACGTCGTGATAACACTCTTTTTCATCGACACTGCTAGAAATCTGATGTCCTATTTTGAGACTATTCAAGACTCCTTGAATGAGGGAGGCACTTGGATTAATCTTGGTCCGCTCCTTTATGGAAGTGCTCCATTCTTGCAACTTTCTTTGGATGAAATTGTCGATGTATGTGAGCACTTGGGATTTGAGTTCCTTGATACGTCTTCAAAATGTGGTGCCACTACCCTTGACGGGAGGAAAATTAGAAGCAAAGAAGTGCCCTATGGCCTTAGTGATCGATCTTTATCCAAGAATGCCTACAAAGCTCAATTCTGGGTTGCAAAGAAGGGAATGTAGTCCCGCCACTGTCATAGAGATATGAGGAATGAAGTTGATGTGGATGTTCTAGGCAGCGCATTAGTTGGCGGATGAAAGCCTAGTTTTGGAATATATAAATAAACAAGTCGTGTTAAGAACCGGGCCAGCCTTGTAACTATCCAAAACATACAAATTAGCCTAAAACGTACTTCGTATATTTAGGATCCGTCAGTTGTTATGCATAAACGATCACGCTTCAAAAATTTCACCTAACCCTACTCCTGCCCCCTGCGCTCCATATCGACACTCAACCAAATCTAGCCTCCATCCTTTCCAATTCTTCAGTTTTGCTTTTATCTCTCGGGCCCATTCAACTCTTTTTTTTGCTTCTTCCTCCTCTTGGGCACGAGCAAATGCATCTTCATCAAACGCATCGTCGTCTAAAAATTCCTCATTTGGATCTGCATGGGAACCGTAATCGAAGCTCTTATGTCCTCTATCTTGATCTTGAGCACCAGTGAACGCAGCAATGCCACTTTGCAATACTGTTGCAAAGGATGAGTGTTGCTGTGGCCTGTGGCTGATGCTGCGACGACCAGCGTAGCTGTGACCCCCTGGCGCACCGCCTGTGAGATCGACATCATCAAATGTGCCTGAGAAGGATTTCCTATCTGCCGAGGAGCCTTCACCATCATGTTGAAAGGAGAGTTCACGTTTGCGTTCTTTCCAAATGCCTCGCCGAAGATCAAAAATTTCCCCTTCCAGATCTCGAACTTTCCGTTCGAGTCGCTGTCTTTCCTCGTCTTCTAGCTCATCTAGGCCTTCGTCAGCCCCAACTCCCGATGCCTCACGTTTCTTTAGTCGGTCTCTTTCTTCCTTGAGCCTTAGGTTTTCATTTTCAGTTGTTGCTATCTTTTTCGTGAGCATGGCCACATCCTTCTCGAATTTATCCCGTTCCTTCATACGGGTTTGATGTCGAGTTTCGGACTCCTTATGGAGGTTGCTTAAGGCTTGCAGTTTCTTCTCAAGTAGAACGGCCTTTTTATAGGCTTCAGCTTTAGCTTCCTCAGTTTCCTTGAGCTGGCGTTCTAGGCTCTTAATGAGGGTTTCGGTGGACGTTTTGTCTACCCCCTCTTTAACTGCCTTTTCCGCTGCTCGGCTTACAGCTTGTTTGGCATCTGCAAGCTCTCTTTGTGTCTTCTCTAGTGCGCTTTCACTGCGTGACAGCCTCTCTTCCAAAGCTGATATTTGTTCCTGGTGGGCTGAGGAACTGGTGGATTGTGAGTTCAGTTGTGCTCTGAGATTGGATATTTCCATCTCCATGTTTTCAATGGTCACTGACTTCGCGTCTAGTTGACTTTGTAACTCAGACGGCGAATCTGGATTTCCTGATACCGCGACACTGTTTGATGGTCTATGCGTCCGGGTATGCAGATGAGAGTTCTGCCGTTGCAAAGCACTAATTTCCGCTTTCTATGACCAAAGGTTAGTAGACACTCCACAAGATAGGAATATGCTTGCTACTGACAAGATTTTCTGCTTCCTCTGCCTGTTTCTCCGCCTTTGCAAGCTTCTCCTTCAACTCCACGGTTTCAGCGCTAGATTCACGTAAATCATCAAGCTCTTCCTCAGACTTCTTCCACTTTGCATTTGTCACTTCCACTTCTTTTTCCAACCGCTTGTTTTCCTTCTCTAGTTCTTCCAATCTTATAGCTTGTTTTCTGAACACTTCTGGCGCCGTGCTGCCATCAGGACTCAAAGGTAGTGTAGGAGATTTAACGCCCGATGAGCCTGGGCTGGTGGCCGGAACTTTCGAATCCTGGCGAAAGGACGAAGAGCGGAGTTTAGATTGAACGGATATCGAGGGTTGACGGCCATGGGATCGGGTTTTGGGCAAAGGTTCCCCGCCTTCGTCTTCTTTGTTATTAGTTTCTTCCACTTGTTCTCCAGTAGAAGCTGGTGTTTCCATAACTGCTTCTTCGGTATTATCCTTTTCGGCTGCTGTATCCTTTGGAGTCTCTGTCTCAGCTTGCTTTTCGGTGTCTGGTTCCTCCGGTTTGGAGTCTGGAGAGGGCCCTTTGTCCTCCGCTTCCGCAGGAGCAGCAGCTTGTTTACTAGATTCTCCTTTCTTTCCCTTCTTTCCCTTTTGCTTTTGCATTTGAGCTACCTAAATTAAAACCAGATGATGGTCAGTCCTATATCAATGGAGCTGGCGCGTGGGCATTGGAATTAGAAAATATGAACACACCCTTTTCTTAGCAGCAGCAAGCTTCTCAGCGCGATCCTTGTCCTCCGTGTCTGCCATTGTGTCCGTAGGGAGGCGATGCTGTTTAGGAGTGATACTATAAAAACCAGCAGGGTATATTGAAGCTCATGAAGGTGTTTACATTGTTCTTATCAAACTGATGTTGGATGATGCTACATGCTACCCAGTGATTGGTTAAAACATTCTTACGTAACTCTAAAGTACATTGAATCATGTGACTATCACGTGATTACATATTCATCAGCTCCGATTTCATCCATTCGGAAGTTTTCGGATCGAACAGAGAGGACTTAGCTCCCGAAAGTGCATGTAGATTGGAAAGCATCATGGTATTTCTGATAGTTGGCAGTGTTAAGTAACAAGTATAAACAGCTAGTTATGTCTACTTGCCGAAGGCATGGTATTCCATAAACTCCACGCCTGATAGCCAGCAAAAGACACATAATGATAAAGAGACAAACCAAAAAGAATCTCGATCACAAATAACAACCGATCGAACAATCACATCATTAAAAGAATTACGAAAAAGAGAGCATGATGAAGAACAGAGAGGAGTGAAACGGTGCCAGCGTGGCTAGTAAGCTGAGCTTCAATCGGACACTCAGATGGCTAGTTGCCTTAGCACTGGGTACGTTGACAGAGATCAGTGCAGTGCATAGATAACCAACCCAGTCATCAAATGGCGTTGATATAAAAATCGTCACGAGCATGCATTATTGCGGAAGGATGATAAGGAGTCAATCAATAACACAGAGTATCAAATGGGGAAAAACAAGTTCCAATCAAGTTTGAACTTGGGTAATTCTGGAAAATAGGAGGTGTTGCAGTTACACTTCCATAGAGTCGGCAATTTCTTCACTCAATGCACGGACGGTAGGCTTACTACCACCAGACTGTGAGCGTAGATCATCGTCACTAAGAATATAGTTGTCATATTCGTCCACAACTGGGCGGGCGGGCTGAGATGGCTGTCTTTCTTCTTCGTCGGCGCTGAATTCATCCATTTCATCGTTTGCGCCATCACCAAACCAGTACTTGGCGCGCTTTCTGGCACCCGTATCATGGGAGACGTAGCCATCATCGTCGACATTGCGCTTGCCTGGAACTGGAGTGGCTGTTCCATCGGCCGGTAGCTGGCTGAGAACGCTGATGCCACGCAAGTAGATGTAGCAAACACGCTTCCTGACTTTGTTGAAGAAGAAATAATTGAGGCTCCAGATGGTGCCCTCTTCGCCATCGTATGGGTCCTCGTCCGGGCTATAGCAGTATATACTGCACTCCTTGAGGGACATTTGATTGTCGATGATCCTCCACATTCTAGGACCCCATGAATGGGTCGTTGCCGACATGTGCGGAGAGGATGAGGCTGGGGTAGGTGGCGTGACATCGCGAGCCAACTGCGGGCGGAGATTAAACAGGGTAGTATCAATAGTATCCATGACTCTCCGCAAGTTCTTCTCTCGGCGGAAGTCAGAAGGTCGCAGGACATGCGAAAAGTCATAGTCGGGGTGGCTTGCGTTAAGTGTAGCGATAAGATAAGCATAAGTTCTGCGGCTGGAATGCTCACTCAAGGGTCCAAACGGGCTAGAACGCGAGAGATTGAGCGACATGGCCGCGGAAGACGCATTAGGTGGTGAAAGCGAGGCAGAGAGTCGTAAAAGCGATTCATACTGCGTTTCCAAGGAGGCCTCGATGTTTTTGTACAGCTTCTTATCACCACTTGCGGCCTTCGTTGTGTAAAGATCACAACCGCCCACGACCATACAATCGGGTGTGTCAAAGTTCAGCGCCCTTGTCACATCGTCAAACTCGCTCAAAGGTAGGAACTAGACGGTGAGTGTCAGCAAGCTACCGAAGAAGAGGGTTTTGTGTCGCTATCGAGCGACAGATGTTCTGTGCCAGACCTTCATGGTGTCGGGTATTGATCAACAGGCTATGCGTGCTTATATTTCCCAGATTCGTGTGTCTTGAGTGTACGTGGTTGTGTCGATATGTTGTTGGAGCTCTTATCGCAAGGATGCGTCGATAGCGGCGATACGGAGGGAGCAAAACAAGCGCTTCCGGGGTCGGATCTCTCTTGACTGAGGCACTGCTGTCACGCAGGTTGACGCCTCAGCGGACGTGGCGGTTCTTCTTCTTCTTGGTGTTGCTCTTGCTGAAGCAAGTCAAACAGCGGTACGAGTTATCCAGGCTGGCTGCAAGGACAACGCATACGGATCGACTACGCCAGACGACGAGGCCGTCTAGCAAGAAAGGGGACTCATGGCGACGGCAATACACACAAAATATAGTGAATGAGTAGCAGTGACTATGGATTGGGCAGTGAAGATGAGAGAAGCGCAGAAAGCGACAGAGAGAAGCGAGAGGAAGAGAGGGGAGCGAGCAGCGCGCCGGGAAGGACGAGAAGAAGCCCAGAAGTTGGGAATATGGGAGCAACGCCCCAGTCACGTGAGGATGTCTGACCAGTGACGTCGAGCGGTTGTTTCACGCGATTATGGCAGCAAGGAACGCCGGGAGACGAGAGACGACGGGCAGAGAGGGGAGGATGTCGAGGGATGGACGGTGGTGCAGGTGTAGGTGCAGGTGATGGCTGTTATGCAGTGATGCTGGAGACACTGGAAGGTGGACGGCATGATGATGATGATGATGATGGTTAGCCTGAGAAGGGATTTGCTGGAAGCGGCCAGGTAGAGACGATGCTGGAGAAGTAAGGAGACGGCAGACCTCAGAGTCCCAGGGAACTCATCACCTTGACTCTGTCGTCCTCGTCCTGTTTGTTGATGAAAGAGTCAAATTAGTCATGTCGTATATACACTGTCCGAGAAACGCCGGGTATAAACTGTCGCCCTAAACAAGATACAAGCAAGCAGAGAGAACACGAATCAAGGTGTGCCGACGGCCGCTACATGATTTTCGTGATGATATCCTGTTCAACCTAAAAAAGCAGAAAGGAAGAGCAAGGGGTTAGCACCTAAAACAACGCAAGGAAGACAGAGGCTGGTAGGAGGAGCGAGAGTCTCTTTGGCGGTTGCTTCGAGTGCTCATTCAACCCCCAGGAATGGAGAATCAGAAAAATTCCCGCTTACCTCCATGTCTTCTAAGCTGTCCTGCTGACTGATACACCGCAGCACGTTCTTCTTGCTACTCTCCTGCATCTCTCCCGCCAGCAGGAGCTCGTCGAGGATAAAGTAGGCCTTTTGGAAGTTGAAAATAATATCCAGCTCGCAGACATTGCCATAGTACTTGTCCATCTGCTCGACATATCGGTGCACGATCTCTAGGGTGATCAGCTCGTTGTCGGTGGACGAGCAGCCGGCGATGAAGAAGAGGGAGGCATATCGGCGGTACACCACTTTCGAATCTAGAGACATTGCACTTTGTTAGCCGCACGGTACATGACAACTTCATACAGTTGTAAGCTGCAGCAGAAACGGGCAAGGTATAAGGCCAAACTCACCTTTGTATTCAAGAAAATTGCACATCCGCGTCCGTCGTGAGAGGACCAGCTGGGTGACATCTTTGATGATTTTCGCCTTATCCTTTGGCGAGAGCGTCGTAAACCATTTTGCCAGACGCTACATGAACCACAATCCGGTCAGAAAAAGTATCCAAGATGAAGGACATCCTCCGTATGAGCAAGAGGTTGTTGCCTGTCCAAAGGGCAGAAGTTGCTTGTGGGAACGAAAAAGGGACAGGAGGGAGCTTTTGCTTCAAGGTGGGTGACGAGCGTGGATGGCTGGTGTACTGACCACCTTGCCCTGACGAGAGAGCAGAATTAAATAGCTGGAGAGGGGAGTCAGTCGGTCTGTTCTATCGCCAGCTAGCCAGGCAGTGAGACTTACTTGATCGCCATTATGTTGCTTTATTTCTGCGGTGGTTCGACGTGGGGAGGAGAAGAAAGTCGACAAGTTTTGTGTTATTTTCTTTGCCTATGAAAAATGTTTGGAGGGTCACTTTGCCGCCAAGACGCAAAGAGCCGCGCGATCAGAAGCGCCGGCGAGGGCGATCATTTGATATTGGCTATTACGACCTCTCTGCATACTATTCTAATCGATAAAAGAGAGAGGAGCGCTGGTATATGGCGTCTGGTTGTTGATGCCGGCTGACGGTCTGAGAGAACTGAGTATTGTGCTGCATGACAGAGTACGGAGTAGCTATACATAGATGCACTCCATGTAGTTACAGTACAGTAAGGACAAAAATTGACACACCACCGTCAATGGGCCTCTATATCCATCCTCTTCATCTTGACTCCATGGCGTATCCTCACCATCCTATGCTCCTATGCGTCTTCCTTCCATCTACTATTCTATGCCGGCGATAGTTAAATATCCTGACTAAGCCTCCAAAAAGCCGTCCGTAAAACTTCCGAGGCTCCCCCCACCAAAGGGGGAAAATGCATCCCGCATTACAAATTCACGCAAAGGATTCTGTTTCCACGGTGTTCGAGTTCCTTTCGAGCCGGGATGTTGTTCGTCTGGTGCTGGCTGTTTATATAGAAGAGTGCACCTTGCGACCTTGGTAGTTGGAGAGAACACACTCAAGGCAGGACTGACAGTGATACACCAGCAAAGATGAGGTTGATACTTTCTACCGGGTAAGTCTGCACAGCCGTAATGCGCCCGAAATCAGTACTGACCTTTGCGGATAGAAACATCGTCAGCAGTGGACCATCTGTCCTCAGAAGACCGGCGACAGAGAAGTCCAATGTGGAATTTCTGAACTCGCTACGATATAACTTCGTTTCCGCGCAAGAGATCGAACCCTCACACACCAACTCGCCATGCGAAGAGACGCATTCGCCGCCCCAGAAGCTCTCCTATAGCGACTATACTACCTGGACTTCCAGAGATGGCGACACGCTATATGTGCCCTCCCTAGACTTTTCAATGTCTGGCCTGTCTGAAGATCGTTCGCAGTACGATGTCACTGTGAAGCTTTTTTACCTTCCAGGAGTACCAGCGCAGCGGAGATGTCAACATGCGCGGGAATCAATCGATCTAGTCCTCAAGGAGCTGCATATAAGCTGCATAGATTTGTTGATCGTCTCGTTTCCGGAGGTCACATTTGATGCGGATGACGAGGGCGAAGAAGAGCTGTCGAACAGCGAAGAGAACGGGTCGGAACTAGACAATATTGTCAAGACATGGCGGGCCTTGGAGGCCATGCATGAGCAAGGGATAATAGCTCAACTCGGCATAGCTGAATTTGACAGTTCACGCCTCGCGAAGCTCCTGGCACAAACAAAGATTCGGCCCAATGTCGACCAGATCAACGTCAAAGATTGCTGCGTCGTACCGAAATCGTTGATCCTTTATGCAAAACAAGAGAACATCGAGCTCCTTACACACAATGACTGCACGGATATCCTTCCCCGAGGCACCACTCGAGACCTGCTATCTCGCACCGAAAAGGGTGCCGGTATACTTGCTGCCACAGCTGGCGCCGACGATGGTGGTATAAAGGGCGATGTCGACCCCCAGTGGGTCATCAAGTATACCGCCGTGGTTAAAGACAGAGGTGTGATTGAGAACAAAGGATATTTTGCCCTAGCAGATGTCGGGCCTTGATCAAGAAAACTTGTGGGCTGTTTATTCTCTATATATGTTTCCCTGTCATTTTTTTTTTTCCCCCGGTTATCCTTGATGTAAGCGTGAGCGTTTCCAAGTACTTCAGCACAAATATAGGCAATAATTTTGCAGAATACCCGCTGTGTACGATACCAATATGTGAATACTTTTGCTGTTGCATATCATGGCTTGGATTTAGTTTTGAAACTGTAAACGTTGAGCTGTATTCGCGTTCCCTGTAATACTTATCCGATCATGCTCCTCTTTCGTCCTCTTAGCCGCACTTCCTCCAGTCTTTTCAAGACAGATTTGGCGCCTTTGAAGCTCTCTCCATATCCCTCAAGGACTTCTTGGAATAACCTCTCGGTTCTGGGGTGGGAACTGGCAAACGCTCGCTCCAGAACGTACAAATCCACGGCTCTATCTTCGTCTTGGACGCTCTGGCTGGCAAGCCCAAAGTCAATGAGAACTATCTCTCCATCCAAGGAGGGCAATTCGTTCCCTGGTTCTAGATTCTTGGTATCCGTTTCGCGAGGAGCTGTCTCAGCTGACACGCCGCTAGCTGGTGGCCGTAACATGAGATTACTCGTCGTCAAATCGCCATGTATGATTCCAGTCTTATGCAGCAGCCCGACGGCACTTCCGATCTTTCGGAGAAGAGTGCATATCTTTTTTTCACTTTCCTTCACAGCCTCAGCACATACGCTAATATCCGTGTCAGCCGTTCCTCGCTCGTCTAGCGCGCTGCTGGACTTTATCCATTTCTCCCAGCTGTCCACGACTTGTCTGACTACATCCCCATCAATCCATTCCATAAGCAGCCAGCCACCATTACTTGCACTATTCCCTTCTTTACTTTCATTGTCTGGTTCGGGATTGTTCCCCCAGTCCGCTGCCAAAATGCCAGGTACTGGGGCTCCTTCTCTAGCCAGTTTGGTCATGCATCTCGCTTCCTGTAAAATTCGCTGGCGAGTTAACCGGCGGTCGAGTATCGGGTGACGATATGGCTTCAATGGGCGCACTTTTAATGCTGCAGGGATAGAAGGATGCAAAAAATGAGTTTTATATAGTCGGGCTTCTGCGCCTTGGGCAAGCAAGACAGGTACACTCGCGGGGTCACAGTAGGTAAACGGCCGTGGAAGCGGCGGAGGAAGTTGGATCTCTGCCATGTCTTTATTGATGCGTGTATGCTGGTTAGTATGTATCCAAGGGGTATGTCCTTAACTGCTCGGCAAAGCAGTTCTGACTGTTCTGCGGGATCCCTCTTGTTGGTTCCTTCGTGTGCTTACATTTTTCTACTTCGATAGCTTACCTAATCTAGAGACAGTGTCTTCGGGAGTTGCTCCACAGAGTTTGGCGCTATCTAAATCTGGTTTAGCGCCATATCGCTCCTTCGACGACTTAGTAAGCAAGTCTTCACGCATTTCATTCGCTGATAATCCTGAATATCAATTTCTCAAATCCCATAACACAAGATCAAGCAATGTGAAGGGGCTAAATCCGATAGGTTTTGGGTTGAGTCATTGATATAAAGTTTATGTTTCCCAAGAGGAGATTCAGCTGGGATGAGAACACGGTACTTCAGTCCCGCACTAAGGCTGGAGAATGGTTGTAAGTTGTAATATCCCAGGATGAGCAGTTGATTTCCTTGTCCCCGGCATCAGTGAGGGATGGAAGCATGGTAGTGGAGGCGAAAAGCCTGGAGATGATGGCCCTGAGCGTCCATACAACTTCTATACCTATATCGGATTCCCAGGTTTGAGGTGACAAACCGTTGAGAGGAAATTTGGAACTACATGGCTGGGCTCTACATGCTCCCAGATGATTTATTATGTCATACACCGACACAGCCGTATAAGGAGCTGATGGAGTTGATTGGTTGGTATTGCTGACTAACCATGAGCTTGGCGGACGTTATCACTTAGCACTGATGTCTACATATTAGAGATCGCGTATGCAGACGCATGGAATTTGCTATCCGGTCCCATCGCCCATCTCCCATAGCCAACTCTTCGCAATCTCACCGTCATCCATGGATCTACAGCATGAGGGCCCAACATCATTTGTGCTCCATTTACAGGCATAGTGTTGGTCTTTTTACTCAGAGCTGCAAATTCTGGTTCCACCAAGTAGAATGTCGCTTGCTCCAAGTCGCCACATCTTCAATTCCAGCCCTTGCGGCCTCCTTTTGAACATTTGTAAGCACAATCGGGCCTTGTGCCAGGATATTTTCGGCGATTGCCATGGCATTCAGGGCGTCCTGGGTCTTTTTGCTGACTGTCGGGCGCATACCGCAGGTATTGATCTTGAACGCAAGTAGATCAACTGCAGAAATGTACGGAAGGTCCGCCGAATTGATTGTGCTGATTGGTCTTGCAGCTTCGGGAACATATGCAGACTGTGAAGAGAATGGTAAGCAGTTAGACAAGGTTCAAGCAAAAACGGTCTTGGTCAACGTCCTTCTTACCTGCCACTCAGGGGTGTAGTCGATTTGAATGCTTTTGCCGCTCAGGTGTTTATAGACGAAGAGCTGGGCGTATTCTGCAAAACAGGAGTTTAGCATTCGGAGAAGCTCGGCTTTCACAGCCTGACGGGCACCAGAAACAGTGTTTAGGAAATCGACGTCCTAGACAGGCGTTAGGCACTAGCATGGGATGTGACGTCTAGGAGCTTAAGTTATTCCGTGCTTTGGTGGTCCTTCCGCTAGGGATGTACTTCCACAAGGCGGTTCCTCCGATGATAGCAAGTTTGGCACTGCCAAACTCAGGATACTGCTTCAGGGCATCAATCGCCGCTCTTACAGTATCCTCCAGCTCCTTAAGGGTGGGTAGCTCCGTGCTGGTCGCCATCAGGGGCTTCGAGACTTGATATTTTGGATGGGTGACCGTATAATATAGTATGTAGCAATGGATATTGGTGGTGGTTTGGTGGTAAAAGGCGATAGGAAGAAATCCAGAATCGCAAGCGTACATCTTAGATCTATATACACATAATTCTGGGGAGTAGAACCTTCTACATTAGCTGAGTTGGGAGGTATGGCAATTCCGGCGCGTACGTAAACGCCCTGGTCTGTCACAAAAATGGGGCTGAATGTGCATCACTATGCGCCCAGGACGCATGCCCATGGAGCTTGTTGGCGCCCATGGGAGAGCCTGCGCATAATAAAAGCAGATAACTGGAGGCGAAAGCGTTTCATCTGGGGTGGTTGATCGAGAAGACGAGAGGAGGACGAGACTGCGAGGAGGTACATGTGGCCTAGGCCAGGGCCCACTAAAATCAGCAGTGGAGAAATAGTATCGACTAACAGCTTAGTACGGTCTTTTTTTATCCTTTCCCCAGTGCCTCTGGGGCATGGCTTGGCACTTGAAGTCTTGCCTTTGTGATACTCCGTAGGCCTACCTCCTCCCAGGGCGCTGTTCAAACAAACATCATCACAGCAACCATCACACCCAGGACACGACATCGACCACATCTCCTTTCTGCCTTTCCCTTCTCTTGTGCCTTTGGCAGACTACAGACGAGTACTGCTAACCCTTTGGTCTATTCAACCATGTCACTTAGCAGCAGCCAACGCTGCACAGCCTGATAACGAAATCCGCTCTCTCCTGCTTGGTGAGCCCTTGATCCATGCTGTTTCACGTCTCCTGGATTCCAACGGAGTTCCAAACGTTCTGTGGGGAAACTACCTTCTCACTGTCTATGGAATTCCGTCGCTAAGCAATGTATGTGACGAGTGGCCTGCCGCAACTTCGTTGGGGAACCGTGGGACTGACATTTTTCAGGATGCTTCGTTTGCAATACCCGACGACAAGATACCCCGAGTGCGTAAGCTCTTTAACAGCGCTGCTGGCTTAGTCTCCTGCGCAGACCAGAACTGTATCATTGTTACAATTCGATCCCGTCCTCCCCCTACCAACCATTTCCACTTGGACACAGAAGACACGCATATCTATCTATACCCGCTGTCCGAAGTTCTTCCAAATATTCCCAGCATCCCAGATGCCGGCGACAAAATCATCTCCGCGTCTGACCTCGGTTGCCTTCCTGGGCCAATAATAGGCTACGGCAAGGGTGCGTTTGCTCCAGAGTACAGCTCCGTGCTTGTGCCTTCAATTTCCTGCTTCCTGGAAGCCTGCCTCGTCAACTATGCACACCTTGCTCGGGGCATTGAGGACAATCCAGGATGCTGCCATGACCTGCACTACATGAGCTGGGCATCGTATCTCGTACAATACGTCCATCCACGCGGGTACCTCAACCTTGACTTGCTTCAACCGGTGTTCAGAAACTTTATGATTAATGGCTTTTTGGAAAATAGTACTGCTGGATTTGTGGCAGCGAGGGAGAAACTCATTGCTTCTGTCTAATTTGAGTGATTTCAAGGACTTTTTTTTTTTTTTCTTATTTACCTGTTGGGCGTTGGTGCATGGAGAGTCATGCTAATAATGAACGTAACGTATTATTGCATCTATGTGTATACGGCCATCAACTCAGCACCACAACGCACCACAACCCAACACCAGAAATCAAGATCAGTGATTAAATTTCGATGTGAAAGGCCCAGCAGCTCTAGCCATGGCATCCTTCCAAATCCTCTCCGATCTCCATCTCGAGTCTCCTTCGGCTTACGACATCTTTGACGTTCCTCCCAAAGCACCCCATCTCGCGCTCCTGGGAGACATCGGTAATGTGCGCGACAAGGGCTTCTTCCCGTTCATCGAAGCACAGCTACGTAATTTCCGCACCGTCTTTTTCTTGATGGGCAACCATGAACCATACCACTGCAGCTGGGACGAAGCCAGGCGCAAAATCAACGCGTTTGAACGCGAAACTCGCGAAAAGGCAAATCTAGATCCAACTTCGGGCCTAGGAACATTCGTCTTTCTAGACCGCACGCGCTACGATATGCCCAATACTATCACGGTTCTTGGATGCACTCTCTACTCGCACATTCCCCCCGAGCACGAAGAGAGAGTGAGCTTCGGCCTCAACGACTTTTACATGATCGACGACTGGACCGTCAAAGGTCACAATGCCACTCATGCCGCGGACCTGGCGTGGCTGAATGAGCAGGTTGCTGCTATATCTGCGTCTGAGCCGCAGAGGAAGATTGTCATATTTACATATCATAGTCCGATTATGCGGGATGAGAGGGCTGTCGATCCAGCGCATATCGGAAGTGCGATTAGTTCCGGGTTTGCGACAGATTTGAGTAGTGAGGAGTGTTGGAAAAACCTGAGCGTGCGACTATGGGCGTTGGGGCACACGCATTTCAATTTTGATTTCGTGGTAGGAGGAGGCTTAGGCCAAGGGAAGCGAGTGGTGAGCAACCAGCGGGGATACTACTTTCAGCAAGCTGGAGGGTTCGATGTTGACAAGGTTGTGAGTGTTTAACTGTTTGGATAACATAAATGGCCTCTTTTGCGCCTCTACGGAGTATTCTCGTCTGCCTGATGACTAAGCTTTCCAGGTATCAAACATCCCCAAAACCTCAGAAAGGGCGTCAAAAGCAGCATCAAATCATACAAGATGTTGATAGCCATGACAATCAGAGGATAATGAGGAAATTGTTGGACCATATTGATACCTCGGAGTGACAAGGCATATTCAGGACATAATTCAAGAACCACCGCGGCGCCATGGCGCCTTCAGGTAGCATGGCTCTCTTGACCTATCTTCATTTGAGATAGAGTGTATGTCAATTCCAACCTACACTTCTTATCCTTTTATAAAGTACAAACGCAGAAACAGCCTATAGTTGGTCTCGTCACATCGTCAGCTGCTGGGAGACGTGGGGTGCAAAAACATGGACCAGTGTTGGATGCGGCCAGAACCCGCCAAAGTCACCCCTGGCATCCTCGTACCCTAAGTTCGTTATGCAGCTTCCTTCTCCCTAGTGCTGATACCATCAAGCAGACGGTATTAGATGCGTCATAGGTCTCCAATATTACGGGGTTGTCTTCAAGCCTTCCGCTTAATACCTGTGCTCCCCGCCTTGCCGGCATTACCCTTCCGCCTGGGCTGACTGCCTTGCAAAATTAAGGGCGTCGTAATGAGATCCTATTTGAGGAAACTATCTGTAGCCTCCTCGCTTCAGTGTGCATTCCAAACAACTGCCCTAGCACGGGGAGCGGAAGTGGCGTGGGCTGGGATACGGACAGATCGAGCTGACAACCCCGGGTCATCTTCAGGAAGGTTTCCGGGAGGGCTCCACCACCCGTCCGGCGCTTTGGCGTCCTAATCAAGTTACTTCTTTTTCAAGACCATAAAGTACCTGTTCTCTTGTCTTGCTTCTCTTCCGGAAATATATCCATCCAGGCTATGAGAGCTGCTGGCGGATAGCTATCACGTGAAGAGCGACTCGCAGCCATCGACCACGAACTTTTGGCTCCAGAAGCAGTTGACACTTTGTCTGTATGCTGCCCTTTACGCCTGTTACATGTCAAGTACAAGGCAGCCCTCGTATCACTGCTTTCTTCACTTTTTCTGCAGTCAGGACTGTGACGGCCCCGGTCGCTCGCGCTAACAAGCGTTTGGTTCTTGTGGCCGAAGATCATGCAGCCTTGATATTGTTCTTTGCAGCAACACCTGCATACTTCATATTGTTCCTGCAGGCTGGAACCTAAATATGAACTGACCTCGCCTCCTTTCAAGCACTTTGTATATCAACCTCCCTACCCATTGTGACTCCAACCATCGTCGACTCCGCTGACTGGCTATTATTCCTCTTTATTTATTCCATTTTCTGTTTGTCCTCCCCGGGCCTGCTTGATAGGCGCCGGGGAGTCCTGCAAAATTGTTCCCCGTATCTGAATATGGACCGTGTCGATATTCAGTCCGGAGTCAATGTCTCTACTGCCTTTGTCCGGTGGAATGTTGACCATTCTTCCTAGACATCAATCTGCATGTTCCCTCTGGGGCTTTTGCAGTGACAAACAGCTGCAATGAGAAGATCCTTCTCGTCCTCGGGGGCTGCGTCCTCTCTCTTCTTGATAGTTCTGCTACTCTTCTATTAAAAGGCACAACGTCTTGCTGTCAAGGGCTCTGTTGATATCTCTTCCTTCATCAGAAGTGCAGATACCTTTTCCATACTCAAGTCCATACCAAGAACCATACACTTTTGAAACCACCAACAAGTCCTTTCCGGGAGCACTATACCATGGCACCGCACTTCGACCCTTTTCAGCAGAGCGTCACCTTCCTCCGCAGTGACGGCACCTCATTCCCTATTTCCATGGCGGATTTCAATAAGTTCATGTTATACGCAGTCAGAACTTCTATTGCAGCTGCTTCTCAGCTGGGCGCTTCTGTTGTGATGGCTGTTCTCCTTGCCTTACTTACAGCACCGGATAAACGACGATCAATCGTTTTCTATCTGAACATCACCACACTTCTCGTGAATGTGTGTCGTACATTATCCACGACGATATTCTTCACCAGCTCCTGGGTTGAAATATACACTTACTTCTCCGGCGACTATTCTCGAATCACAACCGGTGCCTACGCCAATTCTGTCATGGGAACTATAGCTACTGGTATCATGGTCATCTTGATCGAGCTATCCCTACTCATCCAGACTCACGTTCTATGCTCTACGCTTCGTGACCTATATCGAAACATTCTCCTCGCGTGGTCGTGCTTGGTAGCAGCGGTTCCAATTGCATTTCGAATTGCCTTCATGGTTGCAAATGTCAAGGCAATTATGACTCAATCTTCTCTGGGAAAGAACGTCTGGATACAAAGCTCATCGAACATCAGCATCACCGTCAGCATCTGTTACTTTAGTTTGCTTTTTCTGGCCAAGCTTGGCTATGCAATCTACACTAGGCGATTGTTGGGAATGAAGGGATTTGGAGTCATGCAAATCATTTTCATCATGGCTTGCCAAACTATGATACTTCCAGGTACGTTCACTAAGACGTCTTAACTATCTAATACGCATGATTGCTTATAAAAGAATGATTTTAGCTATCATGTCTATCCTTCAATATTTTATTCCCGAGTTTGAGGTCAACACGAATATCCTCACCTTGCTCGCACTATCTCTGCCACTCACGACGCTTTGGTCGGCTGCTGCCGTTCGCCACGGACATAACAAGAATCAAGGATCCGGTCGTCATTTCTGGGGAGGCAGCTCTGAAAAGTCACTGTTCGATCATAACAAAACCTCAGGGGGCAGTTTCTCCCATCCAACCTCGACGCTCATTGGGTCTATGCCGGGTCCCGAGAAGGTCAAGTCGGCGGACCACTTTGATCGTCTGTACCCTGAGCTACACGATACAGGCAACATCACAATCGAACGTAATTTCAGTGTTACCAGCAATAGATTATGAAATGAAGGGCAGATAAATGTCACGGAGAGATCTATGCAAGTCTCGGTGCAAACGTACGTCCTCTAGACATGTGCCTGTAAGCACTACACTCCCTGTGCTGCTCTCTGTCATACTCAGTTCCATTCCTTTCCTTGATACCAACTTTACTTCGTTTTCAGTCATTCGGACTCAGGAAGTTAGCTTTGTTTTTTCATTCTTTTATGATTCCCCACAAATTATCTTCTTGTACAGGACATGGAGTTAAATCTGATAGCAATTTTTAATCGAAGATCATATAATCACAACCTGTGGCATCCTCACTGTAAATGTATCAAGTAAACGAAACTCCTCCAACCAAATACGACAGAAATTAAGATAATCGTGACAATTGAGGTCGTTCCGTTTCTAAATGCCATTCTACTCACATTTAGAGCCACCAGAGCATTCCTCCTGTTTTGACTACATTCAATTATACCATTCTGACCTCCCTCTACCTTACCCTAGGCAAGATACTTGGCCATCTACATTCTTTAGTGGTGATTCGGTGGGTCCTTCTACCTCCAATCACTCGAAATACCCAGTTTTCAGGCTCTAGTTAGTTATATTTTACAAGATTTCATAATCTCACTGCAAGGCCAGCAGGCAGCAGTGATGCGTGTGCGTCAGTGCTCAACCTTCACAAGAGACACCGCTAGTTACTTAGGCTCCAGCCTCACGTAATAACTAGTAAACTTATAAAATCGCTGCGGGCCAGTTGACCGTCGTATTTATATAGTTATCTGGAGGAAGAAACTGTGAACTCCTCGATTACTTCGTTCTAACTTCGAGAGTGCCAGAATATGGCATTCAACAGCGCATCCACTGGTGTAACTAACCAAGGCGATATCTCTAAGGATGTGACACTCAATAACCAGCCTGAGGACAGTATCTCAGAAGTTTCCTGGTCACCAGTCGCCAACTACCTCGCTGTCGCCTCCTGGGACAAGGCGGTCCGTATTTACGACATCTCTCACTATCCCCAGGGCGAGGGGAAAGCATTATTCACGCTCCCTGGTGCTGCTCTGAGCTGTGGATGGTCTTCCGATGGGACCAAGGTTGTAGGGGCCGGCACTGATGGCTCAGCCAGGCTCATAGATCTCGCCAGTAACAATGACCAGGCCCAGCAGATAGCCCAGCACGATGCACCAATTCGAACTGTACGAATGATTCAAGTGCCGGGCAGCCAGTCCCCCATTGTCGTCACCGGATCGTGGGATCGCAAAGTTAAGTACTGGGACCTGCGGCAATCTACTCCAATAGGCGCAGTAACATGCCCCGAGCGCATATATGCGATGGAAGCCAGTGGTAACAAGTTGCTGATTGCCACTGCCGATAAAAATCTCGCCTTAGTCGACCTTAACCAGCCTACCACCATCGCCAGAACCATCCAGAGCCCGTTGAAGCACCAGACCAGAGCCGTCAGCTGGATTGCCAATGGCACCGTTTATGGAGTTGCCAGCATCGAGGGCCGCTGTGCCATAAATTATGTTGACGAGTCAAACAAAAAGTAAGTGGTAGTCTGCTTATTCGAATATTTCCGACTGTTATCCGGTAATTACTAGTAACGAGTGTGTCTGGAGGATCTGGAGGAGGTTATGTCCGGAAATTGGATATCCACGAGCTCATACGGTTATATTATTTATCAACCTAGTCAAAACTTCACCTTTCGCTGTCATCGCCAGCCAAAAGATAACGATCCCAAGAATCAGCTGGTATACGCCGTCAATGCTGTTTCATTTCACCCTCGCTACCATCAGGTATTCAGCACTGCTGGTGCAGACGGCACATTTTGTTTCTGGGACAAGGATGCCCATCACCGGCTGAAGGGGTTTACCGCCGGAGGCCCTATAACTTCGACTTCGTTCAACCACGACGGCAGCATCTTCGCCTATGCCATCAGCTATGACTGGAGTAAAGGATACTCTCACAACACGCGAGACCATCCAACCAAGGTTGTCTTGCATCCGGTGTCAGATGTCGAATGTAAGCCGAAGCAGAAGACAAATCAGGGGTAATGGCCCTTATCCGCCGGGTCAGGAGGGACAAACAATCATGAACGTGGGAAACGGGCTGGATTTTGTATCAACGAATTATTCTTCTATATATATGCCGGGGCTTTTTGCAAGAACAAAAAAGATTTTGATACTGGAACTCGCCCAAGCTTCCCTCCAATAGCGCCCGCGAGAAATATATATCACGTGCTTGTTATGTCTTGGCGCTTCAACCTTAATTCGACATTTGGCTTACATAAGAATAACACCGGCTGTGTTTTGTGCTGCGACCTAACGACGCAAAGACGACGAGGGTCACGACGGCCGGCTATAGAACTGGATGCTGCGCTTCTTGTGGCTGTTTAAGGCTGCAGAGTGTATCTGGGGAAGTCTGGACACATAGGAGCGGGCTGTTCTCACGGGACGATATGTTGTTGGTATAATGCTTCAGAGTATTAAGCTGAGTGGTAGTTAACAAAATGGCAAGGCAAAACATCGAGTAGTTATGAGTAACGGAGTATGCTTCCTGTGGTTGTCTTTTGAGCGACAAATGCCGGGATCACCAGTAGATTGGCAAATAGTTAGGTCGAGGGTTCATTGACTCCGTCACAAATGGCTTTTCGGTTTGAGCTGAGCCATCACTGCGTTGGAGTACGGAATAGAAGCATGCGCACGTCGTTCGTTAGCCATTATCTCGCGCAGTGGAATGCGATAACTACCTCCAAAGACCGGCTGTTACACGTGGAAGTGCCAAACCTTGGATTATGGCTGCGGTGTCGTCAGTGGTGGTGGTTAAATAGGTCGAGCAAACTCCCAAGTCTGGGCGAGGGTTTGTGATCACCAAAGCAATCCCACCTCAACAACACTTGAAGCTATCGACACCACCACCGACGGTTCGATGATGCTGCCCTCAAGTCAACGAGGGAGACGACCATGGCAGCAGTGCCGCAGAAGACCCTAGAGTGGCTTTACCGAGTCCTGACCACAGTGAGAAACATCCTTCCCGTTGCCGCCTGTTCACGGAGTACAAGCAAGCTGACCATTGTCAATTAATTCACATAGAACCAAGCATATCGCGACCCCAACAGGACGTATAGCGATACCGCGCAGCTCTTGGCCCAGTTTCCTTCGTTTTCTCCACGGACGGACGTTTACAGTACGCATTTTCATCTCCTCTTCCTAGCTTGCCCTTCGCTGCGGCCGAATCCATATACTAAGCCAACGTTCTGTTAGCATACGAAAATGGTGCCTCAGCTCTACTTCTGCACTTGACAGGCACATTACCAGTACATTTCAGAGGAGCCTTATACTGGTTTCCAATCGCAGTATGGGTCCCGAATACATACCCCGATGCATGCCCGATGGTCTATGTGACCCCAACATCCGAGATGCTGGTACGACCAGGACAGCACGTTAGCAGTGACGGGAGGATTTACCATCATTACCTAGCTCATTGGGCTGAGGCTCGTGATGTATGTGCAATTATTGACACCAGTGAAATATTGACAGTGATACTGATTAAATGCTTTTTTTTTTTTAGCGGTCTACACTAGTTGATTTCCTTCTGATATTAAAAGAGGTCTTTGCTAAAGAACCACCAGTGATATCTAAAGACGCTCCAGTTAGAAGACAACCGACCCCGTCGCAGCAGAGCACTCCACCAGCAGTACCACCATTACCAGCTGAGCTAGCACGACCTGCACCAAGCGTCGCCCCGTCGACGCAGCCACCAACCCCCCCAAAACTCCCTCCGAAGCCGGGTGGAGAGAGGCACCAAACCGCTTCAGAACGGCCAGCTGAGAACACAGTCACATCGCGCAATGTACCGCCACCTTTGCCACCCTTGCCTGCTGAGCTACAGTCAACAACTCACCCGCGAGATGGTCCTGGGCTAGAAAATCGAGGAAACCAGTTTCTGCCTCAGAGATCAAGTAGCTTAAGGAGCGACGTCACTCCGATGCCCCAGCCGCCACCTCCAACACACCCAAGTCAACATCAGACTCAAGCATTCATTCTGGGAGCTCATGATCGCAGGCCATCAAGTGTCCAGAATCCGCCAGTGGGGTCTACACCCCATGCACCTCAATATCAGCAAGCATACCAACCTCCATACCTCCGTCAACAATCTCCTCCCCAGCACAATAACGCTATAATACATCCATCTCAACAACAAGCAATCCATCACCCCCATAGCCCTCTACATGTTCCACAAAGGGATGCCCAACCGCCTCTGGCCGCAAACAGCTCTCCGAAAAAAACGGAAACACAAGACCTTCTTACTTCTCCCTTCGATCTCGAATTTCCCGCTCAACTACCCTCGTCATCACCACCACCAATCCCTCCAAATCCAGAGAAAGATGTCCTATTACAAACTCTCTCAAGGACGCTAACCCAAACGATTCACGCCAATATCGAACAGGCGAATTCTCGCGTAGAGCCACTGAATTCTCAGTCAAAGGCATTACACGATGCCATTTCCACTCTTCGATCGGAGATTGCTGCGGTAAACGCATTCCACTCTAATATCCAATCAAATACCCAGATTTTACAGCAATCTCTACGTCGCGCGGACGGCGTTATAGCAGACGCAAAGTCACGCATATCATCGTCATCTGCATCTTCCTCGAAGCATCCAGCTGGCCTACCTGCTATCGATGAGGTACTGGTTCCCCCAACGGTGGTAGGAAAGCAAATCTATGATCTTGTGACGGATGAACGCGGTATTCATCGAGCGATATATGCCCTCCAGTCTGCACTTGTTAGAGGACGGGTAGGTGTAGATGTGTGGGCCAAGTCCACACGGAATTTAGCTCGAGAGGCATTTTTGAAGAAGGCTTTGATACGCAAAGCCGCCAATGGGATGGGGTTAACTGTTTAAATATATAAACTAGATAAGATAATAGCCAAAAACGGCTTTACTTTATCTGGAAAAATCTCAGGGAAAAGGACGATCTATGCTATTTACGAATTTATTTGATGTGTGGTTAAAAATAGAGCTTCCAAGGCAGTTTCTTCATTGTCAATTTTTTTCTATTTTGCTGAAAAGCAGACGAAGCTCTAGTTACTAAACTAACCCGCAAAGTTTTGGGCCAGAACCAAGCAAGGTATAAGAATAGTGTTCTGTCTATATTCACATACAGGAAGCCGGTGAAACCAATAATCTAGGAAGTTCAATCGGAAAAGGATAGGAAATAAAATTGAGCCAGAAACGTCAAGACAGGATATAATTAATACAGTCATCAGGCCGAAGGGGGCATTATTCAGCCGCAAAATAAAAGGCATTGAAAAGGATTAAGTGGAGAAAGCAAGAAGAAGACGCCGGCATTCAGAAAGTAGAGGCAATTACCAATGACAAAGGCCGCCTTCGCCTTCATCCATAGACCAGGTACCAGCTAGGCCAACAATTTGCTTCTGTCCGTCAGCATGCTCGTCAAGTTTAGGCAGGGAGGCCACCTTGGGGGCCTGGACACCAGCTTTATCCAGGAGTTTCTTGGCCCATGGCCCAATGGCTGCTTCACCGGTCTCATCCCGGGCTTGTTTCAAGAAAGGAATGAGGGCTGTTCCTCCGGTGCCGCGAAGGGGCGCTTTAATTTCGCCTTTCGATGGCCGGTTGGACATGAGCATTCCGCCGGGCGTTGATAACGGCTGAGACTCAGGCCGGTTTAAGCCTGTTGATGTTGCTGAAGGTGATGTTGGGACCTTTGTATTCCGCTCTTCGCGCGATTTGACAACAATGTACCGTGATACCATTGTAATGTGGGTTGTACGAATAGCTTTGACCATTGCTACAGCCGTATTGAAAGCTGTGATTAGCTCGGTATTCGACTGGTGAGCTTGGACATAATTTTGGATGTTCGATACGCTGGAGACGTGCTCGAGGAATTTCCGGTGTGGTCCTGGCATGTAAGCCCGCATTTCCATGAGGAAGTTATGCCACCTTTTCCTGCCTTCTCCGCTCTCATCACTTGAAGAGGATGTTGGGAGTGGCGAGGAGCTTGATTTCGGTCTAGATTCGCCAGTTGGTCTGTGTTCAACACCTAGAACGATATCGAAGAATTGAATCAGCGAGCTTTGGGCGTTGCTTCCGCCGCGATAGTGCTTGTATTCCTGGCAGCCAGACCCGTCATCGAATAGGATACCGCGCGGAAGCTCGGCCATACCCTTGCTCCCTGCCAAGAACGGGCGAATGCGATGGTAGAATACATGTGGGTCACAATGTTTGTACATCTTCTGGAGTTCCATGTTTACTTCGTCAACGACTTCTGCAAACTTGGTTAGACACTCCGTCACTTCCGCCGCTTCGTCAGCACGAGCTGCAGCTATAGCCTTGAGCATGAGAGGTATGGATCGGGCACCCCTGGCCTCAATGGCTATGGAAACAAGGTAGAACCACTGCTCATCCATAGAGCCGGTAAAGGTGAATAGAGTAGCAAGATTATCAAGCGAATCTGCAGGCTCATCAGGGAATATGAGTCTGTAGTTCCACAGGCAGAGACCAGCGAAAGTAGCCACCGGCGGCAACTCCAGGTGAGTAGCGACTTTCAACAGTGGGATAGCAAGGGGTTGAGGGATTTCCTGCAGGCAGATTTTGTCAGCAGACCGTCATAAGGGAGGGAGAAAAAAAAAAGGACACTTTTAGTTCCACCCTGGCTTGTATCGGAAAATTAATGATGATCACAGTGGTGAAGGAAATACAGGACACAAGATGAAGAAGCAGATGACGAGGAAGTTGAAAATAAGAGACAATATATGAAGAAAAACGGGAAAAAAAAAAATCTTCCCCCAAAAGAAGTCCTGTCACAAGGCAAAACTGCAGCCACTGGCGAAGGAAGTAGATACTTACATCCGCTGGTTGGTCTCCTCCCCAAATATACCCATGCAGCAGGAATCCCAGGATGGAATATGCACGTCGCCATTCCGGAGTTGACTCAAGATACTCGAGGGATAGCACAGGCATGTTTTCAATTGTGTTCCGTAGTCTTCCGGCCAGTATTAGCGGCTGGAGATTCCCAACGGTCGTCTCCCATGGCGCATAGTATGCTGGGAGCTCTGTGGCCGGTGGTTGTTCGGGAAGGAAACCATGCTCTGCGGTGATGCCGTAGTCTTCGATATTGGGAACTGGACGCAGCATGGTCACAAAATTTCAGACTTGGCTTGCTCGACCAAAATATTGTAAAACTGTGGGGTGGGTGAGAGTGGAAAGGGTGTGTGGGCTGTTAAGGGTAAATTAATGTCAACGGAGGGAGGGAAAGGCGTCCTAGATATAGGGAATAGGAAAAACAGGAAAACAAAACGGAGGACCACCGACAGGCAGGCTGTGTATCTAGAATAACTAGAATGGTGGAACCTGGGCCTGCGCCTATATGCAAATGCAAAGAATGATATTATTATTAAAAGAAAAGAAATCTCGCAAGGTCGACAGAGAGAGAGAAGAGAGAGAAAAAAAAGTCGTTTATTTCCAGTAAACTATCACGTGGATATGACGTTTAGGGTACCTGAGGCGCAGAATTTGGCTGGAGAGGTACGGCGGCAAAAGCGAGCGAACAAACCAACTAGTTATGTAGCGAAGCAGCTCGTTATCGCGTGGACTAGTTAACTAGAGAGGCCGAACGTTTGCGTAGGGGGTGGAAAACCACGCAGAGGAGCCAAAGGACGCTGTCGACTGTTTAATAGCGTGGGCAGTGTGATATTGGAGACGCTGATGCTTATAGTCCGTTTGCAGCCGCCTTTATTTGGTACCATTCCAATTATATCAACCGTCTCGGCAAGCACGGGGGGGCGAAATCATGTCGATACCACGCTACCGGCCGCCCCAACGATCACTGCGTCCCTGTTTCAGCTCCGTATCGTATTCGTCAGCAGCCTGTTACAGGATTTTCTAGCCACAGGTTTGCCTTCTCCACCGTTCGGTCAAGTCAGCTCTGGGGATGGAGATGGGCTCTGGCTCAAGCGGTCAAGTCAGCGCCAATCAGGCTGTTCGCAAGGGGCGGCGGTTTGGGGAACACAGTCTTATTCGAACAATGGAAAGATGTGCCTTCATATCGTCTTTAATCCCTCCATTTGAAGAATTCCGCCTATGCTCTTCAGGTGTGAGAGGATACGCGTTTGGCTAGCCATGTCTGACAATTCGTTACTGTCGCTGACGCTGACGGGCTTGGTATCTCATCCCTGGGCCAGGTCATGGCGGTCGCCCGTTTTCCACGGTCCCATGCTACGTTGAACGGCCTGGCAGGTAGAGCGACTGCTTAGAAGAGGCAATAGAAGCGATTTCAAAGACATTCTAGACTTCGCAGGAGGCAGTAGTTTTCTGCTGCTGGATGCGCAATTCTCGCGCAGTCTGACGGAGGGTTCCACGGTGCCTAGAAATACTAGGAGGGCAACGCCTCTTCAAGAGGTGCTTTCTTTTTGACATTCATCCGTCGCTGTTGGCTCGCTGGTGGTGTGTGCCGGACGGAGTATTTGGGCGATAGCGTCTTCTTGTGAGGGTATAGCTATGTCGGCACTGGGCCGTATCTCGGTGTCGATGTCGTGGTTGGTGGTTGTTGTTTGGAAGTGAAGCGCAGAACATGGAGAAAACTAGATGCGGGGAGAAACAGGCTGGTGTGGCTTGAGGATATTTGGATTAGGGCCGCCTTGACGCTGTTCCATGCGATATCTGGAAGGATGGGAGGAATCAAACCGATGGGCGAGAGCCGACATGGGTCGAGATGGTGGAAGCCCGTCAAGCGTCTCTGTAGACAGGCATCTGGAGAAGGCGATCTCTTTGGTAGATCACTTCTGTTTGGCTGGTGAGCGATTCTACAAGAGATGTGATGATCGCCAGAACCCGGATCTGCGAGTGGCGGCTTCAATAAGCGATTTACGAAGATGGATGAAAGTGCAAGAAGCGCAAAAAAAAAAAAAAAAAGATTGATTGAATAGTTATCATCACCAGGGGCTATGGTACATATTTTGCCAGGAGAGTTGCCACTTCAATGGATGTCCCATAACAAAAAGAGAAGCATAAAGAGGCCGAACTGACATGTAAGAAGGCCGGAGCCACTGTAAGCGGGTTGGTTGCTGCAACTGATCACCAGTGAGAATGTTTTCCGGGATCAAGCACCATATTAGTTAAGAAATATACACATGGGTATTTGGAACAAGATGCATGCTTGTTGAGATAGTAGAAGTACCTAAGTTAGTTGGGACGAGAAAGGCGATGGCAGTGAGGTAGGAGAGCGAAAGCATAAAGATAGTTTGGTATCAATGTTGGCTCCATTCGATGGTGTTCAAGTCGACACCCTCTTGCACAAGCTCCCACAGTGGGCTAAGCTCACGGAGGAATGTGACTCTCTCCTTAACTGCCTTGATCACATAGTCGATCTCGCTTTCGGTGGTGAATCGACCAATGCCAAATCGGATACTGCTGTGGGCGCTTTCGTCACTGTTTCCGAGTGCACGAAGTACGTAGCTAGGTTCAAGAGAGGCAGAAGTGCAGGCACTGCCAGATGACAAGGCAATGTCCTTGAGGGCCATGAGGAGCGATTCGCCCTCAACATAGGCAAATGATACATTTACACAACCTGGATAATGTCGGTTAGGGTCACCGTTGAGGGTTGTGTGCTCAAGGGCAAGAAGACTGGTGAGAAGTCGCTGGGAGAGAGCTGAGATTCGCTTCGAGTCATACTGAGGGCCCAGTGTTAGTTAAGCCAGCCAGGATAATGAAGTTCATGAGAACGGGAATGGGAATGGGATGGGTAGGAGAAAGGAAGATGAGTTGTAAGCCATGATCATATAGTTGCTATATCAAACACAAGTCGTAGGACTTTCAGAACCATGCATGTATAAGAATTGAAAAAAGCATTTAATCATCTCAGGCAGAACTCGTGGCAGTATAATAATCGTAACGTGGATGTATAAAAGGGAAAGGAATATAACGTACCTCCATTTCTTCCTTGGCGAGCCGGCAGGCTTCACCAAATCCAACGACCAGGGGAGGAGCGAGAGTTCCACTACGCAATCCGCGCTCCTGGCCACCGCCGGTAATGAGAGGGTCGATGCGAACTCTAGGACGACGTCGAACGTAGCATGCTCCAATTCCCTTGGGTCCATACAACTTGTGGCCAGAAACGGACATCAGGTCAACGTTCCACGCGTTTACGTCAACGGGTATCTTTCCAACAGCTTGGGCAGCGTCAGTATGGAAGAAGACCTTCTTTGACCGACAAAGGGCCCCAATCTCTTTCATGGGCTGAATGACACCAATCTCGTTGTTAACGGTCATGATGCTAACCAGTGCCGTTTCAGGTCGAATGGCAGCCTCGAGATCTTCGATTTTGATCAAACCATTACTCTGAACCGGCAGATAGGTCACCTCGAAGCCCTCGTCCTGAAGATGTCGGCAACTGTCGAGAACGCACTTGTGTTCCGTCTGAGTGGTGATGATGTGTTTCTTCTTGCCTGACCGGCCAAAGAACCGAGCCACACCCTTGATGCTCATGTTGTTGCTCTCAGTAGCCCCGCTGGTGAAAATAATTTCCTTTGGATCCGCCCCGATGAGAGTGGCAACGTGTGACCGAGCCTGCTCGGTTGCCTTCTCCGTCTCCCAGCCGTAGGCATGGGTTCTCGAGTGAGGGTTACCATAGAGTCCGGTGAGGAACGGTAGCATCGCATCAAGAACTCGGGGATCAGTAGGGGTTGTGGCTTGCATGTCCAGATATATCGGTCGATTTCCTTCATCCATGATTGTAGCCTGTTTCAAGATACCAGCAGACGGATTGGCTAGGGCATCGCCAGTAACAGCAGTGCCTGGGACCGATGCCTTCTGCTCTGTCTTGACAGCAGACTCAACTGTCGTCTGGGCTTGGGCATTGTGCCTCTGCGAGCCTGACACATACCTCCTACCACCAGGACTGGAACCAGTGACTGTCCTGGCACTGTATGCTGGTCTGACCAAGCTAGCTGACAGCGACAGGCGCCGCGAGCATGCCCGGGAGGCATGCCTGAGCACTTGAGGTGCTATATTCGACATGGCTGGCTGATGAATTTCTTCCACACAGCGAAGAAAGAAGAAGTTGAAAAGTTCAAGATTAGAAAAAAAAGCTGGAGAAAGAAAATTTCGTTGGCGAAGTCTTGCTTATGTAAGATATGCTGACAAATCGGATTTTAGCCTCGGCCGAGCTCTGCAGCTCCGAGTCACGTGGATGTCACTTCGTATTTGGAGCTTTTTGACTGGCGGGAAGAAGAGAAGAGACAAAGAAGAGACGAAGAAGAGACGAAGGATGAAGACAGGAAGTAGGAGGAGGAGGTTGGTGAAAGTGAGGTATTAAAAGTCATACTATATTACTAGAGTCATGAGATCTAGATGGTAGCTAAAGATACATCACAGCGCCTTGAACCAAGCTGAAAGCAGAGAAGGAAATCATGCATAGAGATGAAGGAACAGTTCAAAGGAGACCAATCCAGGCACCGCCCATGGCGACGAGGGCGGCAGCGCCGTTGAAGGTCAAACTGGAAGCAGCGTTGGTGCTGGTAGAAGCAGGAGCTCCGCCGCTGGTGGGAGTGCCGCTTCCGCCGCTTCCGTTGTTGACCTTAGGGGGTGCCTGGCCGTTTCCAGCACCTGCTGCAGCCTCCTTGTAGGCTTCAATGGTGTTTCCGCTGGATCTATTCGGTATCAAATTATCCCAGTTAGTAAAGGGACAGCTTTTGCTCACACCTTAGAACAAAGGATGACTTACGGAGGGTTGATGACAGCAACCATTCCCTTGGAACAGTGCTTGCTGACGGAGCAGTAGAGCCAAATTGGGTCGGTGTTGGTAATGTTGACGGAGAACTCGTCACCCTCATTGAGCTTGCCGGAGTAGAGTGAGTTGTCGCTGGGCTTGCATGGCATGTTGAATGGGCCGGACGAGATGTCGTGGCCGCTTTTGGCGAGCTTGAAGTGGACTATGTCGTTGACATCGGCCTTGATCTTGTTTGGGGTGAAGGTAAGGCCGCCATTCTCGGCGACGACGACCTCGACGGTCTTTGCGGCAGCGAGGCCAGCAAGGGCGACGGTGGCGAGGATGTTCATGTTAACCATTTTCGCGGTTTATATATGGGCTTTGCTGGGATTGCCAAGTGCTGACTTTTTGGTAAGGTGTATCGTGAGGCCAGGAGAATGCACAAGTTGCTAAATTACGAAAGAAGCTCTAGGAAGAAGAGTCTCCTGGCTTTATATATACTACCAGAGGCTTCAGATCGCCGGCGAGATTAAGCATGTTCGCAAGGCTGTAAGCCACCATGTGCAATCTTGACTTCCCCAGAAGCTCCTTGTTCATACAATGAAACCACTGCCTTACGGCCGGCAGCATGTATACGAGCCGTGTGCAGGCTGAAACACCAATATGGCAACACATTATCACAAACGGAGAGTGGTCAAAGAACCTGCCAAGGGAGTGTATACAAAGCAGCCTCAAAGGCTGAGAGACTGAGGATCAGTAGCGAAACTGTGGCCGCTGTCCAAGACGATATCATATCATAAGCCCCGTAATCCTACGGAGGGATTAGAGTCTGCGGCAAGCATCTTCATTTGACCAATTATGCCACCTCCTGTTCTCTCGAGCGGCTCGGCATGGTGACTAACATCACAGGGAACTTGGTGATTTGACAAGACATCCCGTCTTCGCATCAGTTAGCTGCCATGTTCTTTTTCCATCATAAATTCCGCTGTCATCTAAGTTGAGATGTAAGTGGTTGCTCGGGATTCACGCACTTGGCGGAGTGAGCTTCGCCCCCAAGCTGGGATTCCCAGCCAATGTTGCTTCGCCCGTACCCAAGCAACAGACGCCCTTGTTGAGTCTGTGTACGTAAAAAGACTTTCCAACATATCTGGAGCTTGGTACTTACGTGGTCTGCGCTGTGGCTATGTAATCGACGTTAAGCGCGAGGAACGGCGCTGCAACAAGCCAGTTACGTCAGAATTAACTAACATTTGGGGGCCGATCAACATAGACAAAACGCAGATTCCCTGCGTGTTCTTAGTCTCCTTGCTCTAGATGTAGATCATCAATAGTTAAAGCTCCGATTATGAGGAGGTATTGGTAAGGCTGCAACATGGCCGCCAGGTCGTGAGCTTTTTAACTAGAGCCTTGGCTCTGCAATCAGGTTGAAGTTGTGACTGATTAACCGCTGAGATATGAATGGCTACATAGGATAGGTGAGAGCTGCATATGTCAGTTGGACATCCACTTGTGCCTTGGGCTCATGTCTACTTATATCTATATACGTATGGCGCGGTGTATGCTTCCTTCTATATGCCCTTCCATCATCTCTATTATCGTCTATCCTTCGTATATGTATCCAACAGTTGAAAACCGCTTATAAACTACCACGGTTTTCCGTATCTCGCAAGGGTTTCCATTGGGTTGCCACTTTGTAACCAAAGATCCAAGACCTCATCTGAAGGTATCCAAATCATACCCACCATGGCTGCTGCATTGACGATCTTGATACCCTCTTGGCTTGCGCGAGATCGCGGAATAATCATCATCCAATCCTTGACTAACACCAGATTATGTGAGTAGTCGTTTTCGTCAACCCCAGCAGCAGCCAGAAGGTCAGTATAAGTTTCATAAACTTCTTCCGCTGTTGCGAAAGCAGGTAACCTTCGAACCACATGCTGGAATGGGATATTGGGAACGCGTCCTAAGTAGTCGTTTAGTTTCTTCTATCCCCGCCTAACCGAGTAGTTGAGAGACAAACCGTTTTCAATGCCATATATATCCGGGAACAAGTTATGAACATCTCTTGGAGGACGTGGAAGTAGTTGCATATGCCGATGTGGCAGAGACCACCCACCCTGCAGTCCTCCATTATATATGAGTAGGTATTCGCTTTCCATTCTAGTAAGAACGCTCCATCCAGCAGCCAAATCCACTGCTTCCAGGGGTTCGATCTGAGGTTTGAAATCGTTGCAATGGAGAATGAACTGTGTCCGGACGACGCAAAACTTATTCAGGCGCAGAGTATGATCAGGGCCAACATGCTCGATAACGAACTCTGGGGGGTCATTTGCGAATGGACTGGCTTTATTAACCGGTGGTTTCTTCTCAGCATCCTTTATCGGTATTTGCGGTTTCTTCGTCAAGCTTGATGCAATTCGGAATTGTATCTAATATCTTGGAGCGAATTCCTCAGCGGTTAGCCTGTATTTAATTGCTTGGGAGAGCTAGCAGCTAATAAGTAGCTTGATAAACTGGTAGAAAGACTGTCCTCACATTGAATGGCTTTGCGGGGACATGAACCGGGTCGCGGTGAGAGTATATGACATCGCCTTTCTCAACCAGTGCGTCAAACTGGCGAAGCGCCTTGGCTTCAAGGCCCTCTTTCATCGTGATCTTCTTGGGCTGTAGGGATGGAGATAGCTGAGATGTGGAAAGTTGATGGCCACGTTGAAGTTTTAGCATTTTCAGGGCAGAGTTGCCCCTCGGCGGTTTTGCCGGGTCTGTTTAACTAACAGGTAGTTAACTTTAACTGCAAGTCAGTCAACTTAAGGGCGATGAGCCAAAGTGGATTAGAGTTCCAAACTTAGTTGGAGCCGCCATAACGAGATGACCGTCATGACGTTCTGTGATTCAAGAGTCGGGAATACAAAGATAGAGCTGGGACCGGAAGATAGTATAAAATACGTAAATAAAGCTATTTCTCTGCTTTCTATTAAAGATCTGACATAAAAATATTCCAAAATCGTTAGCTCGCCTATCTTCAATCGTATATGTACCAATCACATCACCCTTCCCTAGCACTTTCTTCAACACTCATAACCTCAGCCATTGATTTCCTTATGTATTCTAGCCAAAACGTCCCGAGTCCTAAATTCCATGTCACTACCTCAGCATTCAGTCGATGAACAATTTCGTCTAGCTCGGCAATGATCGCATCTGGTTCTCCTCCTGCCTGAAGTTGAGCATTAGCAAGGCTATATTTGGCGACATCTACATAATAATGATCCCCATTCCATTCCTTCACAGATGATTGGCCGTAATCAATCGTTTCTATCCACCGGGATTGTGCCACCTCCCAGTCCATCTGGAGATGTGAAATCTGGGCGAGATATGCGAGCACCGAGAAATGGCGGGTTTGATTATCGTGCCATAGAGCTCCCATTGTCAGCATATTTTCAAATCGATCCTTCAATCCAATAAGTTTTTGTTCTGCCTCCGCGTATCGTTCGGGGCGGAAGATGCCTTCACGAAGGATGCTGGCAGCGCGATTAATTTCAAGAAACATTGTATCACTCTCGCGAACATTGTCCCTATCATACTGACTCGAGCTTCCTCTGGCAACCATACGGCTCTCTATAGCTTGGGAGTATATTTGAGTGATGACCTCGCATGGCCTTGCATCTAGTTCAGGTATCAGTTGATCGTGGCCGCACCTAATGCCATTTGTCATTAAGTCACTCAAGGCATCACAATCTTCATCTGCCCCTTCAAGTTCAAGCACAACTTGCCCCAAGTCGCCAATAGCCCAGCCATCTTCACGGCTTCCGCGCTTAGCGTATTGTTCAATGAAAAGCTTCAAAGAAAAATATGCCTCGTTGAACAGTCCAAAATCTTTAGCAAGCTTGCCCCGCATCCTTACACCCATACCCTGAGCATACCGCTCAAGTTTTGAAGGGTTGTATGGGTCCAATGGCTTCCAGACGTCAATATATTTCGCACGTTTCTCCCACTCGTCTCTATCGGAGAGGTTCTTGTCGCGGGTCAGGTACTCGACAGACATATGGCGCAAAAAGCCTGCCTGGGCATTATCATTGTTCGTGATCTTACCGCCGGGACTGAAGTTTGCATCTCGCAAAAACTCGGCAGCGGCTTCGCAACCATCTGTAAATTTCCCCTTGCTGTAAAACTCCAACGGAAGTCTTGTACACCATAGGCGAGCCTGGAGCCCGGCTTTCTCCGAAGAGTCGATAAGGGCTTTAATCCACTGAAGAAGGGTATTATCTAAATGACTAATCCCTTCACCGTATCCACGAGCAGCTTCTAGAAACATTTCAGCTACTCTCTCTGTAAAAGTTGCCTCTTCATCTCCCCAGCTATCAACACTCTGAATAGAGTCAATTAGGTCGAGGCCTTCCTCAGCAAGGTAGTCGGAGTTGAGGATGCATTGGTAAACCTGTGGAAGGATTCTTCGCGACGAGCTATAAGAACTTGTCAGCAATATCCATTAATTTAAAATACCTTAATTTGGGTATTTACCTTTGGTCTAACCCAGCTTGCATGATCGGGTACGCATGTACAACAAGGCTGAGCGCATGTATTGCATTCTCTAACATTCTGTCAGGGCTGAGAGATTCTCTAATATAAAAATATGTCAGAGGATGCAAAACAATTGCATCGTTGCTCCGTAAGCTTCTTCCATCTTGAAATATTTCGTCACTGGCAATTAGAGAGTATGACTGTAATTCTTTGAGTGCAAGTTGAAAGCTTGGGCCGTTTATAAGACTAATAAGATCCGAAGGTACATAACTCCTTTGCGGGTCCCTCATTTCAACTTGACCATCAGGGCCCCATCGAGGCTGGGGGAAGACCGCACGCTTGAGAAAACTGATCGTGGTCTTAGTTCGATCGAGCCAAACAAGAATATTAAGCAATCGAAAAGCGTCAGGGCTCTTTTTGATCTCGTCAAGCGCCATCTGGATAATTGTTTCAACCGACGTCTGATACTTCGATCCTTTGGGCCTATAGGAAAGCAGCCTCCGCGAAATCTTCCTTCCTTTGAGGGCATTGAGATACTCATGAATGGTAATATTGTTGCACAATATATATGCAGCAGCCGAATCGACCGCAAGAGGCTGACATCCCATGCGTTTGATAACATCTTTTGCTTGAAGTTCCCAACTAAGCCTGTCCTTGGTATCGATGCCAGCTCTCGAGAATAGCAGATCCTTGGCCTCCATAGGTTTCAGTGGATTCATGGGAAGTGCCATAGTAATCCTTGGGTCACTGGTATGCACCCGAGCTCGACATGTAATGATGATATGTCCGTGTCCAGTTTCTGGGAATCCAAATCGGTTAAAGGCCAACCAGTCGTTATCATTGTCGAGTATCATGAGCCAACATCGCTCTAGACGCAGGAATTGCTTGATATCCTCCACAGCACGAGTAATATTTGGAGGAAATCCGAGTTTTTCATGAAGATCACTGAAATCACTTTCCAAAGACTGGATGTTAGTTGAATTCGCGAAAAGAACGTAGTCATAGCGGTGCTCATTTTCTCGTGCATATTTTAAAGCTATTTCCGTCTTCCCCATGCCGCCATCCCCGTGAATCGCGACTATTCGACGGCCCTTAGAGCCAGAGAAAACATCATGGATCTTCTTAATATAATCTCGTCGTCCAGTAAAATGTGGCGTGACGTCCCACGGAAGAAATACCCGGGCATCGTTACGTAGAGGGCCTAACTCTACCAATTGCTGGAGGCGGGCAGCAACTTCTCTAAATATCGGATCATCCGCGCCCTGGTACCGGCATATTTCGCGGTGATTAGCATGTAATCCAAGCGCACGCTCGCTTGGAATGTTAAGAACTGCCGATTCTTTATAGACAACCTTCGCCATGTACGTTAGTGTTGATTTCCGTTTCAATTAGACCGGTTTTGACATACAATGTCACTGAAGCAAATCAGCCTGCCTTTCAATGGAAGAAGTTCATAGAAACTGATTATTGGTAAGCTTCTCTGATCAGCAATCTGTCGGAAGTCGTTTGCAATGCTCTCTCTTTAATCACGTTAGAGCTGGTATAATACGTACTAATATATCACATCATTAACTTACAACTCAGGCGAGTTTTTCTTGAGGGTGCCTATAAGCTTCTGAGGTAGGCCGACGTTTAACTGACGGACGACACGACTTGCAACATCAGCTAAGGCGCTCCCTCGGTGAGGTGCGGCGAGGAATACTATCCCAGACAGGGAGGCAAGAATATGCCTCAGAGATGGTTTATTATTGGAGGTGATGAGCGCCTATTGACAATTTGTTAGAGCGATAAGATCATATTTTTCTGGTCCTCTGAAACAATTACGCTAAGTAACTTACCTTCTTAAGAACAATTCCACCAAGTGAGTATGATACCACGATCAACGGCCTTGCCCTCTCCTAAAAAATTTGTCATCCAGTCAATGCGAACATTAATATTGTCAGAAACTTGAGTTTACCTCCACAGGCCTAGCTCTTTCGATCGCATTGATAAGCTGGAGTGCGACATCCTCAATATCTAGGTTTGCATCGCCGTATTTCCCCGCATCGTACCCAAAGCTCAAAACCCGAACAGCAGACTTGAGAGCTTGCGGTAACAGATCCCGGGGCCAGCATATGTCACCGTGGCTCCAAGTGTTGATAGCATGTCCAGTTAAACCATGTATAAGAAGAATACTGCAGGCATTTCGTCGTTAGTACCGGGTTCAACTCTCAGTACGGAGCAAGGCTGGGGACGCTATTCGTACTCAGCAGCAACGAGGTCGGTATCGGCTGGCTCATGAAGGGGTACAATCCCAAGCACAGCAGTTTTACTGCCTTTGGCGGAAGCCTTATGGGAGTTAGTTCGGCTCTTCTCCATTGCGACAATGCTCACATCCCCGCCTTCGGCAATGGACTTGGGCCTGTTCCTTCAGCAAGTTCAACAATATATAGGTATACATATACTCTATAGGACGGACGGGCTCAAGTACGGAAACTAAGATTGAGTTTCGGATAAAATACGGACCGCGGTCCTTCCCGGCGGTCTCCGGGCCGGGGCCGTCCATGAGGGGCCCGACCAATGGTTTGGAACCCGTCGGGAGCCGCATGCCGCTGCCCCTTTTGTTACCAGATTATTTATTTTTATTCGCTTTGGCCGCGCCCTTAAGCGAGACGTCGGGGCGGGGGATAACCTTCTGCCAGTCTTCATACAAAGCGTCTGTGGAAAGTGTTTGGGCTTTACGGAGGAGAACCTATGTTTTGGATAACCCAGGGGAAGTACAAACCAAGTTCCCGGGGGGAAGAGTTGTCTCTTCTTCAATCTCTCGAGAAGGCATCAAGCGGGACAAGGCGATGGTCGTCTTTCCAATTTACGGAGTACCAGCTATGTACATGAATAGCATGCACTTCAGCTTACAGTTTATGGCGAATCGCAGTCAGGGTCGCTTGAATCCGCGATGCACCGAACCGGCTGGCTGGTTTTACCCTTTCTGGAGTTCCGAGATCCGTGCGGTAACGTGGGTGCCTTGCAGTTCTTAACATCTCCACTACAGTTAGCTATAATCCACACTATGTTCTACGGTGTACACGATGGCCAGGGCTTCCTTCATTGCTTCTTGTCAGCGGTGGGATTCTGTGTCTCGCACCCCGTACTCTGTATACGACCTGGTTTCGCCCTTGCCACGAAACGGAAATCACTCGCATTTAAGTCTCAAAGACCGGCGCTTGGCATGAGCTCAACAAAAAGGGATGATCTACAAATGCTGAGGCTGGCTTGGAACTTAGATTGTTTTTGACCGGTGGGGGGCGGCGATGACCTGCTTGATTGATGTGATGATTTGCTTCCACACTGTGCTCCCTTCCCCCAACCTGCAGAGGACATTTTGCCATGTCCGATGGCTAGCGTCCTTGCTATGACAGCAACTCGCATGGCGGGAACTTCAGCGTCATGGGTCCACAAGGCATGCCGCAAGCTGCCTGTGCACAGCAAACTCCTATGGCCCGGAGCTATCCATACCAGCTTCTGTCCCACCAATCCAAGCAACTAACCAGTTACTCCAGCCCGAGTTAAGGGGGCTGTGTTACCTTTTATTTCTCGATTTGAAACGTTTGTCTCTCGGCGGGCGGAAGTTCTTGCGCATGTATCCGAACAAGCTGTGTTTATTTTACTCACTCGAAGGCCCTTAAAGCTGAGCGGTCAATGGGTGTGTCTGTTGGCGGGAGTGGCTGCGCTACTAAAACCTGCCAGGTGGATACTGGTTGTACAGAGGGAAGGCAGAAGGAAACCTCTCTAGCCCAGCCACAGCTAGCTTATAAAGAAGGTGTGCTGCCCAGCTTTGTCGTTCCTCGCCTGTTGTCCTCTTAGTACCGAGTTTGGTTGCTCACCTCAATTGTTCACCTGTAGGCTACCTTTTAGCCTCCAATTGCAATTGCCAATGTCCGATATAACTATCACCAACAGCAACGTCTGCGCGTCTGCCAGAAAACGCCCCTTTACGATACAAGGTGCCATCGATGAACGATCTCAGGATAAGATTACGGTATGGGGACGCAAAGGTACAACTTCGGCACTCGGGGGTGTGGCATGTCTCGCGATGATGGTAGTCTGCCCCATGATCACGATTTTCTGGTGGACATCCCTGAGCCACTATGATGGTTCTCTCTACCATGCTGGTGTGTCCATGGTGAAAACTGGGTTGATACCGTTCTTCATACAGAATACTCCGGGAACAACTTTGCCTGTTGTGACTGTATATGCATGCTGGACCCTGTCTCATGTCATTCTCTACTCTTTCCTGCCGGGGACGCGATGCAAAGGTCAACTCACGCCGGCTGGAAATTTGTTGGAATACAAGATAAACGGTTTCCTTGCGTGTATAGTGTCGCTACTCCTAGCTGGAGCCCTGCACTACTACGGGCTCTTTGACCTGGCCTTCGTGGCTCAGAATTGGGGAAGCTTTGTATGCTTGTTCAATATCTATGGCTTGCTACTGGCATTGGTATTCTACATCAAAGCCCACGTCTCTCCTACTCATCCCGAGGATAGGAAATTTAGTGGTGAGAATTATAAATAAACATATATATGTCTTTTCCAGTGCTATAAGTACTAATTGTGTCGGTCAGGATCTATATTTTACGATTTCTATATGGGTATAGAATTTAATCCCCGTCTCGGCGCGGACTGGGATATGAAGCTTTTCCACAACGGGCGTCCAGGCATGATTGGGTGGTTAATAGTGTAATATCCCCTCTCTTCTCCTGATCTACTATTACTTCTATGACACTGTGCATTACTAATGACGAATAGTGATATGTGCTTTGCGGCCTGGCAATATCAACAACATGGATATATTACCAACTCAATGATTATCACCAGCTTCCTTCATGCGGTATACGTCATTGATTTCTTTTGCAACGAAGGCTGGTATGATCCATCCCTGCATTTGAGTCAAAAAAAGGAGAAGTCCTAATTTAATTATTCAGGTACCTAAAAACACTCGATATGTGCCATGATCATTTCGGATTCTATTTCTCCTGGGGTATTGCCGCATGGCTTCCTGTGATGTACACCCTCCAGACACAATATCTGGCCACCCACCCAGTCGACCTCTCCAGTTGGACTGCAGCATTGATCTTGACAACTGGAGTGTCAGGATACGTCCTGTTTCGTGCAGCAAACCATCAGAAATATATTTCCCGTGCCACAAATGGAGACTGTAAAATATGGGGTAAATCTCCACAGTTTATCCTTGCCAAATACAAAACGGCCGAAGGATCTATGCACGAGTCCCTCTTGTTATGTTCAGGTAAGCTCCCAATTATTTCTATCGTCATATCGATGTACCTTCATAGCCAACAAGTACTCTAGGCTGGTGGGGACTTGTTCGTCATGCCAATTACCTTGGTGATTTGATACTTTCTTATTCCATGTGTGCCTCTTGCGGGTTCACGAACTTGCTTCCATGGACTTATGCCATTTACATGACAATCCTTCTTGTCCATCGATGCTATCGAGATGAAGTGAGGTGCCATAATAAGTACGGGGACTCTTGGAAAGAGTACTGTGCCAAGGTGCCATACAGAATTATCCCAGGAATTTTCTAGCTGCGTCACTTTATACTCTTCATGCTTTGTTTTATTGATTCCATAGAGATGTGGGTCAAGTTACAACCACAACGAGAGACCGTGCTGGAAGGATTCTCGGCAGCTTTGTTTTTTTTTTTTTTTTTTTTTTTTTTTTTTTTTTTTTTTTTTCATGATAAGACTGATACTACGGGCAAATAGAATGAATAGATCATGACTGTTATTCGCAGATTTTCATTATAACTCTCCTGGAATCTAAATAGCAATTGTGCAACTTCTGAAAAAAACCCTCCAAGGCATTAGCATGCTAATGCCTGGCAAAGACAACCTATGCAGTTCCTTTAATGTCATTAGCAAGAAGCGATTGCCAGGACGGTCGAGCAAGAATTTCTTTTGCCCATCTACCCGTGAGTAAATTCGTTAGCTAAACATCGACTAAATATACCCTATGTGTGCTTACCTGGAGACGGCTGGTTTGTCGTCAATTGCATTAAAGCCAACTTTGGGAAGCAGATTAAGGTAAGGAAGGTGATAAAGATCTGCTAGAGTTAACACCTGCTATTGCGTCAGTAATTGAAATAGCCAAGTCGGTACGTTTAACAAGACTGCTTACATTGCCTCCAATGTACTTTTACTTGCTCAAAATTCTTTCATAGCCATCCAGGCAGTTCATGAGGTTAGACTCATATAATTTGACCGAGTGTTCGTCAGGACTCAAGCCTTGGTATCTGTTTATCTGTTAGGACCTAAAAAGTAAATATATAGTGTATAGACCACGCTTACGGCTTGAAGAGTTTTTCGTAAACGAACGGGGCAGCCGCAGCCTCAAAGGAGCCTACTTCAAGGCTCAGTCCTTGAGTGTATAGAGCATTTGCTTTTAGTTCGGTCGGAACTAGTTCGGTTCCCTGACTTGCGTATTTGGCTATGATGTAGTGGCAGATAGCTCTACTTTCATAGAGAACGAAGCCATCATCATCCTGAACAAGGGCTTAGTAGCTGGCTTAACACGGGAAGGAGTCCAGATATGTACTATGCATGGAACGCAGCCGAAGGGCTGAATCTTCATATATTCCTCTCCCTTATGTTCTCCTTTGGACAAGTCGACGGTGACATACTCAAATGGGACATTTAGTTCGTTAAGAACAAGTACAACACGCTGGGTATTAGTTGAAGGGGAAAACCCGTACAACTTGAGAACCATGGTTGTTAAATGGGAAGTACAGGCGTCTAAGTATAGTTGATTTGGGTAGCCACGTAGATAGGCAATGATCTTTCCCAAAAGCTGAGTTAGGTACGACGTCTCATCTTATCTTTGGCTCCAGGTAACCAGCAGCTATTTATATTAGCCACCTCGGGTAGTAACTCAAGAGGGCGGGGTTAAACCATGAAAAGAGGGCTACTCTTCCAGTTGCACGAGGAAGTATGTACACGTTAGTGGCATCATGTCTGAAATACGAGCCGTTAGGTAGCTTGTGGTTAGAACTACCAAGCAGACAGCGCGACGTAATAGTATTGGTTGTCCCAAAGAATTCACGCCAAGAGGGACTAGGCTGCGGAATGGACTTCCAGCATAGCCTTGCTAATGATGTAAGAAACTCGAGTCGGTGGTTATATACGAAAGAAACATGCAGAGACGACTCCTTACACCGGCGCCGAGTCATTTGTACTCAGCACGTATGCATAAGCTACAGACGTCAGCGGCCATAGTGGGGATCCTCCTCCTGGTACCTCAAAATCATTATATTAGTGGATGATCTCCAAAGAACTTAAACGAGAATGTTGACAGCTTTGTATACCTAAGTCTGTGCGTGTTACTCCGTATTGTGAGTTTGAATTTGATAGCTTCAGCTGATAAATAGACTTCCAATCCACGAGATTGAGTTCGGGCCATGAGCTCTCGGGTATTTAATAATCCCTCCCTAGAGGAAGCTGCCGAGATCACCTGACACGAATATGATGACTCAGCAAAGAAGCTCGATCGTCTGACGAAAATAAATGCATCGAGAGAACGAAGATGTAGCTGCCGACGGCTAACCCGTAGCCATGAATTATTTGATCCTCAACGGAAGCCAACTAAAATACAATATATGTTTGGCCAGTCTCGAAAGGTTGGCTTCAGAATTATGTACACCCCATAGTCAACTGCAATTGCCCTCCATAATCTATTTCAACCCCCACTGGTATCAGGATACCTCACTTTGGGAGTCTGGATGTGTGCCATTTATGCCTGAGGAGCAAAGCCAATGCGAGGGCCTTGAGTGTCCCATACAACGAACTGACTCTTCAAGAACACGTCGCCGAAGATGTTTGGTACACCGCCGGTGCTGCCAACTGACTGTACGCCACCGAAGCACATCGATCCGACTGCCTGGTAGTTCATAAATTTACCAGGGACGACAGCATTGTATCCACTGATGCTGAGGGTGAAGTCGGGAAGCTTGGCGTCACAAGGGAATACCCAACCACCTTGCTGCTGGTCCATTTTGGCACCCTGGACTTTTCCGTAGTACTCCTGAACAACATCGTCGCTGAGGAGCATGAGAGTAGTGCCCGTGTCTAAAGAGAGTCAGTATGAAACCTAGGTACTTTGATGCGAAGAGGCTTACCGGCAATGCCATCAATGGAGCTTCCGCGGGCGCCGTGGTGCTGAGCTCCGTGGAATGAATGAGTTGAGTTGGAGCCTCCTCCAATAGAATAGCTCTCTGCAGTGAATCCCCACCATCCCTGGCTGTTGTCTACATTGGTGTAGGCAATCTCTCCAGTGTGTTTGGAATCATCGATATATCCAAAGTCATACGATCCTGGTTGGCCATGCTTGAGAGTGCATGTGAACAGGGGCTTCTCAAGCTGCTTCAAGACAGTATCGAAGAAGGTAGTCTGAGGCTTTGGTTGGACTGATAAATATGTTAGCAAGTTTACAAGTGCAGAATAGTCAGAGTATATATCCTACCAGTATTGAGGACGCTGAAGGACAGCCCCATCAGGCCGTCGGTGGCCTTGTCCTTGGCAAACTGGTCGCTCACTTTCTTCGCGGACTCCACGGCCTGTGAAGAAGCCGTGACATTTCCGATTGAGACGGTGTCGAGGAAAACATCTCCACCAGCAGAGCTCATATCGCCATAGGTGATTTCCCAGGAATACCCATCGAGACGCTTAGACTTGGAGGTGGGCATGTAGAGGTTGTGTCCCTGACTCTGGTCTTTCGGAGTTTCGGTGGAGAATACCCATCTGCAGTTTGTTAGCCACGTAATCATTGCAATTCAACTACTTGTCGATTAAGAAGCAGTTCGCTTACAGATCACCAGAACCAGTGTCGAGATCAAGGTTCAATTTACCCTGTCCAACTGTGACCTGGGTGACGTATTGTTCGTCATCTTTGGTTGGGGTGGTAGGAACAGATCCCCTGGCGGCATCACTGACAGCTTTGGGGACCTTCATGCCGAACTTGTGCAGGGCACGAGCATAAGCGACCGCTGGATGGTGTACCGCCTTCATGGGAATCGCGACCTGAGGAACGTTGAATCGTGCCTTTCCTTTCGTGGGTGCAGCTACCGTCAAGGTAGAACACACTACCAGGACGGCACCAATTTGGCTGATTTGGACCATGGTGGAATAAGTCAAAGTCTGTGAATAGGCTTGAAAGGGGAAAAATGGCAAGGAAAGAAGAAAGCCCGGCTGATTTGAGATGGATAGAGGCCTGGTTAAGATGGGTTCAAAAGGGAGGAAGCAGCTCATATTTATACTCCCATGATGATGTTACGGACGCTCTTGATATCCACAAAATATCCGACTGCCGTCTTCATCCTAGGAGCTCTATGATACGTATTACTCCGCACATAGCCCGCATCAAATTCACACACGGGATGGTAGTGCATGTTTACGGCCATTACGCGGACTCGTAGAAGCAAAATTTATTTCAAGGGCGATATACGCAATCTGCTAGGTCAGCGGGCCGCTTGGGTTTCTCCATTACGAGACCTCGCGTATGTAAACGACTGGGGACCCTTCAACACAAGCTTGGCCAAGGCAACATAAGCCTTGCTAAGCATTCTCAAGCTTTGATCAACGGACACAAGGCCCTCGTCGAATACACCTTGTGCTAACTATATGTAGGTACAGATGTTCCAGAAGAAGTGCAGACAGCGAGTGTGGAGTACAGAGTCCGGGGGATTTTCAGGGAACTACGTAGCAATGCAGAGTTACATGAAACCGCTAGTCAACTGACTGAGAGAGGCAAGATGCAGACGGATATCTTCATACGAATTACAACATCTGGGAGATAATAATCATTGTGATCTACAGAAGGGTAGTGCCGGAGAGAAGAACATCACAACATATCCCTTTTGTCGATCGACAAAAAGAATTTTGGTATAAAATTAGCAGGGATTCAACAACACATGAGCTGGAGAGAAGAGGAGCATTTTTCTCCCCCTGTTTAATATTTAACACCTTGGTGTTTTGAGATGCCGGGCGTGAGACCTAGCACGGGGAATAACTGGCACAGGGTAGAAAGAGACACCGGTTAATGCGCGGCACATCACAAGGGAGGAGCAAGCGCGCACTTTGATAGGCAGATGAACCCTTTTACTCCGAAATGAGAGCGCACAGTGGAATCGTGCTTATTTTTTTCCATCAGGCCAGTAATCACACGTGAAACGTTGAACAAAAACAAGCTTTCTCCGTCAAGGCTTGACCTGGACCAACAAATCCATTATTTCTATTTATACTCGATCTGCTCGCCTCCAATCAGGGGAAAATATCGGCTCCTTCCTATTTTCATCTGGCTGACTATTCGGTTGGCTAGCCGTTGTGATTGGAGATTACTTTGATTATCAGAAGCCGTGATGAACAGACTCCAGCAGCTTCAACTCATAGAGGGCCTATAATTCGTGATCTATACTAACTAATCTATTGCAGGGGGGCAAGCAAGCGGCTGCAACATCGAAGGTTTCCCCGCCCGGACACATGGGATCAGCGTTCAGTTAATTTCCGCGAGCTCCGAGGTAGATGTTTGCGAGAATGCTACTTATGTCAATTTTGACTGACGAGTTTCCACGTAAAAGATAGCAAAGTCACTTGGCCTGGGAATAAATTCTCCAACAAGAGACAAGCGATTACTACCCGTGAGAGACAGCCAGCAAGGTACTTATGGTGTGCTTTGCCGTTAACCCCCTAAGTTATCGAATCAGGGGGTGATGAAGGTTTAGAGCCGTTCGCTTGGGAGTTTCCCTTCAGAATCTGTCGAGACCCAAGACTGCTCCTCCACCGCAAAGATATAACCTATTTCGAAAACCGACATTCCGTAAATCCGGAAAAAAATCTGGGGGTAATTAACGTAGCGTTATATCTGTGGCGCACTTGCGGACTCAGTATTCAGGCCGTAGAGTCTAGAAAAAGCAGGATACTTTGTCTATTTCGATAAAGGGGAGAAACACGCATCCGTAGAGTTTTCACATCCTGCGCGAGGGAGATGTGCCCTGCTGGCAGGAATACTAGCAACTGCGCCAAATCTCTGCCTGCCGAAGCCCTCACAAACGCTGCCAGCCCCTGATTGGTGTTCCTGAGGCCAAGCACTGCTGACTAACATGTCAAACACGCTAGCTAAAAACGTCAAAAACATGGAGAGAACCACACGTGACTAATGACGTATTTCAGACGATCACTTCCCTGTCAGGGCTGAAGATGACTAAGTCATTGCGCCACGAGCTTAGCCACTTTTGGCGCCGCAGCGGAAGGAAGAAGAAGCTGAAGAGAAGCAAACAGTCTGATCGTTGTTTGTGCTCAACGCAGAATACGGACGCCTTGCTACTTCTCCTACTCTTTGGCTATATCGTTGTCTCTTTCATCTTTTTCATTGTCGTGAACCACTGTCTTCTCTGCGCAATAGACGCATTTTCCTGAGTTTCCGACGCTGCCGAACCACTACGAACGACCATACTTGGCGGGGTTGACATGAGTCTCAAGGGCCTTCAGAAGGGCTTCGCCAGGGCTCCCCAGACTTTCAAACAAAAATTCAACCTTGGAGAGAATACAAAGGATCCCGTCTATATAGATGCGGAGAGAAGGTTCCAGGAGTTGGAGAAAGAGACGAAGAAACTGCATGATGAATCGAAGAAGTACTTCGAAGCCATAAATGGTATGCTTTAATTTACTCATGGTTATCCTGCCCCTCTACCAGTGCGGGATGATTCTAACTGCTCATACTGCGTATAGGCATGCTAAATCACCAGATTGAATTTTCAAAAGCGGTTGCGGAGCTATACAAACCTATCTCTGGTAGAGTCTCAGATCCTGACGCCGCAAAGCCGGAGGGGAACCCGGAAGGTATCCAGGCATGCGAAGAATATGAATCGATTGTGCGCTCCTTACAAGAGACCCTTCAGCCTGAGCTAGAGCTGATAGAGAGCCGGATCATCAGCCCCGCGGACCAGCTGTTAGAGATTATCAAAGTTATCCAAAAGGTTGCTGTCAAGCGTGAACATAAACAGCTGGATTATGACCGACACCGCGCATCCCTGAAGAGGCTACAAGACAAGAAGGAAAAGTCTCTCAAAGATGAGAAGGCTATGTACAAGGCTGAGAACGATGTGGAAGCGGCAACACAAGAGTTTAATTATTACAACGACCTGCTGAAAGATGAACTTCCGAAGTTGTTTAAGCTTGAGGCAGAGTTCATTCAGCCGCTTTTCCAGTCCTTTTATTACATGCAACTAAACGTATTTTATACCCTCCACGATAAAATGCAGGGACTGAATATCGGATATTTCGACTTAACATCAGATGTTGAAGAGGCCTATGAACGAAAACGAGGCGATGTAAAGGAACGAACAGAAGCTTTGAGCATCGTCCACTTCAAAACGACCGGCGGCCGCCGCCCTGGCTCCAAGTTTACACCAAAGGATAAGCTTGCAGCTGAATCAAAATACTCTAGACGGACAACCGATGCCTCCTCCGATCCTAACCCTCCACCTCCTTACTCCGCCCATACCGCTTCAACTCTTATCGGTCGTGCCAACAGCACAAGCCCTGCCTCCCTCGCGGCGGCTGCAAAGTCAAAACCCGCTCCTCCACCGCCGAAACCCAAACCAGCGAAGTTTAGCGCTGCACCCGTTGAAACTGCTACTGCTCTTTACGACTATGAGGCCCAGGCTGTGGGTGACCTGAGCTTTACTACTGGTGATGTCATCGAGATCACCCACCGCACAGCCAATACTAATGAGTGGTGGACTGGAAAAATTGACGGAAAGTCCGGACAGTTTCCAGGTATGCATTACTTGAGAAAGTCAAATACCTGTTGTTGAGTGTGATAATCGCTAACTGTGATTCTGTGACCAGCTAACTACGTCAAGTTAAATGTCTAAACAAGCACTCATATACCTATAGACTGGAGCGTCCTTGATACCTGCTATCTATTCTCCCCCTTTGTCGCACATAGTACCTTCATGCACCATGTTCCTACATCATACTAACCCGTACCAATTACTGAGTCAAAAAATACCCCAATACATGCAATACTTTCCATGATCCACCCTCCGCACATGCCACGACGTTCTCCTCATGCACTCTCTCAGTACTTTTTAAGGCACATCCCTACATCTCCATAAGTAGCCAGTTAGGTTGCTCATCGATGTTTTTACGTCTCGCTTTACGAAACCCTTAAATAGATAGCTAACTATATATTTCCCCTTATTTAACTCGTCCCGACTTCACTCCTATTCTACCGATGTTTAATATTTTGTCTTTGAAGGGATGTGTATTTCGATGGCGTGCCGCATAAAAGCTATTCCAATTACCACCTCTTCACTTCTCTTCGTTGAGTAGCCGAGTGAACGTCATAATCAGGCGTATTCAAGCAACTAGTTATGAGTCCTAATGCTGACAGTGGTTAACTAGTGTAGGTTGGCCATACCAGAAATCTGGAGGTTCTGAATACCGTAATATTACAGTAACAGCAACGTAGAACACCAGAATTACGTTGATCTACTATTTCTATAATACTATAGTTGCGCAACTATCAGTATCTTTAGTATCCCAGTAATTAATATATTAGTAACGTAGCTATTACCATAAAGGTATTAAAGAATATAAGTTAATTAATATTAATTAATCAATAATAATACTAATAATATACTAACTATTTTATTACTATCCTTATTATTATATGTAATATACTTATCGCATTTTCAAAATAATAATGAAATATGCTTAGTAATGTATATTTAATAATACTTTAATAATACGTTGCAAGCCTAATCTACGTATCTTTAATAATATGCAGCTATTACTAATGATGGTTGATATTACGTAGAATTACAGAAAAATGGTAACACGACGGTATTCCAAACCTACAGATTTCCGGTATGGAGTTATCCTATATCCACGTGACAGGGGTAGTGAATTCGCCCGCCTGAGTCATACATACAGCTTAAAAGTTCCAGGAAGCATTTTGTATTTCTCTCTAACTCAGTGATACTGTCGAATTCTCTTATTTCGTTGATATTCACCATCAATCAATAGCCCTTTGATAGTTACTTCTACTCAATTGCTTTTGGTATCGTTTCCTACTCAACATGGCTCCAACAGTACTTCACCTTCGTGCCGAAGACAAACCCCTCGAGCATAGGTACGTGTATCCTACTTCTTTAGCTACTACACAGCTCGTCTACAGTTTCTAAGAATAGTTACCCAGAAAATATTCAATCTCTATCTCGAGCTTCATGTGACTCTATGAATACTACTCTAACAGCCATTCTACAGATCAGCTCTTACCCCTTCCACAACGAAGGCTCTCATCGCGGCCGGCTTCAAAGTCAATGTCGAGCGTTCTCCCACATCTCCTATTCGCAAGCGAATTTTCGATGACTCCGAATTTGAGGAAGCCGGTGCTACCCTTGTCTCGGAGAGTAGCTGGGTTGATATCCCCTCCGACCACCTTGTCATTGGGTTGAAAGAGCTTGATGAGACCAAGGATTTCCCTCTCAAGCATTCGCACGTTACCTTTGCACATTGTTTCAAGAACCAAGGCGGTTGGGAGAAGGCCCTTGGACGATGGAGCAGAGGTGGCGGTGTGTTGTATGATTTGGAGTTTCTGCAGGTAGGTAATTTATACGTATGCGTGTATGGATGTAAAGTTGACTCATGTACTATAGGACGATAAGGGTCGAAGAGTTGCGGCTTTCGGTGAGCTACCTTGACTCCATGTATGCATTCAATTTTTAACTAATGCCCTTGTAGGCTACCATGCTGGATTTGCTGGAGCCGCTCTCGCCATTAAGACTTGGGCCTGGCAGCTAGAGAATCCCGATGGTACTCCACTCCCAGGAGTTGATGAATTTACTGATGGAAAAGGATACTATTCCAGCGAAGAGGAGATGCTGGAGCAGATTCGTGGTGATGTTGCCAGGGGTGAGAAAATTGCTGGTCGACGACCCCAGATCCTAGTCATTGGTGCCCTTGGACGCTGCGGAAGGTAAGCTGAACTCGTCCGACGAGCTCTTAGGGTAAAGCTAATATCTGTGTGTTAGGGGTGCCGTTGATGCTTGCGTCAAGTCTGGATGCGAAGATATTCTTCGATGGGACATGGCCGAGACTGCGAAGGGCGGACCCTTTATAGAGATTGTCGAAGCTGACATGTGAGCTATTTTTATTACTCCATAAACTTGGTACTTTCTCCGTCTGACTCGAATAGCTTCATCAACTGCATTTATCTCAGTGAGAAGATTGCACCGTTTGTTGATATGAACAGCTTGAAAACTCCAAACCGCAGACTCTCCGTTGTCTGCGATGTTGTAAGTATTTTTCACTCCGAATTTACATGGATTCCAGAGTCCTTACCATTTTTTCAACCGCACAGAGCTGCGATACCTCGAATCCGAACAACCCAATTGTAAGTAGCTGGCTCCTGAATTCGAAGTTCGTTTTAAAACCCAAGCTAACAAATTACAGCCAATCTACGACGTTAACACTGTATGTACCGCGATCGGCTGGGAGAATAGCAATCCAACTAATCCTGTTTTAGACATTCGATAAGCCTACCATCCCCGTTAGCGTCTCCAATCCACCTCTCAGCGTGATCTGTAAGTTTCGCCTTCTCTGCCCTGTATGTATTAAAGAGCTTGATCTAACGCCGATATAGCAATCGACCACCTACCCAGTCTTCTTCCAGCCGAATCTTCTGATGCATTCTCGAACGATCTACTTCCTTCCATGCTTGAAATCCCAAACCGAGCTTCTCATCCTGTTTGGCAGCGTGCGGAGAAGCTTTTCAGGCAGAAGGTTGCTACTCTTCCTGCCGAGCTACAGAAGGTTGAGCAGTAATTGCTCAATACAGTGATTCCTTCGGTACTCCATGCTCACCTGAGGGGGTGAAAGATACACAATGTAGACCATTGCCTATTTAAGGCTTGGAAAAAATATACAAGTAATCAAATGAAATAGCTTGTGGAATGGATTTCAGTTTGATATTTTTATGTTTTATATTTTATTTTTTTCTGGTTCTATGTTAACCCTGCCTCTTCACAGTGACTGGGGCACTGTGGGCACTATACACAGTTAATGTAGCAGATGCTGCCAAACAATAGACATCCCAAGCTGTCCTCCGAATGCAAATAAGATATATAGATAAAAAGAAATTGAACCCAAAGGAACGTGGTGAAACTGGAAAAAGCTGCGAAAGGAGAATAGCAAAGTGCCACCTTTATAACCGATGTAATTTAATTAATGCTTGGAGAAATTCTTCGTCCTGGAAGTGAAAAGAATGTCGAAGGCTGGGGAAATGTAAAATGAGCCGTTAATTCCCTCGCTAAGGGAAAGTTTTCTTTGAAATGAAATGGGAAAGTTAGAAAGGATTATGTCGAGTAGATAACGCTGATAGCTGAAGGCTAACCTCTATCTAAGCCAGAATCCGTAATTAAATCTCAAGTACTCCGCAGGTTCAATGTTGAACCAGGCGGGCTCCGGATGAGTAGTAAACATTTTTCGAGCAGTGGACATTTTTGCATGGGGCTGGGCTTTCTTTGGGCGTAGTGCTTTTGGCAGGGATTCCGAAGACTTCCCCTTTAGGGATTTCATGTGTTTCAAGCCAAATGACGGATCAAAGCTGATCAGTATAAGGGCCTTTGTTCCGTCTGCCATGCCAGCATCAGTCGAATAGACCATGAATCGTTCGTCAGCAGCAGCAACGACCTTCCCAGATTTCGGAGTAGGACTCAAAAGCTTCAGCAGCTCTGGTGGTGCATCGTTTGGGGGCCACATCTTTACTCCACGAGATTGGTATCCTTCTTCAGTTTTAGGGGCTGAATAGCCGCTGATGTCTATTACACTACGAGGATACATTGCAGCACTGGACCCTTTATCATCCATTTCGTATTGTTGGAATTGACGCTTTCTTGCTCCAATACGTAGCCGGAGTCTGTCAGGAGGTGTGCTGAATGGTTTCACTGGTCGTGGGGGGTCATTAACAAGGTCCATAAAGGCGGATGCCATGAGATTGTAGCCGTGGAACTTGGTGCTAGAAAGTGTGAAATCTCGACGGTTGGGAGACTGGGCCTCCTCAGGGGTATATTCGAGGTGATAGAATCTCTTGTGACGCTTCTTCGGCGGTTCATAATTTGGACGATTGAATGGGTCAAGGGTTTTAGCTAGTTGGTCGTCCGGAAGCGAGCGAACTGGTAGGTACTTGGGAAGGCCACTTTTAGGGAACGAGAATTCCGTCCGAGAGTCGCCATCGACAGTGTCGAAGCAATCGAGAGGCTGGCTATAGTGAATGCGAAAGTTCTCACTTCCACTGTTCTCCCACTCATGCCTGCATTCGACGATGGTTAGTTGGCGTGTCGTCGGGTCTACCGCAAGTGATATCTTCGTCCAGTTGTCGTTAATTGGACCTTCACGGTGTTGTCGTCGCCATATTCGCTGCCACTTGACATCAACAGGATTGATGAGTGGAAATCGTACACAAATATAGTAGGAAGTCCAGTCAATTTCTTCATCCTCAAAGGAAGTCTGGTTGGAAACGGCGTAGAAATAACCATCTTTGACCTCAAAACACACAGTTGATCCAATCTCAGATCCCACAAAGTTTTCGAGCTGGATAGATTCCAGGGAGGTATCAGAACCTGTCACGAAGCTGAACCCTTCCAAAATCCACTCACGATGGCCATGCCTCCCACGGCCGGAATGAGTACCAAAGTACATGAATGAACGGTTGAGGCGCACGAAGAGGTTCCGAGTCGAGGTTAGGGGACGGCAGAATCTGACTCGATGGGGTTTCCTGGCAGTTGAGTAGTTTAGGCTCATGTCTATTGCAAGTAACCAGGGCGAGTCTCGCCCTCCAGGCTGGCACAGAAGCGCAACCATTCCATCGCAGTAGCACAGTAACTTGTATTTGCATTTTGAATAAGGTCGTCCATTTGAAATGAGGGGATAAGAGTCAAAGACATCTTTAAGGTCAACAACCTCTTCGTATTCGGCTGCTTTGAGAACGTCCAATGTCCGAATTTGTCCGTCACTGATGTAGCAAACGACTCCCTGATGGAAAAGGAACTCATTCCCGAGCGCAATTAAACTTGCAGAGTATGGTTGAGCACTCGCTATAGCTTCACGGATATCATACACTCTTCCAAGTGCTTCACGATTTGAAATCACCTTTGCAGCAGCAAGCTCCCCTTCCACAGTATAGGCGATATGAGCCTATACAGCATATCAGCACCATATATAGAAATAGCAGAAGAAATTACGGCTATTCTTAGAATTCTTCCTACCTTGACGGCTTTTCGAGCAGTAATCTCATCCTTTAGCAAGCCATAGAGTGTGCGGTTGGTGAGACTTAGGTTAACATAATCGTTTGGATCAAGATAACCAGCTACTTGATGCCATATATCAAAGGGAACTGCATCAAATATCGATGCCATGGTTACCTATTAAATCGCCTTGGGATAAGAACCAACTTGCAGTCGCTGTTCTTGGGCTCTGCAGCACGTTTCACTGGTTAGAGGGAATGGCTTTATACCAGAGCCATCAGCAAAGCAGTGAAGATGACGGTAGTAAGCCAAGGAGGCAGAGAACAGGTGGAGGAGGAGGAAGCTGAAGTTGAGTCTGAAGAGATAGGCGGAGGATGAAGTTCACAAGGGCGTTCCCAAAATGGAAACGGGCAGAGAGAGGACAGCAAAGTGAGGCTAAATCTTACTACCAAGACAAGCAACAATAACCACAAAGGCCAGCACAACAAGGCCACAGCAGCCTGGGTATCTAATAATATATCTTCTGTACTGGGGATTTATCAAAGACGAACGGTTAAAAGGGTGTTGTGAGTCCCTCCGATTTGTAACCGCACTGGCTAATGTGGAAGATAGAGCATTCCCTACACCCGGAACTGGTGGATGAACCAGCTCTAATAAGAGATATCTGGCCCTGGAGCCGCTGGGAAAAGCCCGGCTAGTGCCTTTGTGGGCCGCCACGAGGCTCAAAAGTCAAGATCCGTCTCATCCTACCAACACAATTGCTGGATGTCACTAGTTGGCGGACTCGTGTGGCGGCGAGTGCTGCGGTGGAGGAAGACTCAAGGCCAGACACTAGTTGATTGGGTCTGAAAGGGTTCAATAATACCAGAGACGCCTTGAAACTGGACAGGGACGAGGAAAAAGCAATGCAAGTCAGAGACAGGAGAATGAATCATGGCCAACCGTAGTCTGGTTTGCAACGAGAAATGAGGCTCAAGGGAGGAGAAGAGCCTCCTTTTAGCGTGCAAAGCCTTACGAAATCACGCCCACCCGCGGCCTGATCATCTTAACACCAGCTTTGTTGGCGCGAAATACCGAGAGCTAGCCGTGTTTGTCATCCTGCAGGACAACTGAGGCGCCTGAAGCTCCTCTTTTTCTGCTTTTTTGGACCCGAGGCGGACCGATAAACAGTGTGGTTATGAGCGTTGGGAGGATGCGGATGCCGACTCCCTTTCTGGTCGTCCGCACAGATCCGCAGAAAGAGCATCACATCCTGGAATGACGCGAAGACGACAAAGCTTTACTCTCCCACGTCAGTTACACCACCAGCCCACCATGATCCCACAAAACATCACCCCTCGCCCGATCCGTAGCTGCGTTGCCGTTTGACAGCCAAGCCGAAAAAGGATAAACATAATTGACCGTCACCTGATTGTGGCTGAGCAATGGCATCCCCAGAGCATGGAGTACGAAGAAGGGAGATGCTCACCTGTACTCCGTACAGGGAGCTTTGGGGGAAGCGATCCCGGGCAAAGGGAATACTGTCTCAGGCACGAAAGTTGGCAACAGAGCCGCATGGCTCTTCGACAAATTCTCGCCAACGATTCGCTCAAAAGGTGGACCAACCGAGCCGCGCATGGCCCCTAGCATGCTCAGATGGCGTGTTATTGGCTACTTATACATTCCAGCCTCCATACGGAGTATCTAGGCTGCCATATTACTCCCAATGTTTTGCCCCTGTCTCCAGTCAAGGGGGATACTCCGCAATCCATTTGATGACAGAACATTTCGCCCTGGGTTTCCTTTTGTGGTAGTCAGCTCGTACCCCGGCCTGCATTATCAGTTTGATGTTCCGCTCTCGGTCTCCGCTCTGGCTCCAGCTTCAGCTTCAAGTGTCAACTATATCGAGCTGAGGTCGGCAAAAAAAAAAAGTTCGAAGTTTTGATTCGTGGCATGACTCTCCGCTGTCAGACACTGGATTCGTAACTTGAAGCTCTGGGGGGTGACGAGTTCAAATTACGTGAGGTTGTGGCTTGAACTACTGGCAGTTCGTGGCAAACACTTATTTTCCATGCAATTACCTGACAAAGGTATTTTTCTTTGAACCATGAGCTAGGGATACTCAGCTATTTAATAAACAGGATAGGTCTCCTAGCTAGGAAAATCCTAAATGTTCACCGCTGCCTGGGGAAAAGAAATTGGACGCTCGACACATGCTCTTGGAGCGTTGACGAAAATAAGATTCTAGTCCGGAGTATCAGCCAAAGAGATAAGCGATTTGAATTTCTTGACGCAGTCAACACATATCTCTCTTATTCCCATGAGACAATATTGCCGCATCTATGCAAGGTCATCCCAAGCACCGTAACGATTGGCTAGGGCTACAGTACTACTTACATGGAGCCATGGTATTATATCCTCTCACTTGAGGACGGTTCTACATGCACGCTGCCTTAAGGTGATAGAAATAGGCCGAGAGACAATGCACGAACTGAGTACTCGTCTCACTGAAGGAGGTGGGTGTTTCACGAGCAAACGTGAGGAACCAGTAATGCCACTTACACGTTGCATCTGGGTCTTTTTTAGGCTCAAGGATCTGGTATATGGATCTTTAGGTCAGGATCAGTCTTGCGTGCTTTCAGTGACTGCTGCCTTCATACCTTCAGTCACGGGAGCCCGTAATAACCCGAGTCTTATCCTCGGATTGATAAACCATCTTGCAGCAACAGTGCCAACATCTTTTCCTTGGATTAAAACAGAGTTAAAGATGCGAAAACCCACACTTACACCGTTGGACCACTTCAATGAGATCCAGCATTCAAATATGCACGGAGAAATGAAGTCTATGCATATTTTATCCAAACTCCGATGCAGACCGGTCTAGGTAAATGTATTTAAGTTCTGCCTCCCCTGATAGTCCATGCTGACTATAGTGGCTCAATCTAAGAAAGATATATCAGGAACACTTCCCACCAAAAACGACAAGAACCTGGGTTTTGCCCGTGTGTTATGAGGAATACCGACTCCTATTACTGAAGAGAGCTGCTCTACTCTTTCATTTTCTCCTCACTTGTATTCAAATACGAATACATATGTCATCAGTGAGATAAGAGTATTTATTCTGGACAAACACCATGCGAATAAATTGATACTGTTATTAACTGATGCTCAGCTTTTGCTACCTGCTAGGTCTTATATGCTACAACTTCTTTATCTGTGACCAAAACCCCCAGCTGTCCGAATGGCTCCGAGGGGGAGTTGGACTGGCCAATTTGACCAAAAGCAGAGCTGGTATGATTTACTCTTGCTGGATACCATACGGATGCTCAAAGAATACTGCAGTATGGCAGTGTTACAAACGAATGCAGGGAAAAGAAGGATAATTCATGATATTCGACGTAATACGACGATGTGCAAAGAGGAGAGTTCGCCCAGGCATTTCAAGAATGGACAGAGAAGGCTACGAGCAGATGGGGGTCTTTGGTATAAAGATGAAATTGGTCAAATTTCCCCGTGCTTACAAACTGGGATTGGTCTAACTGCCTACAAAAAGCAGAGAGATGTTTAAAGAAGCAGACATTTCAACAAGCAGACATTTCGTTTCTCTGACAAGCTATTCTATGGCAGTTTCTGCTTTCATACACTGACGTGGAAGCTTACTTAACCTGCAACACAGAGAGGCTACTTGCATGTACGCCCTAATTCTCTGTGAACCGAGGTTTTCACAGCATAGACAGCAAACAAGATAACATTGCTGCCATGGTCGGCGTTCGAATATGAACCGTCGTCGATGGGAGGCGGACAACGCTTTTCTTTACATGCCCCGTACTCAGGCATTACATACCCCACCACCAGGAAAGGGATTCGTTGCCTCCGCCTAATTTTCTTGGGCGTGTGACCTCAGCGTCCTCACTCGAATCCTACGTCCGCTCCATATATCGCAGCGCGGGTTGGGTCTGATCTGCGTGCATTCGCGAGGCTGCAGATATATTAGCAACAACGTGAGATTGTTATGCAGGTGAAATTCCCGATTAGATATATCTGCTCTTTGCAGTGTCTGCTTGGTCCAGAGTAAGATCTGGTTGTTGGCAAGCCTTGCGTCCCTGTGCACAAGAAGGACGTGTAACTTCATGGAGAATGGGCAAAGTGCGTCCTCGGTGCGTTTTTAACTCATACAATCTCCCATTTTGTATAAAATGCCGCAAGCCTTCGCTAAAACAAGACTGGGTCAAAGACACTGACATCACTGCTTGGATTTCCAACAGTCGCAACGAGTGACCAACATGGAAGCTCATTATTAGTTAACTAACTAGGTATAGGCTAGGTATAGGAGTGAAGAAAGTGCCTTCCGTTGGAGAAGGAGTTGTTCCGGCAATGGGCGAGCTACCCAAAAAAAAAAAAAAAAAAAAAAGATTCCTTGACTGAGGCCGAGATGTTAAACTCGGCGGCTCGGTCCTCGTTGCACACAGTACGAAGAACAAGAAGATTGTTGCATGCCCAGTTACACAGTGACCTCTGACATCCCTCCCAGTTCACCAACCAAACTCAGTTAGGAGCCAATAGGGTGGCAAATTGGGTGTTCTTGCGGTATATCATTCGCCCGCAGTCCAGCTCACCCTGCACGGCCTAGGCTTTATCTCAAGGCCAGCTCACTGCCATCAAGTTCTATATGCCTTGATTATATCTATATAATCGATGTCAACCTGTCAGCCCCGCCAGTTCGGCTTATAATCCCCAATAGACACTGGATCTGTCGCTACCGATCTAATAACTAGTCCATTTGCACTCCTAGATGGAGCGCCATGGAGAATGGCCCGCAAAGCCGGGCGTTGCAGATCTGCCATGGGCATATGAACTTCGGTCATCTGAAGGATTTGCCGTTTTTGCAGTGGCAGTTGCAATGTTTGTGGTAAGCCTAAGCTATGTATACTGATTCGTCGGAAATATATACTTAGCTGTACGTCTAGGATTCATTCATATATTCAATGGTATTACCATATCAATAACAAATTTTGTTCTCACATCTTATTAACGATATCAGATCGTTCCAATAATTCCCAAAGTACTAGGAGACATTGGGAATTTACCTAGGGAAGAAAGTATGGACCCATCCTCCAATACTACCTTCAGTGGTTTGTTTGTGTTGACCATATATACATAACTTTAGTTCAAACATGGGTTGCCATTCTACTTGCTTCATATGGGGCCACTTTGATTATTGGATCTCGTATGTCTCCGGATTCAATGATCTTAGCACTTGTTATTAACAGAATGTTAGTTGTGTTTGGCTATATATCAGATCATTCCCGTCAACGTAAACCAGCTTTTTTTATAGGGCTGATTTCCATGGCTGGTGCAGTTACTCTGTTTATTGTTTCAACCTCCCCTCCAGTGCTAGTTATTGCGAGGCTTTTGCAGGGTCTGGCCGCTGGTGGTGTATGGGTGGCAGGACTTGCACTTATTGCAAATAGAGTAAGCAGAGACCGCATTGGAGAGGCTATGGGCCACACAACTTTAGGAATGACATGGGGAGGTCTCCTTGGTCCGTTTACCGGTATCATGTGAGTACAAGTGCAATATGGTCTATTATTATGTTTGGCGACTGATAAGTTTTATAGTTATGATAAATTTGGATATTACGCTTCATTTGCAATTCCATTATCATTGTTAGGCTTGGATGTGATCCTACGATTTGCTATCATTGAAGGTTCTTTTTTGGGTCTTTAGGGATAAAGAATATATAACATTGCTGACTGTCCTTCAGATCGTTCGGAATCCTGTTTAACCAACGGTTATAAAGCGGGTTCTGGAGACTCATCCGAGACTACTCCATGCCTTGCGGATGACGACCAAGCCTCACTTTTCCAACCTCCATCACAGTTGGATTCTGAAGCTCAATGCTCCAATCCTACTGTATCACGAAAGCACCTGCCACCGATGGTACAGCTTCTTCGAGATCCAAAAATACTAGTTACCCTGCTTGAAATAGCGGTTGCAGCTTCTATCCTGTCCGCCTTCGAGGCAGTACGTTCCCTATTTATTCCGATATCAACTACATTTACCAAAGTCTATGTACTAAACTTGTCCATCTTTTAGACTTTGCCATTATTCGTAATACAGCGGTTTGGTTGGGGTTCGGCCGGAGCTGGATTGATATTCCTCTCAATAACAGTTCCCAGTACGGCTGGTATCCTCATCGGAAAGCTCGCGGATAAAGTTGGTACTCGCTATTTTTCACCGCTAGCTTTTCTGCTGGCCGGCCCTGCGGTCTTCCTTATGCGCTATGTGACAGGACCAAGTGTGATGGATGTCCTATTACTCGTGGACCTGCTAGCTGCGGCTGGTTTATCAGTTGTCATCATAGAAGTGATTACAATGACGGAGGTCTTCCACTCAGTTAGTGATGCTGAGGCGAAAACACCCGAGGCATTTGGCCCGTATGGCGCTGTTGCTCAGGCCTACGCAATTCTGAATATATCCTTTGCATGCGGCCAATTTGCAGGTCCCTTGATTGCGGGGCTATTAAAGGATGGTACAGGCTGGCAGGGCATGACCCTTGCCCTCTCCTTGTGCTGTCCTCCCATGGCTCTTTTTGTCGGACTGTTTAATTGGTGGACACAAGTATCTACAACGGCTGTAGACCTGAATGAATAATCTTAGAGGTAAGTTATATGCTGGACCATTGGATTGCTAGGAGAAATTAGTACATATATTTACTTTGTGTTCATGAAATAGCAGCACAAAACAAGAAATAAGATATGACATATAAAGGTGAACCTTAAGCCTCTATTGGCATAATAATCATCTAAGCCCAGATTTAAACAATATAGAGACGCATGTTGTCAATTTATAGGTCAATAGTCGCATCCCGGCGCGGTATAAAGGCAGGTATCGCTAACGCCGCACGATAAAAAGCACCCACCAACTTCAACCCAACCTCAAGAAACAAGTGAGCAGAACGAGAATATAGTGATAAGGCATAAAACTCAAAAAGGCTGAAGTAATCAACAGGAAATATCCAAGCATGTACCTGGAATGCTAGCAACGAGGTGGCGTAGGCTCGCAAACGATTTTTTAAGTCGAGAGGTGATATGCCAGTTAATCAAACGTAATTTCCTCAAAATCGCGCATCAAAATGCCCATTTGAGCCCGCCTAGCAGCTTCAGCGACAAGATTGACATTCTGTAAGAACTGGGCTGTAGCAGTCTTGCCACACATTTCCTGCTGTTGACTCTGGCCTTGCAGGTGAATCTGCTGGTCTGATGCGTGTTGAGTTTGTATCTGTGACTGCATTTCAGCATCTGTTTGAGTACCAGCTTGGTATAATCGTAATCTTTGTAATGAATTCGTTTGGGAAGACGCGGATGTAGACTGGCTGGTGAACACTGCTGTCTGGGACAATGTGGTAGCTAGGGGTTGCTGATGCTGCTGCAGATGTTTCTGATGCTCCGGTTGTACGGAAAATCCCATTTGGTCCTTGCTCTGCAGAGTCTGGTTTGCCATTGTGAGCGGCGTGATTGAGCGAATGATCGTGTAGTTTTGTGCGTGGGAGGATGGAATAGTTTGCTTCGAGCAGGACGTGCAATGGATGGTACGTGGCAGTTATGTCTCTAGCTCTCCTCTTTTGTCGATAGATGTCGGCACAGGCGCATTAACTACCCGTCAGCCTAGAAGTGTACGGCGTAGACAGGCTGATATTCAAGAAGTAGGTGAAAAGGGCCAGCAGCACTCCCGCCAAAGTAAACGAAGAACGAAAAGTGACAATCTGAAGCAAGAAACGGTCGATCATGCAACGTCGGAACATCTGAGATCGTGCCTCGGCAAGGTGCTTGTAAGGACGATACACGTCAGTTGGCAGGTACTTTGCGGGAGTTTCACTTTCCAGCCAATAAACAGAACTTTTATTTTACCGGGTATCGTCGCTGTAACCGTACCATACGCGCTAAACTCATGATCGAATTATTACGTCATGTGGGGAGAGAAATATCTCACGTGATAATCTTATCTTATCTTGATTAGTCACATCTTATTTCTAGAGATTTGTGTAACTTTGAATGAAGTTTTTTATATGTGAAGAGGTCGTGGCATCACCGACTAGCCCGGAATTATATACCATACCTAGAGGGGAGTACAATGGGTCTAGAGCTGCAAGACGAGGCGTTCGGTTTTGGAGATTTCTTCAATGAACCTGAGGGGTTTTTCCCCCCTCCAAAGCCCCCGACCTTCTCCGAACATCGCATGCTTTCCGGTGATACCCTGAGTATTCGACTTGTTGGAAGCCATCCGTTATATGTAGGAATAGCTAATGCAGAGTATACCCTTGACTGTCAATAATACGCTACTTGCACAGACACCATTTTGACTGACTTTTTTTTTTTCTGATTTGGAGGGGTATCTTCTCTGGAATGCAGCAAGAACGATATCTGACTTTTTAGAAGAAAACGCCTCGGAATGGGTTGAAGGTAAAGACGTTCTCGAGCTGGGGGCAGGTGCCGGTCTACCAAGCATTATCTGTGCTATTATGGGGGCTAAAACAGTTGTCGTAACTGATTATCCCGATCACGATCTTATCGACAACATGCGAATAAACGCGTCAGTCTGCGAGAAGTTTATCAAGAAACAACCATCACCTCTTTATGTTGACGGATACAAGTGGGGTGACCCTACCGGCTGCATATGCAGGTACCTGGAGTCTCCCTCAGGGGGTTTTGATGTTTTAATTCTCGCGGACGTCATATACAATCATCCACAGCACCACAGCTTGATTGACAGTGTAAAAATGACTTTGAAGCGGTCGAAGACATCGGTAGCCTTCGTCGTTTTTACCCCATATCAGCCTTGGCTACTGGAAAAGATAACGGCCTTTTTCCCTAAAGCCGAACAGAGCGGCTTTACGGTGAAGAAAATATTCCAAAAAGTTATGGATAAATTATTATTTGAGAATGACCCAGGGGTATAATATAGTTGCTTCCCTACATATTTCTATAACTACTAACTGTACATAATAGGACGAACAACTAAGACGGACAGTTTTTGGATATGAACTTAGGTGGAAAGAAGAGGAGTTGGACAGTGAAATACCCGGCTGATAGTTTCATGAAATTTTACTCAGATATATTGGATTCAAAAGTAAGACTGGGAAAATTAGGCATACGCCCGCAAACCAGTATAACTTCCTCAGACCGGCTGGCTGTTAGGTGGATGTATATATTGTAACTAAGCTTCCGAAGTGTCATTGTGTTGGTACCGTCTACATATGAAAGATGATACAAATCATGACATTGGTCTTAGCACACTACTGGTATAAGTAGAGTCGTACTCTATTCGGCGTAAGAGTACAAAGGAAGGCAATAATCTGGGAGGGGCCAGTAACAAGCGTCAGGGTCTGACCCCTATGCACCAGCTGACGTCAGTGAGTTATACAAAGGCTTCGCCAGAAATCCAACGGTTCATCAAATCAAAGGCTACGTCAGGCCGATCTTGTGGAACCTAAGGGGTAGCAGTTCTATTAGTGACACCCTGTAGCATAAGCCCCTCAGGAGAACGATTAGACTTACCATGTGGCCAGCATTATCCACCGTTACAAAAGCATATCTAGTAGCAAAGGTTGCACTATCTGTGACACGAATCTTGACTTCTTTCATTCTCCCTACGGTCTCATTCCTCCCCGTAGACGCAAGGACCGATTTCCATGGGACCAGAGGTTTAGAAGACAGCTCGGCTTGACCTTGCCAAGGAATATCGTGCATCCATTTCAAGTTTCCTGCAGTATTGCACGCAAGGTCTAGATTACCTTGATAGTTCATGATGTGTATTTGATTTGCAAGGAGAAACTCCACTTCTTCAGTTGACGGTACCATAGAGTCCGATGTTAGGCCAAAGGCATCCTCAACATTTTTGGAAGCAAATTTGTACTCTTTGACTTCCTTTGGAGGGGAAAGAGCATTCCAAACAAGCTTTGTGTTTAAATAATTCTGGAGGTGAAGACCTTGAACATAACATATATCGTCCGCTTGACAAGGGGTAGTAACTGTTACAATAGTAAGCGTCTCGCGTATAGGAACGTAGATTAAGCACCCTTACTGTCAAATCTATTACGACCACCTTTAACATCGGATTCTTTATTGTACAGTCCGGTGATACCTTCATCGCAGACGGACTGTGCAGAGAGACATATTGCTGGATCCGGATTGCGACGGCAAACCTCAGCAACTTTCATGCATCTAGGCATGTTTTTTGCCATGATATCGCATCTGGTTTCGTTGAATACAGGCTTTTCGACGCCGGGATTGGTCGTGCAAAGGGTCTCCCAGTAACCGAATGTAGTGTGCATATGTGACATGCATCCATTACCTATTAAACAAGACTTGAGCTGTACTTGCGGCTCATTTGGATAAAGTTTGTTTTGCCGCACAATTTGCGCTCCAAGGTATGGAATATAATGTCCCTAGAGACGAAGGAAAAAAGGGTTAGGACTACCTTTAAGACTTATCGGTGGATACTTACACCGTAAGACTCTCCAGAAATATGAAATGGAGAATTCAGTTTGTTCGGGAAGACTTCAGACATAAACAACTGAAGGAATCTGTGCATATCCACGGCAGCAAGATATGAATCGTTTGGAATGTCATAGCCCTCGTCGCCATAAGAAAAGCCGACACCAACGGGCTGATCAACAAACAGCATTGATGACTTTTTGCTCCAACCCCAAGGATTATATTTTGTACCATTACCATACTCATTGACCAAACAAGGGCCTACCTCTTCAAGCATCCCAAGCATACTGGAGTAGCCTGGTCCGCCGGTCATCCACAACGTGAGTGGATCATTTTCGGGATGGTTCTGGCTCTCAAAGTACCAGAAGAAAAGGTGCTTCGGCCCAATATCTAACCATCCAGTGTATTGCGCGGAATGGGCATCACAAATTGAGCCATCCTGCTTCTTAATGCGAATTGAGTGCCGAGGAGAATGCTTGCTCGTGAAGATTTGGAATCCCTCTTCAATTGTTACCTTTTGGGGCTGATCAACCGACAATGGAGCCTGGTGTATAGCCTGGCTTGGGCCGAAGAGCGATGTGGTCAGGAGAAAATACCAGAATGACGGCATGTTTAAAAGCAACTCCATTGAAATAGTTTTGGTCTCAGCTACCCTTCTCCAGTGGGGAAAGGCGTTTTTTAAGGTTAACATGTTCTGGAGTCACGTGCCATAACTAGTTAGGAAGATCAAGCCTTGCCAAGCCTAGGCGACAGCGTTTCTAGCACTGTTTGTACATAGGAAATTATTGGAAAAGAATATAAATAAAATTGCAGAAGAAATAACGATAAGTTTTACAAGGCTAGAATACCTGTACTGTTTTCGAAAGAGAATACAAAATATAATCAATTATTATCTTTATTCTCGTCCCATGGATTCCTCTGAACCATAACTAGCCAATTTTCAAAAGCTGAAGGCGTCAATGAAACTTAAGGCACTAGTCTCGGGTACGGGCACGTACGCAAGTATCAGATGCAATATATTGGAAGGTGTCCAATCTCTGCTTGATTACATTTTCACTGTTTACAACCTGGTAAGTTCCGAAAAGAATGTTTTTAGCACCAGTACTCAAATTGCAGGCGTTGCGAATATGCATTAAGCTCTACAGTGTACCAAGACAATGGATATCCATGGTTTGGTTATGATGAATAGCCACATTTAAAAATTTAAGAACCATTGGGTAGAGTTTTATTAATTCTATAAACCCTTTGGAGATATATAAGCAATGTACTGCCACCCACCTAGCACTCCTCAACTACTATAGACGAAATACCCCTCTCCTCATCTATAATAGCCATCCTTTTGCATTACTAAAATAGGACAGCAATATGCCATCATTCAAAAAGAACCACAGTTTTGAGCGTCGTAAGCGTGAAGCTTCGCTCACGTTACAGCACCAGCCAGATCACATCCCAGTAAGTCTGAGCCTCACTAGCTACTCACTAGCTGCTCCAAATTTGACCTACATCCATGCTACATGCTACTCTACTACTAGTCGAGATACTACTAACTATTTGCCTTGCTTTCATGACACTCGGAATATTATGATGAAGCTAACGTCTTTATAGCTTGTTTGCGAAAAGGAAGAGAACTCGGACATTGTGGACGTTGACTGTTGCCGGATCCTTGCCCCCAAAGAACTCTTGGTTGGCCAGTTGTTGCATGTGCTTCGTAACCGTCTGAGACTTCCCCCGGAAAAGGCCTTATTCATCCTCATTAACGATCAATTACCATCTAACTCCTCTCTTTTATCTACTGTCTATGACACTGATAAGGATGAAGATGGATTTTTGTATATCAAGTAAGTCATATACTCATGTTCAAGCTTACACACGGGATTGTAGCTGTCGATCACTCACAACTGTGTAGGTTTATGGGAGAGAATACCTTCGGAACTCCGGAAGAAAAATAAACCTGTTTCATCTCTTCTACAGGCCAAATATAAGAGGTGAAAAAATATGGAGATATGTTTCTTGCTTTACCAGTTGCAATGTTCAATATTGGAAAGGTGTATTTTTTGTAAGGAAGGCTTGAAGCAGGCTTGTTATATCGCAGTTTATATTAACACCTATTATAATAAGTTTTAATCAGTGATTTATCATTTCACATATTCCTTTCCCCTTAGGTTCTGACCTTAGTGTAGACACTTTTCACAGAATGCCGTAGCATTGGACACTAAATAAGAACTTTTGACATGCTCGCTGGTGTGCATCAACAATTGTCAACTACAGGAAGCAATTATGGGGGACCATGAGATACCGACCAACGTCGAGAGCAAAGCCCTGAGGTCATTGACGTCATCGTCCACCTTGCTTCTCCACTTTTTAAAAATAGCCTCAGCTAAGCATAAATTCGGCTCGGGCCACGACGTAACCTGCTTATATCAGCAGGTGTACCTTATTAGTAAACATGCGAATCCTTTTTATCACGTGATAGAATTAGTCATTGGAAACCGTCCACAAAAAAATTCTACATCCGAAAAAAAAAACATGAAATGTTATCACAAAATAACATGCCAACTGTTTATCATCATTATTATTTCTCCTCCTCACGCGATCGAGTATCTGCGTTTTTCGAGAGGCTAGGGGTATTCCCTTAGGAATGAGTGAGGAATGCATATGTAGTTGGAGGGTAACTCAAAGTAAACACTGCGGTTTACTTTGCTCTCCCCAATCCGACACAAAAACCTCCTGGAAAACAATTTTATAGAGATAGCGAAGGTATGTCTGGCTACCGTTTCGGACCTCTTTGCTGGTTCATACCTTACCTCTGGCCTACATGATGATCTCCATGTACAAAGCATAGTTCAACTGAAGGTCTTCGGATCGCTGAACGAGAAACCCCATCACCATCTTTCATCATATCTGATCATGGTCGAACACATACACACATGCTTCTTTATTTTTTTACTGTGTTATCAGGTTTGCTAACTCAACGGAAGATATAGGCTTGCAATATCATCCTTATGTTGCATTAGATTTATCATTTCAATGCCAGTTTCATGCATTGCTGCCCAACCTCCCTAGACCATGCCGCCTGGCCAATCATCGACACTTGTTTTCGGCGAGCCGGGCAGCCTGGCATACCCTCCTTTTCCTTGTAAAAAAGAAAAGAGTATGAAGCAAAAGTATCGGAAATATGACAACAAGGCAAAGATTTTCGTCTTTACGGATCATTGCATTGGATATAATATTGCTCACTTTGACCACGTACCACAAAACTTCATGCTGTTGTACTCTGTACTCCGTTTTCTGTAGATGTTGTCCCGTTCTCATGCGTTGTCAACATGCGTATTGTTCGCTTTTCATGCGGCCCCATAGAGACCCTTGCTTCCTCCTTGGATTGGCTAATACTCTTCTAGGTTATTATGCGGACTCAAGGACGGATTGTGTCCATCCCGGTCATCCGGCACCAGAGGCGGCCGATCCCGTCTCTACCATATAATTAATTTGTTGTTGTTGGAGAGAGTTGAGATTTCCAGGCACATCATTCCCTTCCTCCGAGCGCCATCAACTCCGCCGACTATTATTGAAGATCTCACAATAATTTTCTGAGTGAGGACCTCGCGGCTGGCAACCGTTTCAGAAGCAAATGAAATATCACTCAAAAGCCACTTTTCACCGCTGTTTTCCAAGGTTCCCTTGGCGCGAAATGACTGGCTGAGATGAAGCCCTGGTGGACAACATCCTGGACAGCGAGGGTGCCACGTCGAGACATCGCTGGTGACTTGTCTTCGCGGGCTGCTGCAACAACCCTGGCACTATCACACCACAATATGCAACCGACAAATAAACTACCCGCATGATATCTGCGAAGCAAACAACGTGCACCAATCCCCTCGCCTGGGTCTGCGGGTTCTCTTCCCTCAAGCTGCACTCGCCCCGCTTTGCTCTGCTTGTCTTTCGTTCAGATTTGCAGGGTGAGGCGGCCTTCCACTGTGATATGCGCTGGGAGATGCGCTGAAAGGGTAGTTAAAGCCCGATGTCCCCATTTCTCCTCTTGATTCTGTACTTTTTTTCTCTCCCAACCACCGCACCATTCTTACCCAACCTGAAAACCTTCCAACCTTTTGGCCACCCATTATATTCTTGATCTCATTTCCACTACTTTTTACAGCCCTATCACTGTGGAAAGTGAGTACCAGTTCAGTTGAACGTGGACGACTTGATACTCTGCCCTCTCGCCTACTGGATCAGCTTCACAACCCAAAATATTGGCCGCTTCAAAAACAAACATCGGATTATTCTCCCTGCCCATTTGGATTCATTGCATTGTTTTGACCAGACTAACGCCGGGCACCTGATCATCGCTCGTTGTATGGGTTTCCCGCTTCGGATGTAGCCATGGATGATAAAGCCCATAGGAAGAGCTTATGCGCAAGGCGAACCAAGTATGCAGGGATTTTCACGATTGTAGTTAGAGCTGGTATGCTCTGCTTTCGTTGCGTGTCTTTCTATACGGACCTGTACCCTCAAATTATGTCTTGCTCTGCGCCTACAGCCCACGGATGCCCTCGGACAACGACCAAAGCATGCCACTGCCTTCCAGATGGATACCATAAATACTGCCGTTTGCCACCCCATGGATAGCACACCTGGATGATTACAGCTTGTTTAGCAGCACAGCCTGGCGAACCCGTCAACGAAAGGCTCGTGTTAGTCATATGCATAAATCTGCATTTGGCGCAAATAATGACATTGATAACCAGAAGGAGAATTTATGATGAATGATCTTGACCAAACGCTGAAACTGCCAGCGAGGAACCACTAGCCGTGTGATTTTTCCCCAGTTTTTAGCCAGGATGTTGACCCATGGATTGACAAAAATGATGATACTTGTGTCTTACTAATGGACGAAGTGCCCTGATTTTCCGGGAGACATGCAAATATTCACAATGATATGATGATGCAGTTGAATTGTGTTCGATCGCTTTGATTTTTTATTCTCATGGATTACCCATTACCTTTGGAACGGATCCCAGTTATGAATATTACCGCAATGGTTTATATGAGCCAGCCACGCTTCATGGATGTTTTACGGATATATCAGAAATAATGTTTCAGTGGCCTCATGGATTTTCAATCAACTGGTTGCCAATTAACAACAGCCATTACCTTCATGGTCAGTTTGCAAGCTGTATGAATGGAGAATGACAAAACTAACTCGATATAGGATACTCGGACACATTTTTCTTTCCATGTTTTTTCTGTTTCATTTACGTTTCCTTGTAACAACATGATAACTGCCAAACATGACAATACTAACTTGAACCCGCAGTGCTGTTTTTAGAAATTTCCAGAATCTACCTTCACCACACATCACCATGGCTACAAAAGGAAAGGCCACCATGTCAAAACTGTCAATCCCCAAGAGGCACTCCCAAGGATCAAGGTCACAATCATATCAAAGCTCTTCAGCCCAAGATTTTGTGGACATTCCAGCCAGGACACAAGATGATGATTTTTCCCAAGGCGACAATTTTTCGATCTCTCCTGGGCTCAACGGATCATGTCAATTTGATAACATGGGCAACTGGGCCATCAGCGATGCCATGTTAACCTGTGCTGATATTAGCACAGCCAGCGAGGCAACTGATGAGTCATTTGACACTCAATCACTTTCAACCACTGATTATGATATGCAAGAATCCCAAATGTTGACATTCGCCCCGTACACACAGCCCCTCTTTTCAGGATCCGCAGACCACACTACCTTTTCGGATATCAACCCAATTCAGGATGCGACCGCCAGCTGCGAGAGCCCGCAGATGGCATTTAGGAATTCCCATGGGTTCCAAACCGTTTCCGGTGCTATGGGATTTTCTGTCAAGAATGAGTCAGGCCACATTACTAGTGAAAATGGACATGAGAATGAGAAATGCCAGATGGAATTCGACCCAGCTCACCAAGGAATGAAGAACTCCGACTCATTGGCTGTCTCCAGCCCCTGGTGCCAGTCAGCAATGAGTGATGATACCTCCACTGGAAATGTAGTTCATATGTCGAATCTGTACACCCAGATACCAGCTACCCCTCCACTTACTGAGGCCGGTCAAGATATACCCGTTACTTCAGCCTGCTCCCCCTCAAACTTTTCTCCTTACGCCGGACATGATGACTCTCCTTTTGTTGATACTACCTATCTTTCAGGCCAGAACTTCCCAATGAACGGCTTCTATCCTCTCAGCCCACCGCTGAGCGCCAAGGATTATAACAGGTACATTGGTTTTTTCATAACATATCTACGCTTGGGGCTTGAAAAACTAACGAAGTTTGGTATATAAGGACTATCAGACCCTCCAAGCCAGCCAAGAGATCCAGCTTATCTACTGAGGCTACTGGCGACATTTCAGAAGTATCCGATGGAGATATGTTTTCCACGTCAGTCTTAAGCTCCAGGGCCAAAGATGGTGCAGAGACCAGGAACCCAAGGGATCATCCGTTCTATTCCCTTCCGCCAGAGACTGATGGAAAGTACTATTGCCCATTTGCATCCAGGGAAAAGCCTTGCTCTCACACCCCAACCACCCAAAAGTGTGCTTACCAGTAAGTTTTTACCCTCTGCTGCCATCAACTGAGTTATCTGATATTAAGAGCCGGTTTTTAGTAAATATCTGGATTCCCACCTTAAGCCATACAGATGCAAAGTCCCACAATGTGTGGATGCCCATTTCTCTTCCAATGCTTGTCTATTCCGCCATGAAAGGGAGGCCCATGGTATGCATGGCCATGGGGAAAACCCTCATCTCTGCCATTTCCCAGCCTGTGAACGGTCAATCCCTGGAAACGGCTTCCCCCGCCGTTGGAATCTACATGATCATATGAGGCGTGTCCATGACTACACTTCATCTGATAAAGCCAGCTCCCCCGAAGGATCTCCAGTTACCGGAGCTGCCGGAAAGAAGAAAGACTCTGCAATCCGCAAAAGGAAGGGTGGTTCACCAAACAGCCAGACTATGAAGCGAGTTCGCCCGGTTCAATCTCAAACCGCGGCAGCTCTCAAGCTTGCCCAGGCACATAGCGGCCAGCAGCTTCAAAACGCAGAGAGAAGCTATTACGCCTGCCTTGCTCAGCTACAAGAAGAACTCAAGAATATCAATCCACAGGATCCCACCCTCCATGAAAAAGCCAATGCCAGGCTGCAGGAACTCCACACTCTTAGCCTCAACTACCGTTATATCCGAGCTGGCCAGCTTGCTAACGAAAGAGCATCCAAGTCATCCTAAAGTTCAATAAATAGCGCATGAGCTCTCCCATTGCATTCCGGTTTCATTTGTTTTAAAAGTGATTCGTTTTGACCCCCTTCCCCTAGGACTCCACCTTTACTGGACCTTTTCCCGTCTTCCATTTTCTGTTAGAGGTTTTACACCAGCGTTTCCCCTTTTTTTTCCTGTTCCCCCTTTGAAACTATTTTTGGATATTGCTCGGGAAACCCAGACCGGGCTTACGATGATACTTTTTCTGTTCCCACGTTGTTTCAGTCATATTTGCATGTTGCTTCCCAACTCGTCTAACAGCACAGTTTTGCATTGTTTATTGGTTTACTTTGGAATTGGCCCTTTGCATTGGCGGTATTGGAATTCTCAGAAGAGGCGCCCGGCGTGTGTAGTGGGTGGACACCACGCTGTGGACAGACGTTATTGTTACTTAGTTTTGCATTTCACTTTCTTCATCCTTATATTTCTTAGGACAGTATGTCCCTACCCTTGAATTGATCTGGTTACTTCTGCAAAAAAATTTCGTACAAAAAACCGGGCAGGAGAGTCAGTGGGCTGCGGAAGCCAACGGAAGAAAAGCCCTTGGGACATATACTTCAACCTTATTCTCTTTTCTTTTCCTTTCTCTTCGGTTGAATCTATAATTTTTGCCTTCCATTGTTATAGCTCCCTTTATGTTCTTGTTTACACACCCAGAGGACATACATGATTCACGACTACATGTTACGAAATTTTCAACAGCCTGAAATTTATTTGAGATTCAAGATAATTATATGCTTTCATACTATGTTCGTCATTGATCATTAGATCTCACCTAGAATTCGGTCATGCCTTCAAACTCAGCATTTAGAAATCTCACAAACGCTTCGCCGACTTCCTCTTCATTCAGCTTGCCTTGGCCCATGCCATGGCCATGTCCCGCAAACGCCCTGTTCATTCCAACCCACTGCCTTCTTAATCTTTGCAGGCGTGGAAGTGTTAGAACTCCGCCAACACCGGCTAAATCGTCTGTGGGGGCAGAAGCCACAGTCGAAGCGGGTATGTAGACAGATGTCTGTGTAGAAGGAATGGGTATCGTGATGCCGGGGGCCTGTGGGTTTGCTAAATACGTAGACGAAGATGGCGATCGGTTCTCTAAGGAATACTTGCGTATTGTTGATATAATTTCAGATGTAGTTTTTTCAATCACATATAGTGCGGTTGGATCCGTTTTTGGCGGTGCTGCCGTGGCTTGATGAGGGACAATTTTTGGTCGAGTTGACGTAGGCCGTTGAAGGGAAGTTTTCTTAGCAGCAGTGGTGGTGGAAAGCGCGCCGGCTGTAGAATTTGCCTCATCCTGCTCGGCATCAGTTTGAGTAAATAAACCAGAAGGGCCAATTTTGGTTTCGTCTTTCGTAATCTGTTGCCCTGTTATAGCGAACCATATGTCTTCCACGGGTGGGGTTGTATCATCCCGGGGTACAGTAAAAAGGGGTTTATCCCAACGACTCGCTGTTGAGGGTTCCTCGTAACGATATATGAGGTTTGTTAATAGTTCTGGTGGGTACGGTTCCTCGTCAGTCTCTATCTCAGTGTTCTTTGGCGCGGGATCATCCCCAGATTCGGTCTTTTTTTTCTCGTCAGGCTCGACAGACACTGGTTCGGGCTGCTCGGTACAAGTTTTAGACATTTCTCGCTTTCGTTTAAGCCGTGCCTCGTTTGTAGATATACACTGGTCCATTGGTGTCCCTACATGGACCTGTTCAACACGGAAAGGTTAGCAGCTCCGAGGATAAAATCACAAGAAGTCTCTCCACTGTGCGTAAATAAAATCCATACCACACAACTTGTTGTCCTGGCCTCTTTACTCTCACACCAAAGTTGATACCGCCAGCCCTTAATATAATTCATTCCGTCCACAATAACAATGCTATCTCTGCCAAGCAACCTCTTCACGCGGGCGTATACCACAGCTCTCGCCTGCTTTTCTGACTTGGCATTATCATATACAGTGCGCGGGTGGGCTTCATCATGAGAGGTGACGATATGAATTTTATATCGGGACTTGGAGGTAGCAGGGAGGGATGACTGCAGGGCTTCGAAGAGCGTAGCCAGCTGACGCGCACGATAGGTCAGTCCCGAGCAAGGATAGCCAGTTAAAAGAATTAGCTATGTAAATGTTAGAATGGGTGTGAAGAGTGTAGGGTGTCTGGGGTCTGGTACAGGCATAGCGATCAGCGCATCGATTCAATTGCCAATACCCTCACACTCGGCTCGGCTATCCTGCAACAGAAATTATCTATTTTATCACAGGATTTAGATAAATTATATTGGTAGAATATGGCATTGCCTGCGGATTATGCTTGTTGTTTCAATAAGAGAGAGATAGTAGGAGAGAGATTCGACGGATGGTTTTATTCGACTTCAATATTTTAAGTTTACGTTATCGTTCAAACTAACTGCTTAGTCATCATCGGCCTCCGCCATCACGACAAAAAACACCGAATGGTGAGAATTCTGAGCTGCCTGATGCGCTCCGGTCATCGATAGACCACCATCTGCCATCCAGAACCACCCGGAGACCCAGACCACTGGGTAAGAAGGGGACACCCGAAAGCTGCATTACCTTTCCCGCATGCCGATATCGATGCTTACAGCAGGGAAGCAGAGTATGACAGCCCACGGTTGTCTCGATTCTTCAGCCATTGAGAGATGCTACCACGGCGTCCCTGAACGGCCGTGGGTTCCGGATGATCTCCTCTGTCATGTTAATAGCCTGGTCCTTGGCCCAGCCATGCACCTTCTCGAAGTTAGTGCAAGCATGAGTTGCACTAAAGTCAGCCTCTACTTCGACAACAGGGCTCTTCTGACTGAAGGTAATGAGCGTGGGGTCGGCTGAACATGACAGAGCCTGGCGGATCATGTCAATGCAGTGGTCTATACGAGCGTGGTTAGTTAGATGAAGAGACACCAAGGTAGTCTAACTTACCGGCATGATCGATTCCAGAGACAGTTGCATGGCTATCGTCGATGCGGTAATGCTCCCTGTGCACATATCGGCGCACATAGTCCTATACCCCCTATCATCAGCCTGGGAGTCTCCAGTAAAACCAGAATACACATACCAAACAGTGGAGCTGATGAAATACCGCCAATTTAGCCAAGTGCTTGCCGGGGCGTGACGGCAACTCCATACTCTCCTTCCCGATAGCTTCAAGCTCTTTCTTATCGACCAGAAGCGGGCCGACTATGTTATGAACAGTTAGGATATTGCTTTCTCCCATCAGGTTTTGCATTATCTGAGCGGTAACTTACCATCGTAGAGAGCTTTCCAGGCCTCATCTAACGCCTTGCTTGGGGGCCCTTTGTACGGGTTTATCGTTTGGATGTCTCCATCAAAACGGACTGCCCGATACTCCTGCATAGCCCGAGCAGGCGCTAAAAGTCATTGTTGATCAGCTGAAGTTACGCGGATATGAGAATATCAGTACACAGTGGTCTTAGACAACTTACAATAGACAATGTCGGGGTATCGACTCTTGCACTCATGGTGCGGCCATGATCCGACAATCATCCCAGCCAAAAATGCAAGTCCCAACAGGAATAGAAACCGCCAGAAGGATATACCGTCGCTCTCTTTCGTAGGGCGATGGATTCCCTCTGGCCTCACTTCACTTTGAGCTCTCTCTGCGGCATCGATCGAAGGTGCAAAAGTAGCACCTTCTCTAGCTGGAGCGGACACTGTCTGGGCACAGGAGCTAGCCGGAGATGCACTTCGAGAGGCCATAACGGTATTTTCGTCATTTAAAGGGGTATTGATACCGGTTAAGGAGTCACTTCCTGACGAGCTGCACTGGTCGGACCCAACAACTGTGTCTTCTAGACTGGAGCTCAAGGATGGGGGTGCCGCCCTAGAAGTCTCCATTGTATGTGATATACCACCCACTGGCTCCTCATTAGCAACTGGGTGATACTGACACATCTTCTCTTGGTATATCCTTTTTAGGCGCGTTATAGTGTGCTGTATCGATGAAAATAGGCCATACGGCGGTATACCTCTGTGCACACGCTTCGAATAAGTGAGAGCGAAATGAAATAACTTGCAAGGAAAGCCAGAAGAAATCTATTCACTTTCCTCTTCTTATTATTTGCCTCAGTTCGGATGAGTCGGTGACGACTACGATGAATATACCACGACGAATACCGCCCCAAGTCTATGACGTTAGTATGCCTTCCAGCCGCCCGGTCTTTCCTAAGGTCTCCTGTCACCGATGCGGCTACCAAATGCGTCACTGACTTACGATTTTTACGTTCGCCTCCTGCATCCCATGGGTTGGCTTTTTCACACAAGTAGCGGTCGAGCCTTGGGACTGCTGAGGCTGGCCCAAGATATCCATTACGCCTCCTTCACTTCGCTGCGGTATGTGGCCTGAAGTCGATAACGTAAAAGCTTTGACGCCAATCTTCAATTCGTTAGCGTATACGCGTTCTGATTCCCAAACTTTCTACAGCCAAGCTTTCCGTGAAATGCTTGTTCTTTCCCCTTAACTTTCTCCCATAGTTGATGACGGTATACGTACCGAGTCCCAGTTGATGACCACTTCTAACATCTAGTCAATGACATCATCACAGCTCCTACTCTCGTTGGTTTTGCATCCTTACCAAGCTGACAGTAAGGCTGCCTGATAGGATATACGCCGGAAGGTCTCTTTTCTAGAGGTCCGGTGTCTCCCTGTTAGGATGTACGCGGAAGATCTACAGAAATAGTTATATTTCTTAAGGAATAGGGGGAGTAAGGGCGACCCCTCTTACATGGAGTGTTTGAAAGGCGTTTAAATTAGGGCACTTCAAGGTGTTCATCTTTCTACGAAGTGCAATATTCTCTCCTACTGTCATGAAGGCGACATGTCGCATTGCAGTCTATGACGGCACACCAGCTCCAGCCAGACCTGATATTACCCTTTTGCCCATGGTGGCGTGGTCACTCTCCTGCCTTCCGTATGCTGTGACCCTGCTATGAAGACGCCATACCGCCTTCCCGTCTATGACCGGATACCAAATGGACATCACCCTCATGATGGCGTGCTCTCTTCGTCCTCGAACTGCGTGGCCATCTTATGTCAAAACTCTCCTTCAAAAAGGTATAAATATCTCGTCCTCAACCTCTTCACCTTCGAATTTTTTTCTTTCCTTTCCCATCACTGCTTTTCCCGTCACAGTCACAGTTCCTCACCAGTCTTATCATCCACTCTCCTATACACCCCAACCACCAACATCACTTGTAAGTCACCTCGCCCTTAGCTACAATGACTTGTAGTTAATAACACAACATAGGCCGGACCAACCATGCCGGCAATTAGCAAGATTACCGTCGCTGCTATCGCAGGGCTTGCCCTGCTGCAGCCAGCCACTGGCATGCCAGTGAAGACTGCGAGGCGTGGTAAGTAGGAACATAGCAACTCTTCTCATGTTCAATTTCTTATGCTAACTCAACCTCAGGAGAGCCTCAGCCAAAGACTCTTCACGTCGAGTGCTTGGCTGGAGAATGTTCGGAGGAGGATCTCGCGGCGCTTCGAGCTGCCGCCCAGATGGTGAAGGACGATCCATCTGGTAAGGGATGGAAAATCTCTTCCAAGATCGAGCCTGCCAAAGGTGGCAAGGCTCGCCGTGACGAAGGCCTTTCTGAGGCCGACGTTAACACCATCCTCGAGGGGATGGACCATGCCGATCAGGACAGCGTCGCCAGATGCGCCGCTGGCACCTGCTCGGAGGCCGAACTTCAGCTCCTCAAGCAGGAGCTTAACGTGGCCACCATCCCAAACTGGCTCTGGCCGATCATCGGCCGCGTCCGTAAACTCAAGTTTACGTACGGTATTGAGATTGGGACTGACCCTGAGCCAGCTCCAAAGCCGGAGCCCACGAAGGCTCCACCAACTTCCTCTCCGGCCCCCAAGAAGCCGGAGCCGACCAAGGAGCCAAAGCCAGAGCCGACTCACACGGTCTGGTAAAAAAAAAAAAAAAAAAGTTCTGTATAGCTGCTAAGATTGAAGGCCTTGCTGTTTGACTTCGATGCATATGTAAATAAATTCAACAATGAAATAATTTTTCTTCTTTAAACTTGAACATTCCATACATTCCATAGTAGGCGGCTAGAGCAGCCAATCCGTTGGCGTGTCAGTAATCATCCACGGTTGTCAAAGTAGGTAAGTGGTATACTGAGTAACTTTGGAAGGCGAAGTCATCTTGGCCACCAACTACAAACACAAAAACAGCCTTGAAGCAAAGGTGGAACAAACCAGACAAAACACAAGACAGCCTTGCATTTCTCTAGAATCTTGTTTGAAGGATTAGTGGATACTTCCTCCCTGACTCTTGCTCACTTGCACGATGAACTGGACTGGAGGTCGTCTCCATCGATCTTCATACAAGACGAAGTCATCATCTAAAAACGTTGGGAGACAACGTGTTGCTCAAGCTAAAATACGAATGGTAGATAGGCCGCGAGATATTCTGTCATTCAAGGCTGCTACTGGAGCAACGGATAAGGAAGGCTGCTATGATGGACAAGCTGGCACCACCCAAGCAGTTGACGACCTTGGAGCAAGCTTTCAGAAAACAAAACAGCCAGCATATTCAAATACTGAAGATCTCCAATCAAAAAACCATTGTCACTCTCAGATAACCAAGTCGAATTTGATAGATTCCCCTGCGGTTAGAATTGAAGAGATGAGAAAGAAGCTACTTGATAAAAAAGACTGGGCAGGTCTTAGCCTATCACGATCACATAGGTCACATACACCATGTGGCCAAGATAAAGGGACACTTGGAAGAAGGGAGTCGTTGTCTTATGAAAGATGCCCCAGCCGGTATTTCCCTCACCGAGGACCCCCTTCTCTCCCGATTAAACGCCGAAATATTGCACAACCACACTTATACCCTGAAAATCATCTAAGTTCTGATGATATTAGTGTATGGATTGAGCAACAACAAGAAGAGCCTCAGTATGAGGCTCTCTACAATGAAATGTACATGGAAGCCCAGGAATCAGTGGGGCCGATATTGTCTAATAACAATAAAAGCAGAGATAGGTCTATTAGATCTACAAAGCGCAATGCGCGCTCTCTATGTCAGTCAGGCATGAAGACACCGCGGTATGCTGCTTGTAGTAATCGTGTCGACCACGAGCAATACCAATTACAATTGAGTAAACGGCTAGATACCTCACCAAGCTCTGATCTATCAAACCTTCCCGTTCTAGATCGCCGTGGCTCGTTTGCTACAATCGATGGCCAGACAAGATATGTGCCACCGTCGTCTTATAAACCCAGCAGTTTGAGTTCTCCAGAAGAAGATAGTAGGATGAAGTCACCAAAGAATGCAGATGAATACTGGTCTCGGAGAAGAGCCATGTTATACCATAGTCAGGGATACCAAGCGCAAGATATATCTCCGCGAAACTCTAAGTGGAGGGAAGTAGCAGGCAACCTGAACGGATGCTCTTTAGAATATTCGTGGGGTGACAACACTGCCATGATACGGCAGAGAGAGGTAACTGGCGGTGTGAAACAATCTAAAATAGGAGGATTTTCAACATCCTGTTCTGACGAAGCCACTTTTTGGCGTAACACTATCCCATCGCCCTTTAGAAGTGATCCCAGTTACCGCTCTTATCACCCAATATCCTCCCCACAGTCGAACAAAAAGCAACATTCCGTTAACCGATGTGAGTATCAACGGTACCGTCATTTGACTAGGCCGGTATATAATTCAATTCTTTATGGTAGCCCTCAACCGAGGACGCATTTTGCTAGGTCATCATCGAAAGCAATCTCTTATCAACGCGCTAATTCTTCAACTCCCACGCCAGCTGTTCAAAACCATAGGGTTTTTGTATTCGGCCAGGAATTTGATATATCGAAGGAATGTTCTTTATAATGGCAACTGTAGGGGGAAGGACTCCTTGGATCTATTGTTGACCCTATCTTCGGTGACCGGGAGCATACAAGTCCCGTATGTGAGATACGTGGCCTTGTCAACCTACAGTCTCACCAACCAGATACGGCAATTGTCTGTTCCCAACGTTCTGGGAGGATCCTATCTGGGAGTTTTATTCGAGAGTTACCGTCGCAGAGGATATAAAGTGCCTCTTGTGAGGGGAATGCGAAGGCATGGCGGTATCAAAATGTAAGTATTGATAATGTACTGGAAATTCTTGAATAGTTTCCTGAATCTTGTAGAGCTGCATTTACTCGTAAAGTACTTGGGCTAACATAGCTGGTTTCAATGGCTGACTGATTTTGCAGTGCTGGGTAGCTTACAGCTGCCTAGATAGACGTGTATCGGCTCCGCAATTTCGGCATCAAGCGCCGACGGCCCGGCTGTGGACCGGATCCCTGCCCGGAGCTCACTCAGATGGATGAGGTAGGTACTGGAGGTAGCCTGGGGCTTAGTAACTCGTTAGTTAAGGTTCCAGCCTTACGATCATAACAACGCTGAAGGTGGGCAAACAGCCTCGAAAGATCTTCGATATCATGGTTGTTTAAGAAAAGTTCCAACACTACGGCTGAACCGATGAGCGGCATGATTATATCTGTTGTTTCCTCCCTCTCCATCCTCGCCTCCGTCGTCCTCTCATCCCCTGCTCGGCCTGCCACCGGCACCTTACCTCTTGTGATATGGCATGGCCTGGGAGACAGCTATGCAAATGACGGGATGAAAAGTATCGCGCGACTTGCAGAAACAACAAACCCAGGCACGCACGTCCACCTCATTCGATTCGGCGCGACTGGGACCGAGGACCGAGATGCCACATTTTTTGGCAACGTTACTGCCCAGGTCGACGAGGTTTGCCAGACGCTGGCATCGGATCCCGTAATAAGCAACGCGCCAGGTATAAATGCGCTTGGTTTCTCGCAAGGCGGTCAGTTCCTGAGAGCATACACCCAGCGTTGCAACAAACCTCCGGTCCACAACTTGGTCACGTTTGGCAGCCAGCATAATGGGATCGCGAGCTTTACAGCATGCAAGGATTCTGGTGACTGGCTATGCTGGAGTTTCAATGCCCTACTGCGATTCGGAACATGGTCTAGCATTGCTCAGTCTGGGCTGGTTCCAGCGCAGTATTTCAGAGATCCAGAGGAGCTGGAAAACTACCTGAAGTACAGCAATTTTCTCGCTGATATCAACAATGAGAGGGCAGTAAAGAATACGAAGTACAGGGAGAATCTGATGAAATTGAACAAGTTTGTGATGTACATGTTCAAGGATGACACTACTGTTATCCCGAAAGAGAGCGCTTTTTTCACAGAGGTTAACGCCACGTCAGGAGAACATACGAAGCTGCAAGATCGGCCAATGTATAAAGAGGACTGGCTTGGGCTGAAGGTATTGGATGAGCAGTCTCGCTTAGAGTTCCTAACGATACCTGGCCGCCATATGCAATTGAGTGAGGCTCTGTTGGTGCAGAGCTTCCACCGTTACTTTGGTCCTGTAGAGAAGTCAGTGGCAAAATATGCCGGAACCCCAGATTTCAGAGTCCAGGAATAGTTAATATAGCTTTCAGAACAAGTCTAATTAATAATCATCGTTGCGAATATATGGCTTTGTTATCAATCAGTTCATACAGATAGAATTCAACCAGACGAATCCTGCGGTCTCAAGCCTTTCGGCTTCGTTAAAGAAGTCAAAGATCTTTCTCGGCTTTTCGGCATCTTGACAAATTAGCCAAGGGGCGACGGTGCTGAACTGAATACGATGATAATTCTAACGGATACCATTGAGTCAGAGCATCAAACTAAGCAAATTCCTAAAAAATGCTATCATCAGCCAACACAGCATTTGAAAAATAAAAGCGACTACTATCGTCAAGGCAAAAAGAAAGGCAGCCTGAAATTATAAGTCAAGAACAACAAGAAACACTCTCATTATGCCGGATACAACTGTCACAACCCCAAAGACATGGGTTCGCCCCACTAGACACGGGGAGCAGAAAGAATTCCTGGTCTCCATGGACAAATCACTGCTTTCAATTACGATGATGAACGAAGAGTTCGAAAAAGACTATATATACTGGGCCAAATCTATGCCCGAGGAAGAACTACAGACGGCTATCGACTCCTCGCTTTGTTTCGGTTTATTCGAGCGAATCCACGATGCTACGGCAGATAGCGGGAATCATGAAGCATCCAAAATAGCGCTTCCAGAACAATCTTCCCCTCTGAAGCAGATCGGTTTCGCCCGCTTGGTCACAGACAATGTAACATTCTTCTACCTTTCCGATGTGTTCGTCATGCCCGAGTACCAAGGAAAAGGACTGGGTTCATTTTTAGTCCAGTGTATCAAGGAGGTGCTGGACGGCATGAAACACTTGCGACGATTCATTTTGATGACTGGTGACAAGAATACGGGAAAGTACTATGAGAGACTGATGGACGTTAAAGTGCTGGGCGAGATTGGGAATGCATATATCCTGGGCCGCAAGGGGCCGGGGAGCTGTGTATAGGCAACAGATGTACTCTGTATGTTGATGTCGGTTTGTTATGCATTGAATTGAAGTTGATAGAGAGCTAGGCAGTTATGCATCTCAATAATAGTGACTTAATCAATATTCGTGCAGAGATTTCGCGCGTATCCTCAAACGCTCCTAGCCGATACCCGTTCAAATTGCCACGGCAGTACAGAGTATCAGGCATATATGTCCAGTGCCATCTGCCACTGCTCCGTAAAAGCCCAAAAGACAACTGATAGATTCTTTGGCTTCAAGTGAATTCGCTGCGAGTTTTTCTTCGGTTGAAAAAGAGAATGAGGATAGGAGAATTACGTAAGTCAATCCATATTTGTCATGTGACGGATTTTATGGTCCGTGCGTCAGGGAAGGATCAACTATAATGCGCACCAATGGGAATGAGAGAATTTAGTTATGTCAGCGTCGGGTGTTACTAATACCTGACCTGCGCCAAAAGTAGAAAATGGCAACTTCAACTCTTCACAACGCTGAATTATGGCGTTGTTTTCAGCTACGATCAATTGCGATTAACTACTTTGACTTGCCGTCGAAGGACCCTAAGATTGGATGAATTTGTGATGAATTCCCCTAAGGAGCCATCATCCGCACTCAACTTGCCAATGAGAGGTTCCAGGGGGTGTAAATGACAAAAACGGGATATTGCAGGCTGGCTCCAATATCTCAGCCATTGCAAAATGCAACCAACCAAAGAGCGGTATATATCAAGGTATCTGAGTGATAGTAAAGGTCCGAGACAGCGGTAGATCTTGATATGTCTAAGTATGGCTATCTTAGTGACCTATGGAACGCTTGATATTCCCTAGGGGGTTTGGCCGTATGCAATTGCCACTGCACATGGAAGTTTCCGTCCGGGTAGCTGCTTAGTTCTAGTAGAGCCCTTTTTTCTGTATGTTTTGATTTCTTTCCTACACTTTCTCCCCTCCCACACAAAAATTCAAACAAAGTATTTCTCGCGAAGGACGCGAGCAGCTAAGCCCAACTCAAGCATCCTTCAATATTCTTAACGTCTGCCCTGCAATTTGATGGTCATGAAGCAGCATTACCCCCCTTCTACCTGCTCTAAGCTTGAGTACGTGACTAATCATATAGTGCTCCCGCCTCGCCTGCCAGGAAAGGAGGAAGTCTGCGAGGATGATGTCCGATGCGAGCTTCTAGAATTTCTTCAGACCGCGTCTATTACCCTCAAAGCAGATTCCGATACAGAGATCAGTACCGTTGGACGTTCTATTCTCAATGTTCTCGAGATTTGCAAAGCCACCAATCTGCGTGGAAAATTGGACAAATCCACGCTCCTGCATCAGTTCCAAACAATCCAGCCAAATATTCCTATAATTCTTCACGTGAAAGAGCAAAATGCTGGGCTACTTATATGGAAGAATGAACGGTAAGCTTTCGCTTCTCCTCCAATTGGTGGTTGTTCAGACTGTTTATATCCGATTCTGCTATTACAGGGATGGCGAGGAGACAGTCACCTTTGAAGCTTTTGAGGCGTCACCCGTGTCTGAAAAAGTACTCTCTGCGGAAGGCCCACTCCAATGGGATTTCCCAGGCGAAACTGTTGTTATTCCCAATACCATGTTCACCCAACCCTCATTCCAGGAGTCGTTGTCCAATTTCCTAGAAAGTGCGAGCACAGAATCAATAAAGAGATTCGCTGCCGGTGTTTTGAAAGGTGGCTCAGTCGCATTCGAGAACCGTGATACTACAGATCCTGCTTTAATCACGCAGATGCTAATGACTTTGCTGGAAGCAAATGGATCTCGAGCATTCCCTCCACTACTAAGGAAACGTGTCCGTGATGAAGTTTCGTGGGCTCCCGGAGGTGGCAAACCATGGAGGAGACTACCATTTTGGCTGGTTCTCAGAGTGGGAATTGAACGACATCTCTATATGCAATTTGGTGCCACGAAAGGACGAGCATACTATAAGTTCCTTCTTTGCCTCATGTTCTCGGCCATTCTAGGTTCTGGAACCGACTCACTCTCGCCAGACCGAATTTCACTGCTTACCGCCAAGCTAGCAAGACGTTTAGCAAAACTGGAGGTCGATCGTGAGAAAGCGCTCCATAACGACAGAGTGACATATAATCGATTGTTTGACAGATTTGAGCTTTTCTTCCAGACCTCTATCAGTAACGCTAGAAACCATGTCGCTGATATCTGGAATACATTCAAAAGAAGCATTCAACGCAAGATTCCACGGCTTCCACTCCATGCAGATGAAAATTCGCAATATCTTTCTCTAACAAATAGCCAGAAAGAGATTGAAAATGTGTTGTCGCAATACAGAATAGATCGCTCATGGACTTCAAATAACCCATCGGTAAAAGACTTCACTCCTAAACGTTCGAACGCTTTCAAAAAGTTTGCCAACAATTATAATTCCCTTTCAGAACGAGAGAGAGTATCTGATGAAGCCTTAAAATTTCCGGACAACTCCGCAGAAGAAACCTGCATTGAGCTGGCAGTCATGATCTGGAACTATTATAACGAGGCTAAACCGGCATATAACGGCAATCCTGAGCAGAAGAGCATCATGATATTACATATGATGGTACTATGGGTGGAACTTGATAAATTTGCCACCAAACTTTACCCTTTGCTGCTCGATTATCACCCTGGGATTTCATCGGGCCTTCTTGATGTGCTGCAGTTATCAAGCCTTAAAGATTCAATTCGTCTGAATGCTGTGCAGGAGTACATAGAGACCCGATGTACGCGGAGCCTGTCTCGAAGGACAATTTTTGATGATCCAACCGCAGGATGTTTTGCCGAAAGATATTTTGATTTATCAGAAGATTCCTTGAGGCTTCAAAACCTCCGCTCAAAGATTGAATCCCAAGCGCAAAATAATTATGACAGAAAAGTACAGGAGTGGCAACAAAAAAGTGAGATATTCGAGGCTCTGCAGAAGAAAATTGCACTATCATCCTGCACATATATTAACAATCGGCATGGAGGGGTAGACCATGACAAAAATTGTGAAAAGTGCGACAACCAACATCGTGCCAACCGCATGACTATCCAAATCCATGAACACCCGCTTCCAGAAAATCCAGTCCATGCTAAGGCGGTGCTGTTTGAGCTACAGTGTCCAGAGCCATTCAAGTCCTATCGTAACGCAACCTGGCTGCTATTTGGTATCGTGGCATGCCCTCACGAACAACCCCCAGCGTATCCAAGGTTATTGGTATCAGAGTATCGGGAGCTTAGTAAATTTGTTACTGGAAGCTCAGTGGGAATTGTGCTAGCATCGACCACAAAATCTTTGCTATCTACCCATTACAGAGGAGTTTACTTCCCAGTAAGGCTGGAAGACATATGCTTCGACAATAATCTAAGGGTTAGATACTATGACACCACCAATAACATCTTTCCTAACAGGCAAAGCCATGTTTCAAGCTTTTCCCACCATCTTCAGATGCCCAACCTGACGAACTCACCATTCTCATCCATAACACCTCCAGGCAGTTTGTCTGGCTCCTCGTCCTATGAGATTTTAGCCAGTCAGTCTTCCTGTCCGCCGGGACTGAATGCCCACGAATTCATGGCGTACAAGTCTCTGTTCTCTGGCGTGGTCAGACGTTGGCCTACAATCCTTATTGAACTTGGTTCCTCAAACTTGAACTTCAGCACTAAAGGCCCTTGTACGTTGATTTGTCAACTTGCAATACAGGCAGGGCCGAGAGATACGAATGATATCTTTCGAGTGGTACACAAGATCTTCCGTGATGAGACTTTCTGTAACCGACTAATCAAATTACTCGAAGAAAGACTAATTGGGATTGCATTAAACTGGCGCGAGACCGATTGCATGGAGATGTTGATCACGTTGATACTTCGGCTATGTGCCTTATCTCCACTGAGAATCCTTGACAAGGCAATCACCTTACTGAAAAAGATTCAAGAAACCCTTTGAAATGGATCCGGCTGTGCGTAAGGAAATTGTGCTGCTCGTGAGCCAGGCATGATTGAAAACTATTCCGACTTTGCTTTCACCGTTGCCTTATTACTGAGGAGAACATTTGCGGTCTACCCTGAGAATATTCCTGGATACACGGGAGACATGGCTGAAAATGACATCCGATGCTTTATAGAGGCTTCTATCTCACTTCAAGACAACGTTCCCCCTGACTTGAAATCGCTATCACATTTTCAGTGGCGTGCGCTTGTTCGAGATTTGAAAATGGTATACAGAATGCGTCCATTACTATTACAATCTCTCAAAAATCACCCTGGAAGTCTAGGTGCTGTATTGACAGATATTTGGGCACAAAACACACTTTTTCTGGGGCAAATGTCCAACCTTCAGCTTCTAGGCGGCGACGAATGGGCCCAACTCGTGATAAACCCGACGAATCAGACCAAAAGACAAGTTGTGCATTTTCATTTCCTTGAAGGACATTTACTTGTCGACGGCGAACCATTAGCAACACTCCCCGCAAACTACAGAAACGCCGTGATCCTCGACCGTCTGTTTGGAAACCAAAGGCTTCAGGTCTACCCTTCATCGCTCCATGGAATGTCATACGTCCTTCCATTTGAAGTTAAGAAGCAAAGAATCCATATTGGCTTCCGTGATGGTAAACCCTTTGTTCGAGCTGAGAGTAGGCGCACGCTTTACGAATTCCTCCCTTATGAAATATTCGGGGACAGGAGAAGCTTTGACCTCCCTGGCTCCTTGGTTGAAAATTGCATTCACTGGCTTGATCTAAATTCTGGGACTATCAAAATCAGGAGAAAACCCGATATATGGTACGATAAGGACAGTTACTGGGAAGTCGACTTCTACAAACGGAAAGCTCGTCGCCGCACAGTCACTCTAATTGATCCCCATAGCCAGTTATTCCGTCTTATTGCCAACGTGTTTGATGGATTTGAGCACCCCGGATACATCACCATATATCAGCCTGCATCGAAAAACTTATCCGTGGAGTTACGCCGCTTGGAACTCGACTTCATCGTTACTAAAAGCGGGCTACTTAGATGCAAGCAGCTAAATGCGTTAATCGACATGAATCAAGATGCAGGCACATGGTATGGGTTGAAAAGCAAGCTTGTGCTACGCGACGTGATTGATAATGAACAGCGCAGCATCATTGTCCCCATGGGCCCTCTGCAATGTACGAAAAACGGGATCCACGTTAGTATCTTTGCTGAAAACCTTGGAACTTATGGCCGGTTCTTCATAAATACATCCCTTGGAAGACTAGATTGCCCAGTCGAACCATGGACGTTATATGCCAAAGCTCAGTTTCATGCATATACCTCTTTTGTTTTACCGGATGAGCTGACGGGGCGTACTGGAACAGAAGAAGCGGTTCACTGTCTAAAGTCAGGCTACAGCCAGCCGTGGACTACGTTGAACCCCGGCCCGCTTGGGACTCTTCAAACTATTGCACTTCTGGCCCCAGGCAGGGTTTATTATCCTCCTGGTTCCAAGACTGTTCAGCACACAACATGGAATGAGAATCTAACACCATGGATTCAACACGAAATATTTTCATCTCTGGTTGAGAAGATTCTTGAAACAGAAAGAACGTTAAGGCAATTCGGTAACAAAGACATCGATCAACCGGAAGTTCGGCCTGCCAGTGATGATTTTTTGATGATTCGGGCATATAGGAGGGGGAATACCTACCAGCGGCCGAACGCTGGCTTTGACGATCTACCAGTTGTGAAAGATGAAATTTACAAACCGAGAGATCGATTCCAGGGAAGTCGAAGTCGTTCTAATGTTTTCGAAATAAGCAGTTTGGTGAAAAACTGGTCAACAAACACAGGGCCTCATGCTGATTTAATCCGAAGGATGGAATCCTGGCCTACAATTGGAGGTTATAGTACAGTTTTCGACAAGGTACTCCTCAGCGATATGCTTGACATTCAGTTTGACGAGTCATGGGGCTCCATCGTCAATTTTTGCCGTGATTCGGAGGAGAAAAATAAATACCATCTCATGATGACGATGGCTCTTATGTCGTTTTCCAACTCCGCCGACATGGAAATCATACGCACTTTGCTACTTTTCGCCACTATTCCAAGCCTAAAGTCCCTGACACCGCCAAATTGGATTCATTATAAACATTTTTGTTATAATCAACAACCTAGTGTGGTGTACCTGAGAAGACTGATTAATAATTGCTGTGCTCCATACGCTGGGGACGAGCGGGGATTTTTACCGCTTAACGTCAAGACTAGAAAGAGATTTGAAGCTGCTGAAAAAGAGCACGAGAAACGAGTTGAAGCGAATGCAATCGCATTTTCAGAGTATATCTTTGCTCAATGGCCTTGCCTTGAGCCAAGAATCCAGGGAATGCCCGATTTTCCGCTTTTAAATGTCCAGCTAGCCTTAAAGATCATTCTCCCTGATTGGTCTCGGCTATTCCAGAATTCAGAACTTTCTAACTATCTTGCCAAAGTTCAAGCCACTTTGGTTTCTGGTAACTTTGGAAAGTTTGAGCAATTTGACTGTTGTATAAAATCCACGAGTACTGAAATATTTCCCACCGGGTTTCGAGGACAGGATATCCCCACACTTACGGGTAATCTGCTACGCAAAGCTTGCACGCTTTATACCCATGAATCCCATCCTACAAAAAATGCCATTACTACCTACAAGGCCTCCCGGGAGGAGGGAATCAGACGTGTTTTTACCGGCTCTGACAATCCAACAAGTCTTCCATCACAAAGCTCAGGCTTTACACACATTCTCGATCTGGAGGAAATAATTGGGAAAATCAAAGATTCTCCCTCATTGGTTAGACAGCAATACGGGCATGACCTGATGACCAGCCTTGAGGCATTGAGAAGTGTAAAAAGCGCTAATGATATACCAATTGGTGAAGAGTTTGATGAATCCACAATTTATACAAATATTGGGTCAGCAACACAAAAGGTTGAATCCCATGCCGAACACCTCAGGTCGGCCCTCAATAAAAATGATTTGCGCTTCCGCTGGCTACATCCCGCAGGTCTATGGCCTTGCATGACAATGGTTAGCCTCCTTGAGCCCCTTCGTTCCACCTTCAAAGGAGAATTTGGAGCTGGGATGAAAGAAAGCCTTATCGCACTAGCAGTCGAAATTATTCACAGACAACGCTTTCTTAGAATTAAGGATGCATACTTGCGAAGAAAGTATAAGGTACTTGGAGAGGAAAAAAATTGTATTCCTCATTCCAACTGGGATCCTTCACTTCATCCAGATTGGCTGCTATTTCAAATTGATGCCGATATTTGTATCAGGCCTAACCAAGTTGAGGTTGCACATGCAACAATTGCTCCATCTTCGCACGCAAATTCTGTTTTGCAGATGAACATGGGTCAAGGTAAGAACTCCCGCGTCGGGATAGAACAGCTTCGGCTCTTAATTCTTGAGGAATAATTCTCCTGTAGCGAAAGCACGTAGCGTGGCAGGCTATTGGATTATTTACTGATAGTTTGGAATCTAGGAAAAACTTCTTGTATCATCCCTATGGTAGCTGCTGTTTTATCGGATACCACGAAACTCCTACGGGTAGTAGTACCTAAAGCATTGCTGCTTCAAACTTCACAGGTACTTCAGGGGAAACTCGGGGGGCTGGTAGGACGGGAAATAAGACATATACCATTCTCCCGCAGAACACCAACAAGTACAGATATGATCTATAGTTATCTCAAACTTCACAAAGATATCATGTCATCTGCCGGTGTTATTGTGGCTCTCCCGGAGCACATGATGTCCTTTCAACTTAGTGGTCTCCAGACATTGGTTGACAACAAGTTGCCCGAAGCAAGGCGAATGATCAAAATTCATGATTGGATGCAGACAGTTTGCCGTGATGTTTTGGACGAATGTGATTATACACTTGCTCCTCGGACACAACTCATTTACCCTAGCGGCACGCAGTGCACAGTTGATGGCCACCCTCATAGATGGCAAACTGCAGAGAAACTACTAGAACTCGTCTCGGGTCACATTTGGGGACTTTGGCAAAGATACCCTGGAAGTATCGAGGTGATTCAACGCCCTAAAGGCGGCTTCCCAATCGTTTACTTCCTACGCAAAGATGCAGAGGAAGCTTTGTTATCCTATTTAGTTAGGGACATCATCGACGGTCGAACTTCTGTAATCCCCGTCCAAGGTTGTTGCCGTTCCGAAATTATGGACATCAAAACCTTCATTTCAGAAGTGTCGATATCCCCTAAGACTGTTAAGCGAGTATCATCTTTATTCCCTGATAACTCAGCTGCAAGACAAAATATCTATCTGTTGCGTGGGCTTCTAGTTCATCGCATATTACTATTAACCCTCAAGAAGCGTTGGAATGTTCAGTACGGCCTTCACCCCTTGCGAGATCCTATCGCAGTCCCGTTTATTGCAAAGGGTGTTCCATCTGAACAAGCTGAATGGGGACATCCTGACGTCGCTATACTCTTTACTTGTTTGGCATTCTATCTTAGTGGCTTGGAGCTTTCGCAAATGAGGCAGTGCCTTGATGATCTAATGAAATCTAGTGACCCGTCGACCGTATATGAACAATGGATTACCAATTCGGAGACACTCCCTAAAATTTTTCAAGATTGGAACTCAATAAACACGGAGGATGAATCCCAAGTCTATCAACTTTGGGTCCACCTTCGCTACCAAATGCCCGTCATCAACTATTTCCTAAACCAGTTTGTGTTTCCAAAACATGCAAAGCAATTCAAAGTGAAACTGCAGGCTTCAGGATGGGATATTCCATTGTCATCACCTCACGCAAATCTTGGAACAATTACAACAGGGTTTAGTGGGACGAATGACAACCGTACCATTCTTCCATTGACAATCAAACAACAAGACCTTAGCTCACTAGCACACACAAATGCTGAAGTCCTAACTTTTGTTCTTCGGGCCCGTAACTACGTTGTTGCTAAATATGCTGAGGGGAAGCGTTTGACAGAAAAGGGGCTCCTCGCTCTTTTGAAGCGTATGGAGATACGCATATTGATTGATGCAGGTGCCCAAATACTGGAGATGGATAATTTGAGCCTAGCAAAAGAGTGGCTAAAAGTGGACCCTAGCGCCCCGGCAGCGATGTATTTCAACTCTGAGAACAAGCCTTATATTATATATCGCAACGGCTATCGGATTCCTCTTCTAGCTTCACCTTATGCAGAGAACCTGGCGGACTGCCTTGTGTATCTTGATGAGGCCCATACCCGAGGAACAGATCTAAAGATTCCAGCAGGTGCCGTTGGGGCCCTTACACTGGGACTAGGGCAAACGAAAGACCACACAGTACAAGGTAAGCTTCATTCGAGTTCCCTGCATAAGAAAGAGAGGTGATCTAACTATACGTAGCTGCCATGAGGCTAAGACAGCTTGGTACTACACAGTCGGTTACATTTTTCGCTCCCCCTGAGGTTCATCACAGCATACTCGATTCTCGGAATCTCCCAGCCTCTGCTTCTGTGACAGCTGCTGACGTTATCTACTGGCTTTTGATCCAAACCTGCATTGGAATCGAGCAAATACAGCCCTTATACTTCTCACAGGGGATGGATTTCTGCCGTCGGAGGCAAGCTGCTGTGGATACCCCTAAATATTTGACCGACCAGACCCAACGGCAGCAATATTGCAAAGCTCTCCATCAAGAGGAAATGCAAACTTTGCAAGAGCTTTTCAGGCCAATTGCAAAGGTGAAGTCAAAGGCTGCCGTCGCTTCCTATGCCCCTGATATTGCAACACATGTCAAGGTCCTTGAGCACCGAAAGAAAGGATTTCAGGATTTTGGAGATGCTGTTCACAGCTCCGCCCTACAGGAAGTAGAACAAGAACGGGAGGTTGCATATGAAGTTGAAGCCATTCGAGAAGTTCAAAAAGCCCCGCGTTTCAAGGCACTAAACTTCCCCGGCCTTCACGAAGATATTGAATTATTTTGTCGTACTGGGACACTGACAAGTTATTCCTCAGCGTTCCAGCAAGCGTTTACTGCTTTGAGAAACACCGGAATCGGTCAGAAATATGGTATAAACTCATGCGCTACTTCGTCAAAGTTGTTTCTCTCCAGAGAATTTTTCAAGACCGTGCGGTTACCTGTTGGCGAGTATAACGATGGCTACATAGTAAGTAGCCTCTGATTCAACCTCATAGGGTAATAAGCCTTGGTCCGCTAGACGTAGCTGTTAACTTTCTCTTCAGCGTCAAATGAATTGGATATTATGGAATCCCACCACAGAAGCTGCCCTTGTCATCATTCCTGAAGAAGCAGAGCTACTGATTCCACTTCACCAAAACGCAAAACACCTTCACACTCGGCTATTGACCTACGCTGCTCCTGTAACCCGTGGAATGCTACACTTTAGCAATTTGGATTTTTACTCCATGCCACCATTGCCTGAAAATTGGAAACCACCCTCCTGGCTTACCATTGAACTTGGGATCTTAGCTGGTCGGGTATACTTTGAGTATTCCGAGTACGAGCCTATCTGCCACTATTTTGGGCTTACAAGCTCACCGGTCGAAACTGTTCCAAGCTATGAGGAAAACGACATGGCATCCAAGGTACCAACTCAAGACATGGATGGAGAGAATGTTATCCAGACCAACAATCCTACCTTTACTCCCAAACCACTGTCTTTCCTCCAGGAGTGGCTAGCTCTGAGGCGAAAGGGCCAGGATTTTAGCAACTCGCCAATGGGATATATATGCCAGGGCAAAACACTAAATGAAAGGAGTCCTTTTTTCTCTTCAGACAGAGATATTCAAGTGAATGTTCCAAAGCTCAAAGCTACGGATCACAGCTCTGATGATGGTAATGTCGAAAGTCCTGAAGCGAGCGACTACGAACCAGAATATACTGGCGATCAAAGGCGAGAATCGACCGGGAAACGGGAAATATTTATGGATGACAGCAGTGAAAGCGACTACCAAAACCGCATTGAGTGAGGTTGACAATTAATGGGCACTGAACGAATTCTAAAGAATAGCGGTCACTGGCTGAGAAGGATTAAAAAAAAAAAAAGGAAAAATTAAAAAGTAAAAGAGAAGAGAAGAAAAAAGACTTCGTAGATAGCATAGATGTACGAATACCAGAATATCAGTGCCAACAAGGCTTCTTTACAATCAAATTGGTTGTCATAAAAATCATATTCAATTAACTACTGCTAGAAACTAGCATTTGACCAAGGAGCCAGAACTAAGTTAGTTAATTAAATAGTTAGCAGTGACCACGGTGAAGCCAATTTCTCAACAACAACCAATCTCACGGCTTACAGCTGTCAGATGGGAATATTCAATCGTTCTATACAGAAAAGATACATGGCTCAGTCTGGGACAGAACTATTCTCAACATCTTGGACCTTGCATCGGCTTTCGCCTCTGTATCATGGCCAGGACAGTAAAACCTCGCTCCTGGAGGCGCGAGATTGTATCCGCGCCTACGCCAATCGGCTTCGCGATATTCTCACTGGAAATGTGCTAGGCGGAATTGTGCAGACTTCAACGCTGTCTCCTAATATAGGTGGGCTCGATGATATCCTTGCTAGGGCTGGTGCGCTCAAGGAATGCAAGTGGGCGAATATCCCGACCTGGAGTTACTGGAATGAAGAGCATTCCATACTGGAAGACCCAGACCAGGAGACGTCCTTGACGCTTACTCCAGATCAATCCGCTGGAATTCTCATAAGCCTACAATATGATAACGCAACCTACAAGGCTGCCCTTCTGGCCGGTCCGGATGGGTATCGCCATGAGGGAGATGAGAGGCCGCCAGAGGGCACCACATTCCTACCGTTGCTGGTGACTCGAATGCCCAACGCGCTGAGACAATCTCTACTTTCCTTTTTATCCGAGACCTTTGATACTCGAATTTCTGTTCTACGACTCCCGTCAAGCTTCTTATGTAGCGCTTTTGAGAGATATCTGGCTACGCTCAACCGGACTGCCAGTCGAACGAAGAAACACGCGGCGTACCAGACAGCGGCATCAAAAGTGGAATCACGCGCATTCATAGAGTCAATCATGAAGGAAGTGCAACTGACTCTCTCATTTCCACCACCGATTTCTACGGATCTTATGTCACTGAATATACATATTCCGCGAGATTCCCTCAGCGCTTTCTATAAACATGGCCTTGGAAGTTTTGAAGTTGAAAGTAATACGAAGAGCATCGAGAGGGATGTTCCTTCAGCGCCGTTTCTAAAGGCTCTGTCGGAATACTTCGATCATAATCTTGCTATGAAGTTGGATCTAAGAGATTTTACGGGACGAGATAGCTCATCCACTGGAGACTCCAAAGGCCAAAATATCAGGTTAACGAAGGTCTCCTGCGGCGCGTTCGTGCTTGGTTCAGAGGGCAGAATCAAATTTCTTGCTAATCCGGGACGCACTATCCTCCTGAATGACTCTGACGAGGAAGAAGGCGATGGTATTGATGTTGAAGAAAGGGAGAAGCGGTTGGTATGGAAAGCAAATGAAGAATTATTGCGTGTGTTAATTGCAAGGGCCACGGGACAGTGGAAGGCTGATAATGATCGTTGACCTCAGCGGATGTACAATACTCTCGAAATGAAATTTATTGTCAAATGACATTGCGGAGAATAGGGTATATTCTCTAAAACTATCTGTAGAAAAGAATCAAGTCAAGACAAACACGTTATATATAGTCAACGCTCAACACGGGGTATACATAAACTATGACTCTTCTTTGTAGGCAAACCCATGAAAACATGTAACAACCATCACTCGTAGTTAATATACTCTGTCTCCGCCAGCTGGAGGGCGTGTTCGACAGTAGATACGAAATGGGATATGCCACCACACGTATCAATTATGCCACTCTTCTCCATCATTTGGAACACTTCACTCCCAGGAAGCGGAATGCGGCAGAAAAACACCCGCACACCATGAGAGACGTATTCTTCAACTATTTCACTGAGCACCTGCACGCCTGACCCGTCGATGCTCGTCACGCCGTGAATATCAAAGATGATGTTCTTGTTGTGCTCTGGAGGTCTAACACGAGGCAGAGCAGGGTGTGCCGCGTTCGTGCCGTAGAACTCCAGCCGGCGTAGTCTGTTCTTTAGATCGCCGGTATTGGCAAAGGTAAGTGGTTCGGGGATTTTCACGATTAGCGAGCCGGCAACGTACTCGACACGCTCAGGATGAACTTCAGCGTTCTCAAAGCGATCTCTGGTTCCGTGCACTTTGCCCAAGATTTGAATACGTGGCTTGGTGGCGTGGCGGACTATTTGGAGGAGAGAGAGACCCAGCCCAAGGGCGATACCAAGGTATAGGGAATAAAAGAAGGTAGAGAAGAAGATGAGTAGCATCAAAAAGAGTTCCGACCAACCACGGATTCTAATAAAAAAGCGGATGTCTTCAGGGCATTCTTCTATGAGTGAAAAGGAAACGACCGAAATCAAGGCAGAAAGAACCGCCATCTAGCTAGGAGGTTAGTACACCGTCGATAGGCAAGGCGAGCATAAATGACATACCGGGAGATAATAAAAGTATGGAAGCAGCCAGATCACGGATGCTAAAGTAATCAGGGCAACGAATATTCCGGCCATGGGTGTTTTGGCACCGGTCAAGGCACTCAGCTTGCTTCGACCATATCCACCAAATGCGGGAAGACCCAGAAAGCACCCACCAATCATATTGGCGACACCCAACGCGACGAGTTCACGATTTGGGCTGTAGGTCATGTCTTCGATCCCACCCTTACTTGCAGATCTGATGCCCTTTGCGGCGACGGAGGACTCGAAAAATCCCAGAAGAGAGATGATAAATGAGGTGCTCATGGCATTGCGTATATGCTCTAGCTTGTCTGTCTGAAAAGGCCACTCGAACTTGAACAAGTTGCTGGTGCCCTTGATGTTTCCAAGTATAACAAGCCCCTTTTTATCCCACTCCAGTGCCCAGGTTAAGATTGCAGACAGAACAACGACTATGAACTGGTCCGGAAAAAAGACCACTCCCGGATACCGCGGTTGCAGGTGCTTCTTCAGAATCCTGGCAAACAAGTCAGTAATTATTTGTATGTATAGATAATCACTAAGAATAACTAACCTGAAGACCATGATGATGGCAATGGTGCTGAATGAAACAGCACAGGTAAGACCATGGCTGTAATGTACATTCTGGATCAAGAACATCAACTTCTCCGCGGAACTGCCGTATGTACCAAGCAGGACCTCTCTGGCTCTGTCACTCAGCCCCATCTCAGGCACGAGTTGGTCAACCATGATCATGAAGCCGATAGCACTGATAAAGCCCCTGAGGAATGGACGGCTGAGGACATTATCAACAAATCCCAGGCGTGTGATTCCTCCAATTAGGGTCATGGCACCAGCCATGCCCACGACAATTCCAGAAATCGCAGCATTACCACCAGGATCGTCGTCGATGCCTTTTCCGTCCTCGACTGTACTTCGAACGACGGCGCCTACCATGAGAGAACCGGCTGCCTCGGGCCCCACGATCAAGAGCGGGCTACTACCGAAGATGGAGTATATGAACGGATGGAAAATAAACGAGTATAGGCCATTGATGGCGGGTATATGGGCAACATTGGATGCCAGCGAGAGGCACATGGGAACGTAGACGGAGCAGACCGTCAAGGCCGAGATGAAGTCACCGCGGAGGTAAGACCAGTGGTACTGCGTTATCCAGTTGAAGAATGGCACATAGTATGCGAGGTACCTATACAGCAAATTGATACGTTAGCTCCTTGTTCAAAATCACCATCTATCTGCCCCATTACTGGTATAAGGAAGACCATACATAGCCCTTTGGTTTTTTAGGCCATGGGCCTCCGCTAGCTGTTTTGTGACGGATTTACCGCCACTGGGAGCGGAAGAGATGCCATCTCTGCCCTGGAGGTATCCTGCTTCTGAAATCTGGCTGCTCTCCCCGTAGCTCTGAATAGATGCCGGGGTGAAAGTGCCATGGGTGTGATTGCGAGCATCACCACCACCAGGCTGCTGGCTGTCGAGAAGCCTGGAGCTGGCACTGACATCGCTGTTCTCAGGCAGGTTATTCATCGTGACGGCCTGCGGTTGCAGCGATTTTTTTTGCTATCCTTCCAGCTTATGAACGGGGCAAGGCTAGGGTGATATATAACTAGGAATCTAGTTCGGGCGTTAACTGGCTGGGCAGGGCTGGCGGACAAGCGGACATCCTTGTCTCAACCTTTGCTGTCCCTCTTATATAAGAGTAAGCGCATACGCAGACATCAGCGCGCGCCATCCACATCCGCCTCCACCCTCTAGTTGCTGGGATGCAGCCAAGTCCTCGTCCATTTGTCGCTGCGCGAGCTGTTGAGCGGCGTTTGGCATCCCTGGAGTCGCTCAATTTCCTCAAATTCTTACTGGTCGGGGTTCGCTGACTAAGGCGGCGTCGCTTCTTTAAGCGAGCCTCGCCGTCGCCGTTAAAGCGGCTATGGAAGTTTCCCGTTTAGGCCAGCAAGCGACAGTGAGGCTGAGTCTGTTCCAACAGGCGCAGATCGATATTAAGTCAGTATGAAGATGGCTTTAGAACCATGTATATTGGCATCAGCATGCTTGTTCAAGTGTGCTGGTAGACATAGCCCACCCCGCTAGTTCGTGCAAAGTTTATGATTAAACCGGATAGATCTTGTATTTTCTACTTTCACCAACCAAGATGCATCCAAGTAGCGGCCTTCGCGGCACAACAGAATAAGAGCAGAAACTACAGAGTAACCAAAGGCAGCTTTCAAATCGACATTTTTCCTTAAAACACGCGCGGACCTGCCAAAAGCTGTGCTTATATAATACTATCACGTGACTGTCCCACTATCCGCCAAACAAACTGAAAACGATTTTGCGATTTGCAAGGATCGAAGACGCTGAACGAAGACAAGCAGACGACAAGCCGCCGCAGAACAGACTGATCAATCGCCTTTGACGCCCTGCCTTCACTCGGGAATAGCTCATCTTCACCAGCGGGCTCCCTTTTCAGCTTTTCCCTCCGCCGCGAGGACCGTCAACTCCAAGCCAATCTTAACTTAAGCTCACAATCACCTTCTTTTAGCCCTCTCTGACGCACAAGTTCGACCTGCGCACCAGCGCCCCCCGCCAACATGTCGCTCACCAACTGTCGCTTCTACGAGGAGAAGTTTCCGGAGATTGATAGCTTTGTCATGGTCACCGTCAAGCAGGTGAATAGAATCCCCACGTTTTTGATGCTCGCGGAGAGGGAGGGAGGAAATTTGACGATGATGCTAATAGTGGCTTATCACTGATTAGATTGCGGAGATGGGTGCATATGTCAAGCTGCTCGAGTACGACAACATCGATGGCATGATCCTACTCTCCGAGCTGTCGAGGCGACGTATCAGAAGTATACAAAAGCTTATCCGAGTCGGACGTAACGAGGTCGTCGTTGTTCTGCGAGTAGACAAGGAGAAAGGTGGGTGGTTGTGTGTGATGGGTCATACCAGTTTTGATACTCGTGCTGATAGGGGGAAACCCTTTGCTTTTCTTTTCAGGTTATATCGATCTTTCGAAACGTCGAGTGTCACCTGAGGATGTCGGAAAGTGTGAGGAACGATATAACAAGAGCAAGTCGGTACACTCTATCATGCGTCACGTTGCCGAGAAGACAAAGACCCCAATCGAAGAGCTTTACCAGCAAATTGGATGGCCCCTGAATAAGAAATACGGACATGCCAACGATGCCTTCAAGCTGTCTATCACGTAAGCCAATACTCTTCTCCCTAACATGGCCGTACTCGAGAATTTGCAGGCCTCCTTGCTCTAACACTATGGAATGTATAGTAACCCTGCCGTATGGGACGACGTTACCTTCCCGAGCGCCGTGGTCAAGGACGAACTCATCTCCCACATCAACAAGAGACTTACCCCTCCACCAACTAAAGTCCGTGCCGACATCGAAGTGACTTGCTTTGGATACGATGGCATTGACGCCGTGAAGGACGCCCTCCGTGCTGCTGAGGCTGTCAGCCCACAGGTAAAGGTCAAGCTCGTGGCGCCCCCGCTATACGTCCTGACGAACCACTGCCTAGACAAGACTCAGGGAGTCAAGCTGCTAGAGGAGGCGATTGAGAAGGTACAGGAGAAGATAAAGTCCAGCGGAGGTTCCTGCGTCATCCAGATGGCACCCAAGGCTGTCACAGAGCAAGATGATGCCGACCTGCAAGCTCTCATGGAGAAGAGGGAGCGCGAGAACCAAGAAGTCAGCGGAGACGAGAGTTACAGCGAGAGTGACGAGGGCGTTGTCGAGTAAAAAACAAACCCAAAATTGTACAGTCTTCCAAGCCGTCTTGCCAGCCTCTTTTCTCTCCCCCCCCCCCCAAATGCCTTCTTCTCTTTTCTTTTTCTTATGTCTGGATTACCAGTCTGCCGCTTTAGAATATGGACCGTGGGATATAAAAAGCAACAATTTGGGCAAAGCATGAATGCGCTGCCTGGCTTTCAACCAGAGCATGTCAAGAAAGCAAACGAGCATGAAATGAACACCTACTTCAGCATTTACCACGAAGACTCCTCCGCAACGAGCTGATGACTGGCCTTTGTCTTTGATAACTAGGGGAGAGAAGTACGAAGGCAGCTCTTGGCCGGCACCCGTAGAGACCTCCCTCACGCCAATCGTATTGCCCTTTGCCGGCACCGCTGGGGCCAGCAAGGCCTGTTCGTTCAAACCGCAGCACCCTCCATGCGCCATCGCCTTCTTCTCCATTATTGTCATCCCGGTGTACGGTGGCGACGTCACTGGCGCATCGAGCTAGCTAGCTATGTAGCCTAGTCACTTATTTCTAACTAAAACATGGACCAGCCCCCTCACGGGCCAAAAACACCAAGCAAGCCGGGGGGTTTAGAGTGAGAGGGAGAGGGAGATCTGCCTATTTAAACGACCAGCCGTCCTCCATTCAAACCCTCAACCCTCTCTTCATCTTTCATTTGCTAGAGTGTCTGCTCCCTGTTCTCTAGCCGGCCTTTCAAGATGGTTCAATGGGGCCAGCTGTTCAGTGGCGAGCCTCGTCGAGGCCGGTACCAGCACCTGCAAGAAACCAGCCGATGTATGTCACTTCTCGCCCGAGCAGACAGTCAATTGAGTCCCGGAGCACAGTCGCTAACACCTTCTGATCGATGATATAGTACTTCCTCGTACTCGCGACCAGATTATCACGCCCGCTCTGCCAGCGAAGGAGGTGACAAAGGTAGCTCTGCGGCTTAAGCATCTAGTCGAGCAGGTCGTCTGCTGCGAGCTGGAGGAGGGTCTCGTTACAAAGGCCAACAGCACTGTTATCACCAAGGAGGTTATCCAGACTGCCAAAGAGGCCGGCGGAGAGCAGTACCGCGCCTGTGTCGTCTTCTGTCTGCTCGTCTGCGTGCGATGGTTCAAGATCCAGGCACTGGTCGAGCTCTGGGACTCTGATCTCCACGACCTGCGCGCTGTTGCTTGCGAGATCCTTGCCAAACGAGTGTATGCCGCCCCTCCAATTTTATTGCCGTAGATGGAAAACATATATCTAACAATCCCGGTAGGATTGAGTCAGAGGACGACCAGGACTACCTCATGCTCGAGGTGCTGCTCAAGCGGTACTCGATTCTGCGAGATGGGGAGCCAACTTCGCCTGCAAACGTTATTGAGCGTGCTGTCGATCTCCATGCATTGAGTGTGATCGGGTCGGCTGGGTACCAGAAGTGCATCAGGTACCTGTGGCAGGGCTGGTTGTGCCAGGACGACCAGGATCCCACCAACTTCATCGAGTACAGGGAGAGAAACAATCCTTCCTACTGGTCCCATTTCAACCCGGACAGACTCAGGGCACCAGTCTACCAGAATGCCGTCCAAGTCTTCTTCTCCATCCTCTACCTTGTTCTCTTCACCATTGTGATCAACACGGTCAATCCAACCGGTGACCTGGACGTGGCAGAATGCATCCTCTATGGCATGACTCTAGGCTTCATTCTCGACGAAGTCACCAAGTTCTGGAAGGTCGGCCGTTTCTACTTCGGATTCTGGAACGCCTTCAATTCAACTCTTTACTGTCTGCTCCTGGTCTCCTTCGTCTTCCGAATAGTCGCCTTGACCCATTCAAAGGATGTCGACAACGAAACCCGTAACTACTACAACCAGCTGAGCTACAACTTCCTTGCCTTTTCGGCTCCGATGTTCTGGGGTAGACTGCTCCTATACCTTGATACCTACCGCTTCTTCGGTGCGATGCTCGTGGTACTGAAGGTCATGATGAAGGAGAGTTTGATCTTCTTCGCCCTCTTGGCCGTTGTCATCATTGGTTTCTTGCAGGGATTTGTTGGAATGGATCAGGCAGATCCTGATAATAACATGACTGCTGTTGTGCTCCTTCAGGGAATGGCCAATACGGTCTTGCAGAATCCTTCATTCTCTGAGTTCCAGACTTTTGCTCCGCCTTTCGGTATCCTGCTTTACTACCTGTTCACTTTCGTGGTGATGGTTGGTGAGTACTATTATTTCCTTTTCTAACCAATATAGTTATCCTGCTAACCTCTGTATAAAGTTCTGCTTAATATCTTGATTGCTCTGTATAACAGTGCCTATGAGGACATTACTGGTAACGCAATCAATGAATACATGGGTCTCTTTGCCCATCGAACCCTTCAATATGTTCGAGCTCCCGATGAAAATGTTTTTATTGCCCGTATGTAGCCACCCTCATAACTCCAGACTATTTTTTCTAATCTTTAACCTAACTAACCAAGCTTCTAGCACTGAACTTGATTGAAATTTTCTGTCTTATCATTCCTTTCGAATGGTGGATGCCTTCTGACCGCTATGACAAACTCAACAACTACGTCATGGGCATCATATACTCTCCTCTCCTCTTAGTTACTGCATTGCTTGAATCAGCCAATGCTCAACGGATCAGACTCAACCGTCGTCTAGGTGAAGAAGACGACGACACCCAAGAAGAATGGGAAAATGCCGCTGAGTCCGCAGGGTTTGACTTCAAGAGAATTGACGACAATCCTGACACTGGCGCCTGGGATAAGGTTGTTACTAAAACTAAGCCTAATGTTGAGGTCGACCAATGTGTCTTGGAAGTTAGGGAATTAAAGGAACAAGTCAGACAACTCACTCAGTTGGTTAATACCTTGATGGAAAGGCAGGGCATATCTGCTGCACCGGCGAATGGAGAAGGTCAGGCCAGTCAGGAGACGAACGGGAACGCGTAAACAAGGCTGTTATTATTCCCACTTTTCATGTCTTTTTCCCATCGTTTAATTATCCAGTTTATGCGTCGTATACGAGTCTTTTTTTTTTTTTTTTTATCTCCTCAATCTATTTTATAGTCCCCGATCTAGTATCTATAGGGAACCCCGGTAGAGAAGATGAAGGTGCCCTTACAGTCCCCAGCTCGTAGGCCTTCTTTAGCATGCTACTTGAAATCTAAAAGAGTCGTAAATTTGACAAATTATAATGAAGACGCTTGCTATTATGAACAGTAAAGGTCTAGCTAACAGTAACTAGCAAAGCGAAAATTAGATGTGCATGCAAATATGTAGGTAGTAGATAAATAATATTGCCAGGAACTTGGGTAAGATTTGAATCATCAGGGTCATTAATAATACTCTCAGGAGAAAAGAGAGAAACAAAAGCGAACGCCAGCAACCACCCTTGAAAATGAGCAACGCTTTAAGGAAGAACAAGAAATTGCAATACCAGTGTCAGTCACCGAGCTAAATATTGGAAAAGAGAACTTGTAAGGATAACGAATGCAATGATTCAATCATTACTGGCCTGAATCGCCAGTAAACAGCCCTTCAAAGTCTAACTGACTGATCATACCATTGACATGATCTATTTCTTTATTCAAATCCGCAACATTTTGAGCAAGGCTGCTTGCCTCGTCAAATTTACGCCGTTTGTTGGCGTCGGCAATCATTTCTGAGACGAAAAACCTCTGTTCTTCAAGAACAATGAGCCGATCACGGAGTTCTTTCTCTTCCGCTTCAAGCGCTGAGAGTGCACTACTGTTATTACTAGCTAGGCTAGTGGTGCTGCCACCCTGGTCGGGATTGCCGTACTTAATGGATGCAAGGGAACGGGGCTGGGCATTACCCCCGTTCATGCGCCTGCCATCTGAGGATGACGAATCGAAACTGAGATTCCTGCCGTATGGAGTGGCATGTTTCAGTATCTTGGGAAGAGTTTTGAGTGGAAGCATATGTAGGTGGAGGAAGCTTGTGGCTTGATGGTATATTGCTTGTTGTAGTTTTGCTTGTGTTGGTGACTGTGTTGGGTGGTCACGAATGCGCCTTGCGGCTACATCGTATTGGGCAAAAGAGTCAATTAACCGTTTACGGACTTTAGACGCCTCGGTTAGTTGAGCCGGTTCTGGAGGGTTATCGGGGTCTCTAGTTGTATATATAGTTAGAAAAGAGCCATGGGAATTGACGAGATGAGGGGAAACGAACTGAAGAGCTGCTAGAATCTTGTGAAATCTCGGCAATAACAGTCTAATCCCCCGTTCGAACTGAACAAGATTTTTATAAGCGCGAACATCCGGTGGTTCTCTGGCGATATCTTCCATGAAATCTCGTTTACTAAATATGGTGGTTTTGCAATCTTTGCATAATCGCACGTCGAGATTAATTTTATCTGGAGCCGGCTTTTCTGATAATCGAGGTTGGGCTTTTGTGGTCAGTATGCACCAAATAAGAGCAAATAATATAGTCAAACATACATTTGGTCACATCAAGGCTTATCAAGGAAGAACATTCAGTTGCCGGATCGCCACAAACAACCCTACCGCATGTTCTGCAATGATGTCTTCGGAAGATGTACGCAGAGAACTCCTGCTGACAAAAAGGGCATATGGAAACTTCCACATCATCTTGCCAACTGACGACAGACTGTTTGAGTGCTTTCCTCTGGTCTGTTTGCCAACCAATAGCCCATCTTTTAGACTGTACTTGCTCTAGAGGTAGCCCAGCAAGAAGTTGAGTTAGACGTGTCAATCTCTTTTCCAGCCGAGATATTTCTAGAAAAGCTTTGTCAACTGTAGGTTTTCTAAGGGCTTTGAACATATCCGTGTGGTCACGTTCCGCTCCTAAACAGATTTTAGCACTGGGGAAGTGTAAACCAGGCAGGGGTCTGATGTTTACCGGTAAAATCATTATAACCCTCTCGCGACTTGTAGCAGGTTTCACAGACGCGGCACCAAAACCCCCGTACTGGTTCGTGCTGAGCAGACCTCGAAAGCTTCATTTGATACATGGTGTGATCCTCGCAGAATAGACGGCCACATTTTCTGCAGTTGATACAGCCATTTGTTGCGGTAAGCCTTTTCTCGCACATGGGGTCCAGGCAAACATCATTAAGCGACCGTTGCTGCCAGTGAGACTTCGTTATTAGATCGTCAGGGTCGATAGGTTTAGCGGCCTCCGAAACTGAGTTCTCAGCGGTGGGTCGTGTTGACGGTGGTAAAAGTTGAGTGTTTTGGTTAGATTCAAAGACTTCCAGGCCTTTCAGCTTCTGGTTGAGTACAGCAAGTGGTTGAAATCGTTTGGCCTTTTCGACCTGTGTCTGGAACCAGTCCTTCACTTCCACTTGTTGCTCATCTTCGAGATTCCGATGTTCGTCGTCGAGATGTCTAGGACGAAGGAGTGAGTTTCGTGTGTTGGAGTAACAGGTAAGTCGTGCGCAATTACCTATTCAGCTGTAAGAGTGTCACCTATTAGAGCATCGAGTATCAGTACCCAGGCAATCCAGGAGACATAAAAGGAGACATAGGGTATCTTACCATCCCTTCGTTGCAGATAGGGCAAACCAGCGCCCCAGTGCTGCGGGAAGCCTTGGCTATGGACGAATCTCCATTTTTAAGAAAGACCCTCGAGGATAGATCCTGTGTATCAGACGATACCTGCGAGTTAGAGGCCTGGGAAACCAAAGAGGCACTGCTAGCGGACGGCGATATCGCATTCGATGAGCTATTCTTGGGCAGTGGTTTTGGCGGAGCAGGATTTATCGACCGTCCACTACCTAGAACTCTGCCCCCGCCTATAGATCGGTTAGGCATGGTCTGCGGAGGGTTGTAGAGAGCAACACTTTGCCCTCACGCATGCTGGTGCGGCTGTATCGAACGGCTTGACGGTGAGCAGGCACTTATGATGCTGCTTCGCCCTTCGTTCACAAAAAGTCAAAATCGTTCTTTGCCCCATTGTCTCGACTTATGTAATCAGGATTATCGGCCCGTTTGACTCGGGATGCTGAGATAAGCAGCTTTCGGTTTTCCCATTGGCTTCCAATAATCCGAAAACCTAACTTTATTTCAGCTCACCAGCCTCATTATGTAATCAATGATGAAGCCACGAAAAGTCCAAGTTGCGTTTTTGTCATTGAAAAGGAGCTGCTCTTCTACCATCTTCGGCCTCGCAAACCACCTCCATACACTTAACATCCGGCGCCCTTATGATACTGATGTGGACGATATAGACGATCTCTCTTGACATTTCTTTGTCTGCTGCCCCCCGGCCATTAATAGACATTTTAATGTAATTTACTGGTTCCGCAGAGACACATGTCAGCTCGAGTCCACCAATATGTGAGTTCAACTCCCGGGGAAAAAAATGCAGCATGTTGGCTAACTAACTGTCTGACTTCACAGGTCTAAACTTATAGATAATCCGCAGATTCAATCTGCGGCTCTCCGTAACCCCTTGCCGGTCCAATTCCGCATCTACGTTTGGCCATTTACGATATTATGGCCGGTTTTCCTTGCCTTCTACCTTTCTCCAGAACGATATGAGACATATATTCAGGGCCCTGAATGGGCTGCTTTATGGACTGGATCTATCGCTACCCTACAAGCTTTGCTATGGTTAATGACGAAGTGGAACATCAACATTGACGCGCTCTTCACCACGATACCTGCCAAATCTGTTACCGAGGCACAGCTCATCAAAGTCATACCGGCCGCAAACGCAGGATCTGCAGAAATTTGCAAGCTTGTAAAGGACAATATTGGAGGAACCGAAGTTGTCTCATTTTTGTTCCAAAAGAGACGCTTCCGTTACAATCTGGAAAAGGGGTGTTTTACCCCCTTACAGTATGTTCTTGATACTGAGCCAAAGCCAACGTTGGGATACTTCCAGGAATCTCGCGGTCTTACTTCGCTTGCCAAAGTTGATGACGTTCAACAGCATTATGGAGATAACACCTTTGACATTCCAGTGCCCACCTTTGTAGAGCTCTTTAAGGAACATGCGGTTGCTCCATTCTTTGTCTTCCAGGTATTCTGTGTCGGTCTCTGGCTTTTGGATGAGTACTGGTACTATTCGCTGTTTACCTTGGTTATGTTGGTGGTATTTGAGAGTACTGTGGTATGGCAACGACAGAGAACCCTCACTGAATTTCGAGGCATGAGCATCAAGCCTTACGATATTTGGGTTTTCAGAGATAATAATTGGGTGGAAGTGAGCAGCGAAAAGCTTCTTCCAGGAGATCTGGTGTCAATCAATCGGACCAAAGATGATAGTGGAGTTCCATGCGATATACTACTTGTATGGGGAAGTGCCATTGTTAACGAAGCCATGCTTTCTGGAGAGAGTACCCCTCTGCTTAAGGATTCCATCCAGTTACGACCAGCCAATGACCGAATTGAACCAGATGGCCTAGATAAGAACTCATTCTTATACGGAGGCACTAAGGTCCTGCAAATCACCCATCCGAATTCGCAAGCTGGACAAGATAATGGCTACCAGCCATTAAATGGGGCACCTGTCGCACCTGACAATGGTGCCCTTGGAATCGTTATTCGTACTGGCTTCGAAACCAGCCAGGGGAGCCTTGTTCGAACTATGATTTATTCCACGGAACCTGTTTCTGCTAACAATATGGAAGCATTCATGTTCATCCTCTTCCTCTTGATATTTGCCATCGCAGCCTCTTGGTATGTTTGGGTTGAAGGCGTTGCTCAAGATCGAAAACGATCCAAGCTTCTTCTCGATTGTGTTTTGATCATCACCAGTGTCGTACCCCCAGAGCTTCCAATGGAACTGAGCCTTGCCGTCAATACTAGTCTGGCGGCTCTCAGTAGATTCGCAATCTTCTGTACTGAACCATTCAGAATTCCATATGCTGGACGCGTTGATATTGCTTGCTTCGATAAGACTGGGACTCTCACAGGAGAAGATCTAGTTGTTGATGGGATTGCGGGCCTGACTCTTGGCCAAACCGGGGTCCCCACAGACAAATATGGAGCGCACACGACAGTCACCAAAGTTACTGATGTTCATGACAACACGACCCTCGTTCTTGCTACTGCGCACGCACTAGTCAAGCTTGACGAAGGCGAGATCGTTGGTGACCCAATGGAAAAAGCAACTTTGACATCTCTCGGATGGACCCTTGGCCAGAATGATACCTTGACAAGCAAAGCTGGTTCCGCCGGAAGAACAGGCGACACCCTTCTTGAATCAGTTAACATTAAACGAAGATTCCAATTTTCTTCCGCATTGAAGCGCCAAAGCACTGTTGCCATTGTGAACACACTCGACAAACGGTCATCCAAGCGATCCAAAGCTACCTTCGTTGGTGTCAAAGGAGCCCCTGAAACCATAAGCACCATGCTTGTGTCCACTCCTCCGTATTACGAAGAAACGTTCAAGCATTTTACCCGCAATGGCGCAAGGGTTCTTGCATTAGCATACAAATTCCTTTCTGACACTGAAATTGGACAAAGTCGTATTAACAACCTGAAGCGTGAGGAGGTTGAATCGGGATTGCATTTCGCTGGGTTCCTAGTACTACAATGCCCGTTAAAAGATGACGCAATCAAAGCAGTGCGAATGCTCAACGAGAGTAGCCATCGGGTTGTCATGATTACCGGAGACAATCCTCTGACTGCCGTTCATGTAGCAAAGAAAGTGGAAATTATCGATCGCGAGGTTCTCATTCTTGATGCCCCTGAACATGATACCAGTGGCACAAAGGTCGTATGGCGAAGTGTGGATGATAAGTTCAGCGTTAATGTTGACCCTTCCAAACCAATCGATCCCTCCATCCTAGCCGAGAAAGATCTATGCGTTACCGGGTATGCCCTGGAGAAGTTCAGAGGCCAACCGGGTCTCCTTAGCTTAATTCGATATACCTGGGTATACTCCCGAGTATCCCCCAAACAAAAAGAGGAGATACTGCTAGCCATGAACGAAGCTGGATACACTACCTTGATGTGTGGTGACGGTACCAACGATGTCGGAGCTCTGAAACAGGCGCATATCGGTGTCGCCCTGCTAAATGGAACGCAAGAAGACCTCAATAAAATCTCTGAACACTTCAGAAATACAAAAATGAAGGAGATTTATGAAAAGCAAGTACAGCTGATGCAAAGATTCAATCAACCGGCTCCACCCGTCCCCGTTCATATCGCCCATTTGTATCCACCTGGCGCAAACAACCCTCACTATGAGACGGCCATGTTGCGTGAAGCCCAAAAGAAAATTGCAGCTGGAACAGCACCTTCAGATACAAACGGGGCACCAACTATTGCATCTCCTGGAGCCCAAGCGCCACAACAACCCGATGACAGCAACCTTACTCCTCAACAACGAAAGCAAAAGCAAGCATCTCTTGCTGCTTCATCCCTGGCCGACAAGTTAAGCGCCTCCATGATGGAAGGGATGGATGAGGACGAACCGCCGACTTTGAAACTCGGCGATGCGTCCGTTGCTGCCCCTTTCACGAGTAAACTGGCAAATGTCATTGCTATCCCAAATATTATTCGACAAGGACGTTGCACTCTAGTTGCCACAATTCAGATGTATAAAATTCTTGCCCTAAACTGTCTAATCAGTGCTTACAGCTTGAGTGTCATTTACCTTGATGGCATTAAATTCGGAGATGGACAAGTCACTATCAGTGGAATGTTGATGAGTGTGTGTTTCTTCTCCATATCTCGCGCAAAAGTATGCCTCAGAAACCTTGCCCCCTTCTCTTTCTGATATGATACCCCGCTGACACTACAATAGGCGGTTGAAGGACTATCGAAGGAACGACCCCAACCGAATATTTTCAATATATATATCATGGGATCAATTCTGGGCCAGTTCGCGATTCACATTGTTACCTTGATTTACATTTCACAATACGTATACTCCATCGAACCGTAAGTTCCCCGACGCGGTTTTTACCCCTACACATATAGGTAAATTTCATTCTAACCGAGAAAACAGACGCAAAGAAAAGATTGATCTGGAGGGCGAATTCGAACCGTCGCTTCTTAACAGTGCCATCTACTTGCTACAGCTTATCCAGCAAATTTCCACATTCTCAATCAACTATCAGGGCCGGCCATTCAGAGAGTCCATTCGTGAAAATCGCGCTATGTACTGGGGACTTGTGTTAACCTCGGGTGTAGCGCTGTCTTGCGCGACCGAATTTATCCCAGAGCTCAACACTAAACTCAGACTCGTTCCATTTGAACCCGGATTCCGGGTGAGGCTCACACTGACTATGATCTTGGATTACGTTGGCTGCTGGCTTGTGGAGAACATACTGAAGACCAACTTCAGTGACTATAAGCCAAAGGCTATTGCTGTGAGGAGACCTGACCAACTTGCCGCCGAGGAAAAGAGGAAACAAGAAGAGGAGGACAAGGAAAAACAGAAAGAAACTGAGAAGAGCACATAGATGTCATAGGATCATGTCAGCCTCTTCATTCTTCCCCCTCCGTTGACTGTTACTCAGTCCGTCGCCTTCTTATCATGCTTCAAGCAGGGTTGAAGAAGAAAAGAAAAAGAAGCAAAAATTTTGTGTTATGAGTAAGGGAAACTGGGAAGACCAAAAAAAAAATTGATAAGTACGGTTTCTTTTCATAAATGGTCAATTTTGCATGTTTATAATTGGGTTGCTGTTGCATTTCTTTTTTTTTTTTTTTTTATTTCATCAAGTAGTTGGTTTCTTTGCGTCCCCGGTTTTCCCAAGGAGGCGTTCAGCTCGGCGGTGATAAAGGGGTTGAATTAAATAAAGGAACCGCGGAATCACTCTCATCAGCACTTCATTTTTCAGCCCTTCCAGAAACAGGGAAACTCTGGTTATGGTCAATAGTAGGTAACCAGGGCAAGAGGGCGGAGCAGCTAAGTATCTGCAAGCAACCGCTTCGAAGATATTTGACTGAATATCTGCTATGTTGCTTTCAGCCCTGCTTCGGCAAAGAGTCAACCGCTCTCTCCGTGGTTAGCTATGATATCGGCGCAGTTCTTTGTGTAACTTGGTAGTCACTTTGTTACGTATCAGGCCACTCCTTCACAATAGAGCCATGAAAAGCAATTACCTATATTTCGTATATTCCAGTCCGAAATGATGGAGTTCATGCCACGCGTCTTGGAAAGGTGACCAAATCGCGTAACAGACATTCTTCGACCACATCCGTACCTGACAGGAGAATAACAGAATATTGAAATCGAAATCGAAATTGAAATGTGATAGACACAATAACGGGAAATGATATTGAATAGATCGACCGTTCTAAGCGTTACACCGGTTAAGGGGATGTTGTACCAGCCAAATGAAGCGCCCAGACCCATTGGCTGTAATACTCCCCTGGAAAGAAGTCGAGCAGGATGAAGCAAGACAAAAATAACGTCCCGTGCCCTTTCTTTCAATATATACATAGGGAAGTATATGCTGTACAAAAGCTGACAAATGGGGCACCAATCTCCTGGCTCACCTGGGAGCGAGCAAGGGGAGCCAAGTACCTAATGTATGTTCGATTTGAGTGCTCAGGACGGTACCTAAATAAGGCGACTTGCCTCTCAGCTGTGGTGCACCCGGTATGATGTACTCTTTGTGCACCAATCATTTGTCTTGAATCGACACCTCCAAGTATTCCGTTCTGTGCAATCGAGGCTTGCTTGTCACAAATTTGACCCTACTAGAGGCAGGATACACAGGAAAGGTATCTCGTCTCATCGTGGTGTCAAGATGTCGAGACTCGAATCGCGGTCAGTGACCTTTGCCCGAGTGGTTCCTGGCCGTGAACTCCGCTCCCAAAGGAGACCATGTAATTTGAGTATGGGCCTTTTGCAACTAGGTATTATGGATTCGACAACACATGCGTTGTCATAGGGTCCTTTTTTCCCCATAGTATAAGCTGTGTCCGGATGTAGATGGCGCATTGCGTGAGCTTTCCCTGCAATAGAAGACATGGTGGGTGTCCCAGAAACGCTACCACCGGAGGTTGAGGGCCGGGGTGTACCGGTACTGTAATTCTCTTTCGAATAGGACGTTTTGCCAGAACGTAGTTGGGATGCAGAAGCAACAGTTTTGCTATCTCCTCCAGAAACTGAAAGCTCGTAGAACTCGTTGACTGTTCCGGCCATTAGCCCAGTTCGGAGGACAGCCAGGAGTCGTTTTAGGTTTGGAATGCAAGTGGCCACGATTGAAACGCAAAGGATGGCCTGCATCCAGATAGTTGGCATGACGGCCAGCCATGATCTCTCGGACGCAGAGGAAGCAAAGTAGGAGCGTGATGTAATAGTCATCACAACAGTAAAAGATGGGACACTATTGGTCGTTTCAAGTTAGCTCGGTGATTCTCTTCTAGTTGATGATTATCGAGGAGCTCCCATTCATCTCTCAGTCTCAATCTTCAGTTGACTTACATCAGTCTCATGCCAAAAAGAGCAGCAATAGCAAGTCTTTTGATGCATGGTATTTGCACCTGGGATACGAATAAAAATGGAAGAAGGACCAGCGCGAAATCTGTAATCATGCTTCCTATATTAAGGCCAACATGTAGGGCGTATTGGTTGAGCCAGCAATTTTCACCCGATTTCCATGGTTGAGCAAGCCCGCACTGCAGTGAAAGAGATAAAACACCAGCCAACCCCCAGAGGGCCAAAACCCCGAGGAGAATACGGCACATCAATAAGATGCATTTCAATGGCTTGATCGAAATGAGAAGTAGGGTAATGGAGGCCTTTGAGCATGCCAGTGATGCAAGAGCCAGTATCTGACTGATGTATATAAGCTACTCAACCGAAGGATATGTCAGTAATCCGTCCAGAAAGTATGCGCAAAGCCGAGAGAGGAAACATTTTCATACAATTTTAAACCCTTCCATTGGCATATGCCGAAGAGCACTTGGCTTCCGCCCCAGACCTCGTAAACAGGCGAAGTTTATGCATATTCCCTCAGCGGTTGACAAACACTTTCCCGTCAGTATAAGTCCGTCTTCTTGAAAGAAGAAGAAAAATTGTTACCGGGTAGCCAGAAGGGAGGATGCATACAGCAGCAAAAAGCAGGAACCAGTCGCTCCATGCCAGTGTTCTAAGAACCCTGAACCGCGCAATGAGTGTTGTAGCTGTCACGGAGACGGTAATAATCATGAACAAACAGGTTGAAACGATGACCCACGGACTGTGGTTCTCGGACGTCGGCTGTATAAAAGGCTGATAGAGCGGGTCTACACTCCGTTTAGACATCACGGCCCATATATGATGGATATCAAGCAGTTCTTCCGTGGTTGAGGGGACACAGTCGGTAGGTTTGCACAGACGCTGCATTCACCCTTCGTACTGGTGGTATAGAGCTGGATATATATCGTTGTTCGATGTCCGAATCCGACTTTGTATTGAGCCATAACTATTATCCATCCCGCACCAGCAGCATGACGGTTTTCTTTGAAGCGTTTAAAAATAGAGGCGAAGCGGCGTAGATCCCTCGGCTAGGGACCCAGAGATCCGCAACGATAGAGTTGCATCTGTGCCTGAGCCGCGCCGCTGAGATTTCAACGATGACCAGGAGAACTTGTGGACTGGTCACTTTTTGTGGATTCTATCCTGTGAAATGTGTGCTCCCGTCACTCTAGCTTCAGGATAGGCATTTCGCTCCTCACTTTTCTCCTGATCTTCTTTTGCTTCTTCTCCTGTTCTTCTTGTTTCCTGTGCTCCAGCACATTTGCTTCTTCCTGCGGGAGGTCGGAGCTGGAGACCAAGTGCAACATCTCCCGTACCAGATATCGAAGACGATCCAGGCATGTAACAGGCCAGCATTTCGCACATCTCGCACATCTCATGCCAGAAAAGCCCTTTCAACGGCACCACTTTGTTGGCCACCTTTGTCTCTCTCTCGAAGCCCCGACATGGGCATGGTCGCCATGGCTTTGTTTGTGTAGCCGTCCCAGTCCAAGTTTGGCTGGCGATCACTCTGATATTTCCAGCTCGCAGCCAACTTGGAAGAGCCGGAATTGCTCACAGCGAGTGGGAGTTTTTCCCCTGTTGTGGCGCTTCCAACAAGCGAAGCGAGCTCCTTGTCTTCCTCGCCTTCAAGATCCTTCAGGTGCTTTTGGATTTTCTGATTCTGGCCCGTTTGCCCCTGAGCAGGTTGAACTCAAGTTGAGAGAGGCCACAATGTTTAACGGGAGTGATAACTAATGGTATCGTGCCACTGGCATCAAGTCGCAAAGTATCTCGTCGCGTACCGAGTAACGAAGTATTAGTTTGTTAGTTGCTCGACCAGGGGCGCCGTGAAGCTTGGGGGGAATATCGCCAGCCGCAAAAGCAAACATGAATTTTTATATCCTGCAGCTCGTGTCTAGCCCAACGGAGGATGATGTTACCAGTCGACTCACGATGCCAAAGAACGATGCCCATGTTTGACCAAACGAGACGGTGCTCTCTTTCTTTGTGATAGACAAAAAGATGGATCACACAGCATCTGATCAAAAGTC